TAGCAGGTACACGAGGGTAAGTGTGGATGGGTGTGGTCACTGCAAAGGGGAAGGTGAAGTGGTACATAATGTTAAACGATTACAAAGTTTATCGAAATGAACTGCGAACGTTACCTTTAAGATGTGGGTGTGAGTGTGAGATTCTTTGTATGGCGTCAAATTCTCTCCGCAGATATATATCCATGACATTCATACGATAGTAGAAAGGAATGTAGCCGGGAAAAGCAATATCTACCGACCAAGTACTATCACCAAAAAACACGATTATTGATCCAAGAGTACTACCGGTCGAGGAATGATATTAGCAAATTTCACAGAACAAGCGCAAAACGAGAATACAAGCGCCTATTGTGCTGCTCTACTGGGGACTTCACTATCCGACGTTTGTTCATCAGCGTGCATTCTCACCCCTCTAAATGGTGGATGAACACGACAACGGAGTGAAGGCCCAGACGAGAGCATTAGCGGAAACGATATCTACATCTGTTCTAAGGCATTTGAGACCGGACTTATAAACCTATCTATGCGCTATGCCGTGAGACCCCATTCCGTAACGGCTGCAACTTACCATAAAACACACTCTAGCACCTAAGAGCCGAACCCGTTGAAGACTTACGGACTTTTATCACATAAAAGGAGGCGGATCTGCCGAACATTGACCAGGAAAATTTGCGAAGGCATACACGACCGATGCTATCGATCTTGCGATTATATAGCTATAAAGCAACATAAATTTTACCTGCATCCTTCAACTATGGCGCATATATATACAACAAGATCTTATGAGCGATCGGGATGTACTACAAGGCGAGTTGGGGCACGCCGTAGGGCGTCGACTTACCGGCGAACGACAAAATGACAATTATTTCTCATAAAGATAAGGTGATAGAGGGTCAAAATCACTATTAGCTCGTCTTTCACGCGCGATGCAGTCTTGGTGACCCGGTGTTCCCCGCGCTTGGACGACGAGAAAATGTATGTAGCGCATACAAATTATCTATTAGCAAAGGAAGCAGGAGGCGAGCTTCTTAAATCCGTAACAAACACGGCACACTAGAGATTGAGAATGGTAAAGGAAATGCGCCAGTTAGTGCTGCTTCGACGCAACACGATATACCATTACTTACCGAAGGATCTTGGCATGCTATGTTGCCTTCTTTTAGCACGACGTGGAAGGGACAACATTGTGTCAAGTGTCCGACTCTCCATAGCAGCACACCGTAATGGCAACGTGCGATTTAAGCGGAGTCGGTATAGACGATGCCACTGTTGCAACAATTTTTGTCTCAGCATGCGCTTTGAACGCACTCAGTGATGAGGTTTATGTAAAGTGAACGGATGCTTGGAGAGGGGAATGCCTGCATCGAGGCCATTTGTAATATCGCAGTCGGGTCACAAATCGTTTGAAGCAAGCATGGCTAGAGGGTTGGACAGCCCGAACACCTCTCTCCATTTTTGAGCACATATAATCGCCGCTTATAGATTTTCACGATAGATGGAACAAACTACGAGCTATGGAGTATGGCAGTGACGGGCTATCGCATCAGTGTGCTTTAATAATAAGCACCGCTTTTTCCGACATTTTACATGCGCATCTTTACACTAGTCCGACAGTAAGGCCCTGATCGGAGTCCGAACAGCGGTGGATGGTGATGTACCGGATCGACTACGACGACATATAGCAGCATTTCGAGCAAATGCTGATTTCGTCAAGCTTTCCGGGACGCATTTGACGAAAATGACTGGCTTATTATCCCAGCTTACTTCGCTATAGCGTTATCCTATCAATCCGTACCACATGATTTATATTACTATGGGCTACCAGATCAGTGTTTGGCGCCACATTCCAACATCACACGAGCTTGGCCGGGACACTTATACGATGCACCGTAATATCTTCTTCCGGGACAATTATTTGCTTGTAACGTAGGTGGGCAGAAAGATTACACACTTGTAATAATCTAAAACGTCAGGGGTTCAAGCGTGCAGGATAGTGAAAATGGACGCACGGCTGAAAGGGGCACGGAGCACGATGCAACACAGAGATGTGGAAAAACTAAGAGCCACACAAGTATTCCGAATGTGTGGTGCTGCAGGATGCGACATCATGGATCTCTTATTGAGGCACACAGCTCACTCGCTAACGTGGGGATTGTTCGTACTAGAGCGGAAGTGCCGACAGTCTAAAAGCAAGACAATTTGGATCGACCTCAGGAAGAAAGGCGTTTGCCAGAGGTGGCACCCGAAGCTCTGGTCCAAACAAGTTACATCGGTGGTCATAAAAAATGTCTTAGTTGCCAACTTTTATGCACCAAATGGAAGGCATGAGCAAGAGCATCATTTCGTCAATTACAAAAGTAGCCTTGGACGAAATTAGATTAGATTTTACTACAGGATTTTGGATTTTGTTTAAGTCCTCACATCGACCGCTTGGACGTTTAAGGTCAGGAAGACCGAATTTCATGAGATGGAGTCGTTAATTTACACATTATACTTCGAAGATGCACAGACCGTAGCGGTGCCGGCGGCGGGCGACATCGCGGAGCCGGCGAAGTATTATGCTTTTTGCAATACTAGATGCGTCAGCAGAATCGATTGCTTCTACGTGCTCAAGACCTGGACTGCAGCAGTTTATGAAGCTTTTAGGTGCGTCCACCAGTAATTCAATTGATTGTCAACAAATCACTCTACACGTTGCAGTCAGTCCAGGTGCGTCTACGAGTAATTCGTTTTGATTATCAACAAATCACCCTACACGTTGTAGGTTGCGTACTGGGATATCATAGACGCCTTCGACAAGTAAACATCTATACTCCATGCGTACGACGACTTCAAACCGAGTTCACGCAGACATGGTAGAAAAATTATTACAAAAATTGTACTGGTCGAAACGTCCATACACGCACATGGGACAAAGCGGTGCGGCAATGAAGCATAAGAGATACAAAAATAACGGGGAGTACAATGGACAAGCAGAAATAAACAAAAAGGTTCATGCACAGGCCCGAGCATATATTTTTACACGACGAACGTCATCTGGATGATCGCAGAAAAATCAGAATGGCACAAACCATCTGCACTGGATTGTGATTGGGCCGGACCATGGAAAGTCTTCGTTACCAGATCAAGCAGGCCTCCAACTGAGAAAGGATCGATCAATGTGTCAAACTCAGCGACTAGTTGGGCAGCCTTTTAAGCACAGGGACTCAATCGCAAAGCAATTGGCATATGAAGGGCGGTCGAATCTTAGATATTAGCAGCACAAGCTCATGACCTTGTCCGTAGTCCTGTCTTATGTCATCGAACAGGCTCGACAACGGGACGCTACTAATTTATCGCTGCAACTGTGTGTTTATTCTCACTGTTCGACTGCACAGCCGGATCATAAACAGAATGGCAAGAAAGCGCGTCGACGACGACATTCAGCTGTTCTGTTTTATGCTCTACCGAGAAACTATACTCCGCGATGATCGACACAGCCACCTGCCATTCTTTGCGAGAGGTGGGCTGTTGGTGGCCCGCGCCTTATGACGCGTGATATATACAGACGTGAATAGTTTTTCTCCAAGGGGATAGACGCAAAACCTAGTCAGTGCATACTTCATGGCAAGGTTGGGTTTTGCTGGTCGATCACGTTCCTCAATATACCTCGCTTTCAACAACAACTACATGGCAAGGGGTTTCTTATCATGCATTGGGGTAACACAATGCCAACATCGTAGGCAAAACTTTCTTCATAATTACTCACAAAGGTAAACGAGCTGAATGTTTGTCATGATTGGAAGTAGATTCGTTTTAATAAACTTCGTAACTATATTTGGATTAATGTCCATGTCACGTTTCGGGTGCACCCCGTTGCACTTACGACATCACAAGTTCATGTCGTGTTTCGCTTCGACCGATTGACACGTATGACCACGTGCTCTTTCCTTTCGTCACGTTATCTTCGTAGTTGTTGCCCACATGGACGAACAGACACTGTCCGTACTCAACTCGGTCTCAACTAAAGCTAGTTGAGTGCTGTTTGCATCAGCTGTCCATCCCTCCGCGCTTTACTAGCTCTCCCTCCCTCTTTCTAGTCTCACTTGTCTCACTTGTCCCACCAAGTTCCTATCGCAGTTCCAGGACCAGCTGCTGATGGATAGATATGATGATCGAGCCTATCTATCCATCGCTCCTGGCAGACACAACAGCAGCTGCTACAGGGTCGCACTTGTCCAAAATGCCCACATCTTTTGCAAGCCAGCTCAGTCAGCTGCAGCTCAAACGTGAGTCGAAGCTGCCGTCGATCAAGTACTGTCTGCTGCTACTCGGCCAGCTCGCTAGTCGGCCGTAGCAAGTTGCGCGGCTCAGCGTCTCCAACGTGCTCTGCCATCCTCACACACCGATTAAACATCATTGACGCGTGTGGGCCGCTCTTGGCATCCCTCATGACTAGACAATTAACCAGCGTAAGTGCTTCGAGTGCTTCGAGTCACCGGACACTGCCGACGTCCGTCAGTGCCAACTTCTGCGTCCAACTATTGACACCAAAGCGTCAACTGCAGCAAAAACGGGACCCTGCGGCGTCTCTTGTCTTGTCACGAGGTGTCGACTCACCGTCAGTTGCACCGTTTACTACATTGAGACACGTCCTATTTGCGGCTCTCGAGACTGATTTCCGTGCGATGCAGTATCGTGGTAAGCTCTGACAAACCAGTACTTGTCCCCGATCACGACCTGACGAAACGTCCTGCGCTCGACGATCGCCGAAGACTGCGGGGCTCCGCACGGCAGTGTACTGTCTGATCATTGGCTGCTGATGGGCAAAGAAGATGCTCGATGAAGGAATGGTCTCCGATGTGTACTGGTCACCACCACGCGTTCGTCGTTTCGTACTGGGGAACCAGCGCACTCAAACACGTGTCTGCGAGCAATTTGCGATCGGTTTGCACCCCCCTCTCTCTTCCCTCCATCCGCTACGCAAGTGACGCCCCTGCTCCTCGCCAATGGACTCCAACATGTCGGGTGCACCTTCGCCTACTAAGCCTCTGCGCGTGGGTCTCATTGGCGGTGGTCGCATTGGAAAAGTGCATGCGCAAAGCCTCCAGCGCGCGGGTGCTATTGTTGCTATGGTGGGTGCTAACAAACGACTGCGACGCTGTCGTGGTGCTTACTTGACTTGCTGCTTACCCTGTGACTCATACTGAACGAATATGCGTGTGGACTCGTTGTAGGTCGCTGACCCCATTGGAGACGTGGCGCAGACAGTGGCCGCCGAGTTTGGCATCTCGCGCTGGACGAAGAACACTGCTGAGACATTCTGCGATCCAGACATTGACGCTGTGGTCATCTGCTCGCCGACGGCGCAGCACGCAGAGCAGATCATCGAAGCGGCGAGACACAAGAAGCAAATCTTCTGCGAGAAGCCCGTTGCTTTCAGCGTTGATGCGGTCAACGAGGCCATCAAAGCGGTACGGTCTGGTTGTCAATAGGGTTGTCGGGCATGGCCTGACAGAGGGTAACAACACTCGGTGCTCTGGTATGGTACGCAGACGGAAGATGCTGGCGTGAAGCTCATGATTGGCTTCAATCGTCGCTTCGATGCCAACTTTGCGCGCATGAAGCAAGCGATCGATTGTGACGAGATTGGCAAGGTCAATATGCTGCGCATCACAAGTCGTGACCCCAGTGCCCCGCCCATCGAGTACGTCAAGGTGTCGGGTGGACTCTTTCATGACATGACCATCCACGACTTTGACATGGCGAGGTTTCTTGTGGGCGACGAAGTAGATGAGGTCTACGCAATGGCACAAAGCGTGAACCCGGAAATCGCGGCAGTAGGCGACGTTGACACTGCTGTGGTGCTACTGAAATTCCGTGGCGGCGTCATCTGCTACATTGAGAACAGTCGGGAGGCGGTGTACGGATACGACCAGCGCGCAGAGGTTCTAGGCTCGAAGGGGTCGGTGGCGTGCGACAACAAACATTCGAACCAGGTGGTGGTGTCCACGCATGAAAGCGTACGTCGTGACTTGCCGCTGCACTTCTTCTTAGAGCGTTACATGGACGCGTATGTGGCGGAAATGGAGGCTTTCATCCGTGTGTGCACCACTGATAGCGTTCCAGTTCCTGTTGATGGTCGTGATGGTCGTGAGGCTTTGTTGCTGGCATTGGCGGCAGACAAGTCGCTCGCTGAGAAGCGGCCTGTCAAAATGGATGAGTTGCGGTAGTTTCCGTGGTCAATAATAGCTCCCACAGTAGATGCTCGGCTGCTCGCTCGTTACACATACATGCATCCTCGTGTGTACACTTAAGCAACGAATGCAAACATGACCAGTTCAGCAGACTTGCATTTGTGGTATGCCTGCCTGTTGTCGTTGCAATGGCACTTTACCAGCACCCAAAGTCGGTGTATTGTATCTAGAACACGATAGTGTCAAGCATAGCGCCGAGGCACTGGACTGTGTTGAGGGCCATGAGGTCGTACACGTCGTTCTCCAGATGCTTCTTCGGATCCAGCTTGCCGACATTGAGCACTTCGAGCTCCTCGGGTGTCTTCTCTTCTTCCTCCTGGACGCGCTTGTTGTACTTTTCCGTAAGATCCAACATCGTCTACGGTCGTCGTGAAAACAAAACAAACAGACAGATAGGCAAAGTGTCACAGAGCAACCCTTTATCTTGTCGAAGCAATCGCTCGACCACGCGCGTACCTTCACAGTCGTCTCGTTCTCTTTCGAGTGATCTTCAAACTTGGCGAGCACAAGGCCATCGCTCCACGTCTTTTTGTGAAGGTTCATGAGCATCTGCTCCTCGAGCTCGTTCTTGCGGTAGTCAATAGCGATCGAGTAGTAATGACGGTTGAGTCCATGAATCAGTGCCTGGATCGACGGCTTGTTCAGGTGACCAATGTTAGAGGTCGTTTGCCGCGGCTCTTGGCCCATCATCATGAGCTGCGGATTAATGAGACGGAAGGCGTCAATCACCACTTTGCCCTTGACACTCTGAATAGGGTCCACGACCACCGCCACAGCGCGCGGGTTCAGCGCCTCGAAACTCTGCTGTGTATTGATGTCCACTCCCGAGAGCCAGCAGCCAAAGCCTGGGTGCGAGTGGTACCACCCCACGACCATCTCGGATCGTCCTGTCTGCTTGAGCATCTCCAGCATCTTCATCTGAAAGACCGGGTCGACGGCCTCGACACTCACGCCCGTGCCACTTTGGGGCATGGCAAACACGTCAATGCAGTTCACAGTGTAGTCGTCCACGAACTCGCCGAGCATGAGGCCCATGACCTCCATGGGTACGCCGGCTCGACCTGTGAAAGCGCGGGTTACTGTGTTAACCAATGACGTCCCAAAGAGACGAGGAAGGATACAAACAGACACGAATCCTTACCATGTTTGAGCATCTTGAGCAACGCCAGCGACGAGATGTGCACCTTCTCGGCCGTGTCAACGAGTGGACCGTCGGCTCCAGGTCCTCCTTGGCCGGGAAGTCCCGGCAAGTTGCCAAAGATGCGCTGGAGTCGGTCCATTGTCGAGGACTCGGCGGAAGATTGGGGGGAGGTGCGCTTTGGAGGAGAAAACTTGTTTTGGAATTGTAAAAAAAGAAGAAAAAGCACCACCAGGTGAGGATAGAAAAAAGCTGAAACGATGTGAACGATGCGATCAAAATACACGTGCCTGGGATCATTCATCCACATATCTTCTTCGTTCCCTCTCATACTCGATTTAAGTAAAACAAAAAAGCTGGCCAACGGCTCCAGTCGACAGTCATTTTTTGGCGAAAAAATAGGGTGCGTTCGCCCTTCGAGCGTAGCCCGACGGTTTCGTCTTCTCGTCGCCTGTCAGACAGCGGTGCTTTATCTCCGTCATCCTATTGTTGGCTCTTCGACATTATATTAACGTGCAACTTTCAACTTGGTGGCATTGTTTACTAACGATTACAAGGACAGCGCAGTGTCATAGTGACGTTTTACAGTGCTGCGACGATGTTCAGATAAGGCTCCTAGCAGCATATACGACGGATAAACAAAGGCAGCAAGAGCATACATTGTCCTGTGGGAGGTGGCAGAAACCAACTGGTGCTATCGCAGTTCGTCATACAGGTGCTTGTGGACAGGCAAAGTAGAACGTACGCTGATAGATAGAGCGCCATGATGATAGAGATTTGCGATCGTCGCAAAAAGAAGTTGCTCATGATGGTTTAGACGTTGGTAGTGATCGATACGGTGCGGACGCTGTCGAGAAAAAAAGGTAAATTGCTGTCTGCCGTGGAGGACACAATGCACTAGAGCGTGTCGGCCCTCTCGGTCCACATCGAACATGTAGCACAAAACACTGACACACGATTGTGCCACATTCCCAGTATTGTCGGTTTCAATGCGCTGACACGGAATACTGGTGATCGCGTGGTAAAGTTTTCGTACCTTGTGGCAAAGGTACTGGCGTGTCAGTAGATTGTATAAGAATACAACCATGTGATACATAGATACAAAATATCAATGCGACACCACCAGAGCCACTACTAGGACTGCTGAATCTGTCAAACTGCAACGACGGTTTATATGCGGTTCACGACTGAAAAAGTCGATAAAGATCCTCATGATACTAGTTTGTGCATGTTCGTGCGTATAGTATACGTCGTCGATGCATGTGTTTATCATTTGATGAGTATTTGGTGTATTTGCTGTTGCTTTTCTCATCTTGTTTTTTTTTCGTGTGGCTTTCGTGACTGTCTAGTGCATTTTTGGTTTCCTCTGTTCTTATTCGTGGTTAGATGGGTGTATTTGTAATACCTCCATTTCGATATTCCTGCATCTAGTTTTTCAGAAACGAGTCCATTTTCCTTTACTACATGGATGCTTTCTAGCGTTTCTCAAGATAGAAACTTGACATTACGAAAACGATGGAGGGCATGATTGATGCACAAGCGCAATCGGAAGACACTTGCAAGGCTCTTAGTGTTCGCGATCTATATTTTCACGTTGTGCCTTTCACATCTACGACTTGTGCTTATAAAGCTGAAAAGCGTCTCCGTCCCATTGTGGTGCTCATACATTGTGGTGCCTATCAGTAAGAATGAGGGCTGGCTTGGTGATGTAGACGACCTGTCGGCGAGGATGTGCGACCAAAAGGACGGGCATTTGGAGTCCGTAGTTCGCGACGGCTGTGCTACCTCCACGTCTCCTAGACCCTTCCTCACATGTATCGCTCTTTTATGATGTTTCAAATAATACATAGTCACGTAACTTGTGTGAAACCTCTCGTGTATCTCTACGCAACATGGTTCATATGTACGAAACGAAAGGATGTCACGTCGAGAGAGAGGTATGTCGTTGGGGGCGAAGCTCTGTTGACTCGACACAAGAACAGGTATGTAAGGTGCCCCACAACCAATTGGCATCTGTAGGACCCAAATCCATGCTCGAACGCTGGTGGCTCCCAAATGGCTCGGATCAGCTTACCACTCACTCCGCTAGCCCGTACAAAGTAAAGAAAGACCCTACTACACGTGATGTACGCTATCCCGAAACGTGCTCGACATCGTCGTCAACAAAAAGTCAAATCGCAATATTCAATGCAGTAGAAACTGTCTGAAGTAATAAGCTGTCACAATGCATCACAAAGGTATATCTCCGTGCTGCGATCATATTAGACAGACCCTACTGTACCCACCACCGCTGATCGACAGCTCGCGCGCCGTCTGCCTTTCCCCCATGGAGTTCCTCGTACCGCTCCACGCGGCCGATCTGGAGCTGGCCAAGGCAGGACGCTACCACGTGCAGTCGGTACATGCGCTGGAGGACGAGACGGAAGCGGAGATTGCAGCGCACCTGCAGCAACTGGAAGACCATGTGCTGGGCAGCGAGGCAGGACTGGAGCTGCTGCAGGAGGACTGGCTGGACTTGACGTACAGCTTTGTGAAGAAGCTCCCGACGTTGTCCGACACACTGCGCATGCACGTGATTGAGATGCTGGCGTCTTTTGTAAGCAGCGTGACGGAGAACGTGCTGGCGAGACGCCCGGGCAACGAGGACGCCGAGGACGTGGCGGCGATCCGCAGTGCTTTTAAAGCCAGCGTGTACTTTCTCGTTACAGCGCTCACGAGTGTCTGCAGCAGTTTGAAGCTGCAGCTGGAAAAGGACGTGCTAAAGACAAAGGGGAAGAAGAACCAGACGTCTGCAATGAATCGCATTAACTGGAGCAAAGTGGTGGAAGGAGCGATTCACAAGCTCAGTCGCTCCATCAGTCCCGCTACATTTGGCATGTGGAACATGAACGTGCCAGAAGAGGTGCGTCCTGCTTGTTGTTGGAAGGACGAATGAAGGGTTGCTGCATTTGCTGCGCTGATGCTAACAGCTGGTGCTACCAGGAGTTTTCAATGCTCTACTGCAAAGTCGTCTTTGAGCTGCTGGGCAATGCAACGCTCTGCCGCGGAAAGTCGCTGAAGCCAAAGCTTTATCATGTTCGTAGTGCTCTTCTCTCGCCCTCTGTCCCGATGTTATCGATACGGTACGAGTGACCAACTCTTGGCTGCTTGTTTTGCGCTGCTTTTGTTCTAGCTGCTCGCGATGAGTCTGCAAAAAGTGCCTGCGATCCACGTGTCGGTCGTAGCCTCGCTTATCGACCTCATCTACGCACATGAGCACCTGAGCGCTCCCATTGCAGAACTGGTCGAGCTGCTGTATTTCAAGTACGCCAACACCACGTTTGCATCGAATCTCATCAGCGAGATCGGGAAAATCTCTTCTCGGGACGCCTCGAAAGACGTAGCTGGGACGCGGAATATCGCCATGTTTCTTTCCAGTCTGTCAACTCTCACCCCGGCATTGATTACGGGCAACCTGAGTTTCGTGTTGGCATTGTTAGACTGTGAAGCGTATCAGCTACGGAACGCTGCTGTTACGTGCGTCGCACAGATCTTACTCTGGAATTTTCGCCAAAGCGGACAGCAAGAGCCCGATGATGATGATGCGGCAGCCGCTGATGTGAAGAACAAACATGGTCCTGACAGTGAAGAAAGCAGTGACGGGGAAGGAGACGGCAGCAGCAGTGAATCAAACGGCGAAACGTGTACTGGAAACGCCAACACCGAAGCTCCGCGCACGTTCTCTCGTTCAACGAGAGACCAGTTACTCAGTGTGCTTGAAGATCGCATTCATGACATCAATTCTTTTGCACGCGGGCATGTATTGAAGATGTGGGCTCTTTTGTGTGAAGAAGGAGCGCTGCCGCTACATATGCTCAAGAACGTCACGTTGATGGCTGTGGGGCGCTTGCAGGACAAGGCAGTGGTTGTCCGCCGTCATAGCATCCACCTGCTCACGTTGTTGCTGGAAAGAAACCCGTTTATGGGTAACCTAGATCGTCAATTTTACGCGAATAAGCACGATGCCTTGACGGTAGAGATGAAGAAGAAACGGGACGAAGTGATCGCGGGCGCGGAGAAAGAAATGAGTGAAGCTATGGGTGAAGTTGCCATCCAAAGCGGAGATCCGGAGTCACCTTCGTTGGCTATCGCTTCAGATGAAAAAGCTGCTGCTCTTGAAAAGGACCTGCAAAAGACCGTGCGTTTGTTAAAGTACTACCAAGACGCAATCAGCTTTATTGATGAGTTTGAGCTGCAAGCGTTGCCACTGATGAGCCAATTGCTGGGGAGCAAGTCTACCTCCGATGTACTGGAGGCTATCCAGTTTTTTGAGAAAGCGTACCGGTTCCATCTTACCGCTGCCCAGGCCGGTATCAGAAAAGTGTTGCCACTGATATGGCGGTCCGACTTATCCATTCAAGATCAGTTGTCCAGCACATTCGTGGCTCTGTTCGTTCGCATAGATGAGGAGGATCCTGAGCGAGATTCACCGCAGCTGGTGGCAGAAAATCTTGTGAAGTTCCTGGACAAGTGTACTGTCGCTGATTACACGTGTCTCGAGCGCATCATGGGGGAGCTACACCGCAGCCAGAAGCTACCAATGGTGGTCATCAGCTCTCTTTGGGAACTCGTGGATGTAGTCGTGTATCCAGTTTCCGTTGTGAGCAACGCGTTGGCCCTTCTTAGTATGATTGCGAATATCAATGATTCGATGTTGTTTTCCAACGATCGCCTCAGCCAAGTTCTTTCGATGGGATTTGGTGACGTTGCGTGCAACCCTGACTCACGATATCGAGTTTTTGGAGCCGCGTGTCGGTTGGTGCAATGCGTTCAGCTGGAGCCGAAAGGCTCAGCCTCGAAATCCAGCAGTCAAACCCTAGGGCGCATACACCGCACGAATCTAGACGCAACGGAGCAGATCATTCTTCGCTTGCAGCGATTCCTTGCTCTAGATTTTGTGAATGACGATGGCATCGATACGGAGTGTCTACATTCCACGTGGTTTGACACGGTGCAGCAAGCAATCGACGCCATCTTTTCTATCTGCGAGCGCCCGGAGGACGTGTGCGGTGACGTGATCAAACATCTTTCGCTACGTCTCTTCGAAAGCGAAACAAACGATGTGTCGCGTGTAGAGCTAGCTCACTTCTTCTTCGTGTTGGGTCACTCAGCAGTGAAAGTTGCTATTCACGTGGAAAAGCTAGCTGCAAAGGTAAAAGACATGCGTGGCAATCGGAATGTGCCGAAAAAACACGCTGACAATACCGTGTCAAATGGCGACGCCGAAGATGTGACTGCGATGGAGGATGAACTTGGTGTGGCTGCTGAGGTTGAGGCTGAGGAAGATACTTTTGTGAACAACATCATTCAAAAAGAGATTGCTTGCCGCAACTTGCTTGGAATCTATGGACCATTGATTATCCGTGTACTTGTGGGAACCGAGGACGAATTTAAGAGCGACGAACTCCTGACGGAATGTGCGGTGGTAGCGCTGAGCAAATTTATGGCGGTATCGGAGGAGTTTTGCGAGAAGCACTTGCAGTTGCTGTTCACGATCCTCCAGGATTCTTCACAACCTTCCGTGCGAGGTGATGTGATCATCGCGTTAGGGGACCTCTCCTTTCGATTTCCGAACTTGGTGGAGCCTTGGACACCCCACCTTTACAATCGACTCCGTGACGTCAACCTCAATGTCCGCAAAAATACAATAGTGGTACTCTCTCACCTGATTCTGAACGACATGATCAAGGTAAAAGGCCAGATAAGCGAAATTGCCATCTCACTTGTGGACAAAAACGACGGCATCCGCAACCTTGCCAAGCTGTTCTTCTACGAGCTATCAAAGAAAGGCACGAACCCTATTTACAACATGCTGCCCGACGCCATTGGCCAGCTGTCTACAAGGTGAGAGAGCATGTCTACCCTCACTCCGTTTTTTTTGCTCTTCTGTAGGCGACTGACAGACTGCCATATTTGTAGCGAGCTTGTATCCAATGCCGACTTCCAGACGATTGCGCGGTTCCTCATTCAGTTCATTTTGAAAGAAAAGCAGATCGAGAGTATTGTTGAGAAGCTGGCTCAGCGATTTTCAACGGCCTCCAAGGTGCAGCAGCAGCGTGACCTGGCTTTTTGTTTGGCACGCTTGCCGCACACGGAGAAGTCGCTCAAGTATCTGTATCAGAATCGCAAACTGTACAGTGATGCGCTCCACGATAGTGTGGTTGCTGACAACTTTACGTCCCTGGTCGCAAAAGCTCGGCGAGGAACCAGTGCGCTTACAGCAACGGCTGAGATGAAAGAAGCCATGGACAAGCTGGATCAGTTTGTCGCTGGCAAGAAGGAGGGGAAAGAGTTGGTAAGCGTTGTGATTATTGGTATGCTGGAGGAGTCGTGTACCTAGAACTTACTCTGATGCGTTGCCAGGATGAAACTATGGGCAGTGAACCCGCGGAGCGTGTTTCGTCACCGCAAACTAAGGGTAAGGCGAGGCGCAAGCTCTCCACTAAAGGTGCGAAGACTTCGAAAGCAGTACCGAAGAAGAGGGGGCGGCCCAAACGGAAGGCAAGCGCTCGTAGTCGAAAGGTCACGTGTACCGCAAGCGAGGACTCCTTAGACGACGAAGAATGAGTGAGTAGCTAATCCTGACATCGTGGAACGAGTAAAAGCAGTACGTGTTAATGAACGAAGCCTAACTCCACAGGATCCTCCGAGCAAGACATCCTGATCCACAATCGGCCGTCGTTCGCACTCATTCCTTATCATGCAGTAGGTAACTGTCAGGCTACAGTGGCTGCCGTTCAGCGCCAGGCAAGCTGGTGCAGGCGGTCAGCACGCGCAGAACTTCATCCGGATCGTCCAGGTAATACTGCGCACGACTGACTTTCATGCCCACTGTGCACGTGTAGCAGTTGCTGCCCTGGACGACGTCAAACATGTCTTCGTCCGTACGCTCGTCGCCTAGCGCGAGAATGAAATCAAAATCCAGCGCTGTAAAGTAGGGCGTCTCACTCTCGTACTCCAGAATGCGGCTCACAGCTCGGCCTTTGTTCACGCGCCACGGTCGGATCATCACGTACTTCTTGATTTGACACATCACCACACCAACCGGCAAATCACGCAACATCTGATCGAAATGAAGCTGCATATCCTTTGCCTGCTTCAGGCCGAAAGTGAGGTCAGCGTCCCGAAAGTGCCACGTATAGCAGCAATCCTTCACGTCCAGCAACGAGCCGGGGGTCCGCTCTGTGAAGTGCTCCAGTATGCTCTCCACCTCGTCGCGCCACCCTAGCTCCACGTCACTGAACATGCACTGCCACGGAGCACTTTCAAACACTGCGCTCTCGTTTCCGTTCACCATCGTCGTGGGTAACGGTGAATTGGCCAGCAGTTCGTCTTTCGCAACAAGCCCGACTGGCGCTGATTCTGCTCCGTGCGGCGATTCCGCGCTACTCGTACCCGTCAGGGCAGCAGTAGCGGAGGTCAACATACCACCGGTTCCATCTACATCGAGCGTAGATGGGTGCCTAGAGGCCGGGCGGAACCAATAACCATGCTCTGCCGCCAAGCCCACGCGCGGTAAAGAGCCAAACCATTCCTACAGTGCACACAAGCATGAGGGAGAGTCACGGCACACGATGTGATAGTGTCACATAGCAAACAGCAAGCAAAGCTAAGAGCAAACAAAGCAAAGAGCAAGCACTGGCTTACCTGCAGACGGTTCTTGTTTCTTCCGCAGATAATGTACACCGTATTGCGTGGATCCGCAGTCAGATCTTCCAGACACGAAAGCAGAGCCGGCGAAGGCTCAGCAAGTTCCTCCATGCTCTGGTAATTCACGAGCGTGCCATCATAATCCAGCAAAAACAAACGACGCTGGCTTCGTTCGTAGTACCCGAGCAGTTGCGCCGTATCCAACTTGTCAAGTCGATTGTATTCTTGCGCGGTGGCAGCAGCCTACATCATACCAAACCCACGTGGGTGAATTGGGTCAGCAACGATATGCATCACTACTAGCTTACCTCGTTCAGAGCCGACATGATTCGCTGAGCCCATAGCGTCGATGTGTACGTGAACACATAGCGCGACAACTGGTGGTGTCGGATACGTTTCGTGGTCGTACTCATGCGAAGTGCTGTATCCACGCTTGCAGCAACTTGCTCAATATGCATCGGGTTTACCAACAACGCACCCTGGAAAGACGAGGCACATCTGATTGCATGAGGCATCGAACGAAACTCATGTCAGCACAACACAAACCAGCATGTCCAGTACCGTCAACGACAGGCAACGCACCCCGCGAATTCGCTGTAGACGAGCACCCCGCGGCAGCTTTTCTTCTGGGCAGCGATGAATTCCATCGCCTGCAAGTTGATGCCTTCCTTGATGCTGCTCACAATGGCTACGTCGGCGCAGTTGTACAATGCCACGAGCTGGTCGTGGTCGATAGACTGCTTTAGATAGCGCACGGGGCAATACTCAGCTGTGCCAAAGCGACCGTTGACACGACCAACGAGTTCGCTGATTTGGCGGCTGAGCATTCGGTACTGTAGGGATGCTGTGCGTCCAGCATCGCGCACCACGGCGTAAAGCACCACTTTGCCACGGTACTCTGGGTAATGCTGCAACAAGTACTCCATCGCCTCGAGCATTTCTGGGATGCCCTTGCAAAAGTCGAGTTTGTGCACACCGACAATAATCTTCAGACCATCTTGCTGCTGCTTGAGCATCTCCACCTGAGCTTCCACCTTGGGCGTCAGTGCGTACTTGATTGGATCGATACCCATGGGACAAATGCCGAGCGAGATGAGGCGTCCGTTGTACTCAACGCGACTGGGCGATGACTCTAGTCCGAGCATGCGCGTGCAGACGTTCAGGAAGTGGCGCACGTAGTCAAAATGGTTGAAAACAACCAGGTCAGCACCCAGGACGCCGTGCAGGAGCACTTCGCGCACAGGCAGCATCTGAAAGAACTCAGAGGACGGAAAGGGACAATGAAAGTAAAAGCCGCACGTGACTTCCGGGAAGCGGCGACGCAGTAGTCCAGGAAGCGCCATGAGCTGGTAGTCGCACACGAGCACCAGGTCTCCGTCCTTGTAGATCTCCGACACAACCTCGAGGAACTTTTGGTTGGCCGAGCAGTAGGCGTCGTACTTGTCGCCAAAGTTCTCGAGCAATCTGCTGTCCGATCGCTGCGGCAACGAGTGGAATAGCGGCCAGAGCACCACGTTACAGAACTGGTTGTAGTACAAGTCAATTGTCTCGTGGCTCAGGAACACAGGGTGGCACTGCGAGTCCGCCAGCCGTCGACGCACGCCGTCCTGGCTCGATTCGTCCACGGCCACACCTGGCCACGACACCCAGTGCACGGCGTTGCCTTGTCCCAGGTAGTCGATCGCGCTCTTGAGCCCCGTGGCAGACGCCTCGTAGTGCCAGCCGTCTCCTTGATCCGTCTTGTGCATGCGCACACAGCGACGCAGCGAGCATACAATGATCTTGTTGCTGTCGTTGGCCATGGGGATGGGCCCCAAGTTGCGCGCGAGCGAGTTGTAGCGCTGCGAGTTTTGGCGCACGGCTGCGAGGCGCTGGTGCAGGTCATGCAGCTGGTCCAGCAGCGAGCTCTCGCCCAGTTCAGCCAGACTCGACGGCGCCACGTCGGAGGATTCGATCATGTTGAGATAGCGAGCGAGGGAGTGAGAGAGAAGGAAAATGAACAAAAGAGGGCGACTTTTGGCTCAATCGAATCCAACCAGAGCCAGAGGTGACGGACGGACAGTGCCGACGACCTGCTAGGGTGGAAAACTAACCGACTCGGACGGATGCCCTTTTTTGGATCGAATCGAGATGACGTCGAATTCAAACATGCATGCTCAATTGTCTCCAGATTCACAATCGGTTGTTACTCCTACTACTCCTACTCCTCCTTGTTCACGATGGCCACCAGCAAGTCGCGGTATTTACCACTCGTGTCGCTGCGGATGCGTGCACTCAGCTCCTTGCCGTACTGCTTCTTGTAAGCCGTCTTGATCTGTGGCAGCATTGAACTGTAGCGCACCACTGCCGCACTAAGCCCGTATTCGTCCGTGCCAAACCCCTTCATCGTGCTCTCGATTAGGTCTGCCACCACCTCAGACGGCTCGGTCGCCATCCGCACAAAGAATAGTAGCGCCACTTGAACGTCCCCTCTAAACTCGCCCTTGATCGCCTTCACAACACTACTCTTCTGATACTTGTCCGAGTACGCAGCGACAATCGCACGCACGTGCTCCGCGGGGCTCAGCACCAGAGTGTCGATGAACGTCTTTGAATCCGTACCACGCTTCCCTTCGCCAGCCTTGTACAGCGCGTCAGCATCCGCACTAGCTTTTGCATTCGTGTGCACAGACGCATCGAAGTTGGCCACCTCGCCGCGCACAGCGGTAAGGATCACCTTCTTCAGATCACCACTCAGTTCACCACTCAACACCGTTACCAGGTCGTCGCCGTACTTCTCCCGGAACGCAATCTTCAATAGCGCAATCTCAGCATTCGAGCGGGCCATCACGACCGGGTAGATCCGTTCTTTTTTCGTACCGAGGCCCACCGTCGCCTTACGCAAGATCTCGGCTTCCACGTGCTCCAAGGGACTCGCAAGCATCTTCAGCAAGACGCCATAGTCGCTCGTGCTCTTCACCCACACCGTCAAGCTCTGCTTGTACAGAATGCGGTAGCGCCACCAGATCAGGTAGCGATGCTCCACGGTCTTTGACAGCAGCAGAGATGCCAGGGCAGTCTCAGCCGAAGTCGTACTAGAGCACTCGCGGTGGATCTCTTGCACAGCCGCATCGATCTCGGCAGGGAACGTCATTGACTCAATGCTGCTGCTCTCATGTGCATAGCGCACGTACAGACTGCTCATCGCTGTCGTGCCCGCAACTGCTAGTTCAGTAGTGCTCTTCTCGCCGCTCACGGTAGACGTCGCCGTCTTTGAGCCGGCAACCGCACTCTCCTTCGAGCTCGTGCTCACAGTAGCACTTGACGAGATGCCCGCCTTCTTCTCCACTGACGCGCTCGTGCCGATGGCGTCACCGCTTACAGCATCGTCCACAGTAGCACTGGCTGAACCACATACGGGTCCAGATGCAGACGTACTGAACTCCGTCTCTGCTGCGTCGAGCACCGACAGAAGCAGTTGGTAGCACTCGCCACTCACCACACCCTGGATGCGAGTACGTAGCTCCTGGTTGTACGAGCGCATGTACGTTGTGCGAATGTGCACAAGGTGGCGGTAGTACCGCACCACACACGCGCTCAGGCCATATACGTTCTTGCTACCCCCCTTCAGCGTCGTCTCAAACAGCTCTACAAGCAGGCTCACTGGTTCCAGCACCGATCGCACCAGGAACAGCAGCGCACGCTTCGCGTCGCCGGAGAATTCCGCCTCGATCACACCCACAAGACTTGTCTTGTACTTCGCCTCGTACGCACTACTGATGCCACGCACGTGCTCCGCGGGGCTCAGCACCAGAGTGTCGATGAACGTCTTCTTATCCGCGCCATGTTTTCCTTCGCCGGCCTTGTACAGCGCGTCAGCATCTGCACTAGCTTTTGCATTCGTGTGCACAGACGCATCGAAGTTGGCCACCTCGCCGCGCACAGCGGTAAGGATCACCTTCTTCAGATCACCACTCAGTTCACCACTCAACACCGTTACCAGGTCGTCGCCGTACTTCTCCCGGAACGCAATCTTCAATAGCGCAATCTCAGCATTCGAGCGGGCCATCACGACCGGGTAGATCCGTTCTTTTTTCGTACCGAGGCCCACCGTCGCCTTACGCAAGATCTCGGCTTCCACGTGCTCCAAGGGACTCGCAAGCATCTTCAGCAAGACGCCATAGTCGCTCGTGCTCTTCACCCACACCGTCAAGCTCTGCTTGTACAGAATGCGGTAGCGCCACCAGATCAGGTAGCGATGCTCCACGGTCTTTGACAGCAGCAGAGATGCCAGGGCAGTCTCAGCCGAAGTCGTACTAGAGCACTCGCGGTGGATCTCTCGCACAGCCGCATCGATCTCGGCAGGGAACGTCATTGACTCAATGCTGCTGCTCTCATGTGCATAGCGCACGTACAGACTGCTCATCGCTGTCGTGCCCGCAACTGCTAGTTCAGTAGTGCTCTTCTCGCCGCTCACGGTAGACGTCGCCGTCTTTGAGCCGGCAACCGCACTCTCCTTCGAGCTCGTGCTCACAGTAGCACTTGACGAGATGCCCGCCTTCTTCTCCACTGACGCGCTCGTGCCGATGGCGTCACCGCTTACAGCATCGTCCACAGTAGCACTGGCTGAACCACATACGGGTCCAGATGCAGACGTACTGAACTCCGTCTCTGCTGCGTCGAGCACCGACAGAAGCAGTTGGTAGCACTCGCCACTCACCACACCCTGGATGCGAGTACGTAGCTCCTGGTTGTACGAGCGCATGTACGTTGTGCGAATGTGCACAAGGTGGCGGTAGTACCGCACCACACACGCGCTCAGGCCATATACGTTCTTGCTACCCCCCTTCAGCGTCGTCTCAAACAGCTCTACAAGCAGGCTCACTGGTTCCAGCACCGATCGCACCAGGAACAGCAGCGCACGCTTCGCGTCGCCGGAGAATTCCGCCTCGATCACACCCACAAGACTTGTCTTGTACTTCGCCTCGTACGCACTACTGATGCCACGCACGTGCTCCGCGGGGCTCAGCACCAGAGTGTCGATGAACGTCTTCTTATCCGCGCCATGTTTTCCTTCGCCGGCCTTGTACAGCGCGTCAGCATCTGCACTAGCTTTTGCATTCGTGTGCACAGACGCATCGAAGTTGGCCACCTCGCCGCGCACAGCGGTAAGGATCACCTTCTTCAGATCACCACTCAGTTCACCACTCAACACCGTTACCAGGTCGTCGCCGTACTTCTCCCGGAACGCAATCTTCAATAGCGCAATCTCAGCATTCGAGCGGGCCATCACGACCGGGTAGATCCATTCTTCTTTCGTACCGAGGCCCACCGTCGCCTTACGCAAGATCTCGGCTTCCACGTGCTCCAAGGGACTCGCAAGCATCTTCAGCAAGACGCCATAGTCGCTCGTGCTCTTCACCCACACCGTCAAGCTCTGCTTGTACAGAATGCGGTAGCGCCACCAGATCAGGTAGCGATGCTCCACGGTCTTTGACAGCAGCAGAGATGCCAGGGCAGTCTCAGCCGAAGTCGTACTAGAGCACTCGCGGTGGATCTCTTGCACAGCCGCATCGATCTCGGCAGGGAACGTCATTGACTCAATGCTGCTGCTCTCATGTGCATAGCGCACGTACAGACTGCTCATCGCTGTCGTGCCCGCAACTGCTAGTTCAGTAGTGCTCTTCTCGCCGCTCACGGTAGACGTCGCCGTCTTTGAGCCGGCAACCGCACTCTCCTTCGAGCTCGTGCTCACAGTAGCACTTGACGAGATGCCCGCCTTCTTCTCCACTGACGCGCTCGTGCCGATGGCGTCACCGCTTACAGCATCGTCCACAGTAGCACTGGCTGAACCACATACGGGTCCAGATGCAGACGTACTGAACTCCGTCTCTGCTGCGTCGAGCACCGACAGAAGCAGTTGGTAGCACTCGCCACTCACCACACCCTGGATGCGAGTACGTAGCTCCTGGTTGTACGAGCGCATGTACGTTGTGCGAATGTGCACAAGGTGGCGGTAGTACCGCACCACACACGCGCTCAGGCCATATACGTTCTTGCTACCCCCCTTCAGCGTCGTCTCAAACAGCTCTACAAGCAGGCTCACTGGTTCCAGCACCGATCGCACCAGGAACAGCAGCGCACGCTTCGCGTCGCCGGAGAATTCCGCCTCGATCACACCCACAAGACTTGTCTTGTACTTCGCCTCGTACGCACTACTGATGCCACGCACGTGCTCCGCGGGGCTCAGCACCAGAGTGTCGATGAACGTCTTCTTATCCGCGCCATGTTTTCCTTCGCCGGCCTTGTACAGCGCGTCAGCATCTGCACGAGCTTTTGCATTCGTGTGCACAGACGCATCGAAGTTGGCCACCTCGCCGCGCACAGCGGTAAGGATCACCTTCTTCAGATCACCACTCAGTTCACCACTCAACACCGTTACCAGGTCGTCGCCGTACTTCTCCCGGAACGCAATCTTCAATAGCGCAATCTCAGCATTCGAGCGGGCCATCACGACCGGGTAGATCCATTCTTCTTTCGTACCGAGGCCCACCGTCGCCTTACGCAAGATCTCGGCTTCCACGTGCTCCAAGGGACTCGCAAGCATCTTCAGCAAGACGCCATAGTCGCTCGTGCTCTTCACCCACACCGTCAAGCTCTGCTTGTACAGAATGCGGTAGCGCCACCAGATCAGGTAGCGATGCTCCACGGTCTTTGACAGCAGCAGAGATGCCAGGGCAGTCTCAGCCGAAGTCGTACTAGAGCACTCGCGGTGGATCTCTTGCACAGCCGCATCGATCTCGGCAGGGAACGTCATTGACTCAATGCTGCTGCTCTCATGTGCATAGCGCACGTACAGACTGCTCATCGCTGTCGTGCCCGCAACTGCTAGTTCAGTAGTGCTCTTCTCGCCGCTCACGGTAGACGTCGCCGTCTTTGAGCCGGCAACCGCACTCTCCTTCGAGCTCGTGCTCACAGTAGCACTTGACGAGATGCCCGCCTTCTTCTCCACTGACGCGCTCGTGCCGATGGCGTCACCGCTTACAGCATCGTCCACAGTAGCACTGGCTGAACCACATACGGGTCCAGATGCAGACGTACTGAACTCCGTCTCTGCTGCGTCGAGCACCGACAGAAGCAGTTGGTAGCACTCGCCACTCACCACACCCTGGATGCGAGTACGTAGCTCCTGGTTGTACGAGCGCATGTACGTTGTGCGAATGTGCACAAGGTGGCGGTAGTACCGCACCACACACGCGCTCAGGCCATATACGTTCTTGCTACCCCCCTTCAGCGTCGTCTCAAACAGCTCTACAAGCAGGCTCACTGGTTCCAGCACCGATCGCACCAGGAACAGCAGCGCACGCTTCGCGTCGCCGGAGAATTCCGCCTCGATCACACCCACAAGACTTGTCTTGTACTTCGCCTCGTACGCACTACTGATGCCACGCACGTGCTCCGCGGGGCTCAGCACCAGAGTGTCGATGAACGTCTTCTTATCCGCGCCATGTTTTCCTTCGCCGGCCTTGTACAGCGCGTCAGCATCTGCACTAGCTTTTGCATTCGTGTGCACAGACGCATCGAAGTTGGCCACCTCGCCGCGCACAGCGGTAAGGATCACCTTCTTCAGATCACCACTCAGTTCACCACTCAACACCGTTACCAGGTCGTCGCCGTACTTCTCCCGGAACGCAATCTTCAATAGCGCAATCTCAGCATTCGAGCGGGCCATCACGACCGGGTAGATCCATTCTTCTTTCGTACCGAGGCCCACCGTCGCCTTACGCAAGATCTCGGCTTCCACGTGCTCCAAGGGACTCGCAAGCATCTTCAGCAAGACGCCATAGTCGCTCGTGCTCTTCACCCACACCGTCAAGCTCTGCTTGTACAGAATGCGGTAGCGCCACCAGATCAGGTAGCGATGCTCCACGGTCTTTGACAGCAGCAGAGATGCCAGGGCAGTCTCAGCCGAAGTCGTACTAGAGCACTCGCGGTGGATCTCTTGCACAGCCGCATCGATCTCGGCAGGGAACGTCATTGACTCAATGCTGCTGCTCTCATGTGCATAGCGCACGTACAGACTGCTCATCGCTGTCGTGCCCGCAACTGCTAGTTCAGTAGTGCTCTTCTCGCCGCTCACGGTAGACGTCGCCGTCTTTGAGCCGGCAACCGCACTCTCCTTCGAGCTCGTGCTCACAGTAGCACTTGACGAGATGCCCGCCTTCTTCTCCACTGACGCGCTCGTGCCGATGGCGTCACCGCTTACAGCATCGTCCACAGTAGCACTGGCTGAACCACATACGGGTCCAGATGCAGACGTACTGAACTCCGTCTCTGCTGCGTCGAGCACCGACAGAAGCAGTTGGTAGCACTCGCCACTCACCACACCCTGGATGCGAGTACGTAGCTCCTGGTTGTACGAGCGCATGTACGTTGTGCGAATGTGCACAAGGTGGCGGTAGTACCGCACCACACACGCGCTCAGGCCATATACGTTCTTGCTACCCCCCTTCAGCGTCGTCTCAAACAGCTCTACAAGCAGGCTCACTGGTTCCAGCACCGATCGCACCAGGAACAGCAGCGCACGCTTCGCGTCGCCGGAGAATTCCGCCTCGATCACACCCACAAGACTTGTCTTGTACTTCGCCTCGTACGCACTACTGATGCCACGCACGTGCTCCGCGGGGCTCAGCACCAGAGTGTCGATGAACGTCTTCTTATCCGCGCCATGTTTTCCTTCGCCGGCCTTGTACAGCGCGTCAGCATCTGCACGAGCTTTTGCATTCGTGTGCACAGACGCATCGAAGTTGGCCACCTCGCCGCGCACAGCGGTAAGGATCACCTTCTTCAGATCACCACTCAGTTCACCACTCAACACCGTTACCAGGTCGTCGCCGTACTTCTCCCGGAACGCAATCTTCAATAGCGCAATCTCAGCATTCGAGCGGGCCATCACGACCGGGTAGATCCATTCTTCTTTCGTACCGAGGCCCACCGTCGCCTTACGCAAGATCTCGGCTTCCACGTGCTCCAAGGGACTCGCAAGCATCTTCAGCAAGACGCCATAGTCGCTCGTGCTCTTCACCCACACCGTCAAGCTCTGCTTGTACAGAATGCGGTAGCGCCACCAGATCAGGTAGCGATGCTCCACGGTCTTTGACAGCAGCAGAGATGCCAGGGCAGTCTCAGCCGAAGTCGTACTAGAGCACTCGCGGTGGATCTCTTGCACAGCCGCATCGATCTCGGCAGGGAACGTCATTGACTCAATGCTGCTGCTCTCATGTGCATAGCGCACGTACAGACTGCTCATCGCTGTCGTGCCCGCAACTGCTAGTTCAGTAGTGCTCTTCTCGCCGCTCACGGTAGACGTCGCCGTCTTTGAGCCGGCAACCGCACTCTCCTTCGAGCTCGTGCTCACAGTAGCACTTGACGAGATGCCCGCCTTCTTCTCCACTGACGCGCTCGTGCCGATGGCGTCACCGCTTACAGCATCGTCCACAGTAGCACTGGCTGAACCACATACGGGTCCAGATGCAGACGTACTGAACTCCGTCTCTGCTGCGTCGAGCACCGACAGAAGCAGTTGGTAGCACTCGCCACTCACCACACCCTGGATGCGAGTACGTAGCTCCTGGTTGTACGAGCGCATGTACGTTGTGCGAATGTGCACAAGGTGGCGGTAGTACCGCACCACACACGCGCTCAGGCCATATACGTTCTTGCTACCCCCCTTCAGCGTCGTCTCAAACAGCTCTACAAGCAGGCTCACTGGTTCCAGCACCGATCGCACCAGGAACAGCAGCGCACGCTTCGCGTCGCCGGAGAATTCCGCCTCGATCACACCCACAAGACTTGTCTTGTACTTCGCCTCGTACGCACTACTGATGCCACGCACGTGCTCCGCGGGGCTCAGCACCAGAGTGTCGATGAACGTCTTCTTATCCGCGCCATGTTTTCCTTCGCCGGCCTTGTACAGCGCGTCAGCATCTGCACTAGCTTTTGCATTCGTGTGCACAGACGCATCGAAGTTGGCCACCTCGCCGCGCACAGCGGTAAGGATCACCTTCTTCAGATCACCACTCAGTTCACCACTCAACACCGTTACCAGGTCGTCGCCGTACTTCTCCCGGAACGCAATCTTCAATAGCGCAATCTCAGCATTCGAGCGGGCCATCACGACCGGGTAGATCCATTCTTCTTTCGTACCGAGGCCCACCGTCGCCTTACGCAAGATCTCGGCTTCCACGTGCTCCAAGGGACTCGCAAGCATCTTCAGCAAGACGCCATAGTCGCTCGTGCTCTTCACCCACACCGTCAAGCTCTGCTTGTACAGAATGCGGTAGCGCCACCAGATCAGGTAGCGATGCTCCACGGTCTTTGACAGCAGCAGAGATGCCAGGGCAGTCTCAGCCGAAGTCGTACTAGAGCACTCGCGGTGGATCTCTTGCACAGCCGCATCGATCTCGGCAGGGAACGTCATTGACTCAATGCTGCTGCTCTCATGTGCATAGCGCACGTACAGACTGCTCATCGCTGTCGTGCCCGCAACTGCTAGTTCAGTAGTGCTCTTCTCGCCGCTCACGGTAGACGTCGCCGTCTTTGAGCCGGCAACCGCACTCTCCTTCGAGCTCGTGCTCACAGTAGCACTTGACGAGATGCCCGCCTTCTTCTCCACTGACGCGCTCGTGCCGATGGCGTCACCGCTTACAGCATCGTCCACAGTAGCACTGGCTGAACCACATACGGGTCCAGATGCAGACGTACTGAACTCCGTCTCTGCTGCGTCGAGCACCGACAGAAGCAGTTGGTAGCACTCGCCACTCACCACACCCTGGATGCGAGTACGTAGCTCCTGGTTGTACGAGCGCATGTACGTTGTGCGAATGTGCACAAGGTGGCGGTAGTACCGCACCACACACGCGCTCAGGCCATATACGTTCTTGCTACCCCCCTTCAGCGTCGTCTCAAACAGCTCTACAAGCAGGCTCACTGGTTCCAGCACCGATCGCACCAGGAACAGCAGCGCACGCTTCGCGTCGCCGGAGAATTCCGCCTCGATCACACCCACAAGACTTGTCTTGTACTTCGCCTCGTACGCACTACTGATGCCACGCACGTGCTCCGCGGGGCTCAGCACCAGAGTGTCGATGAACGTCTTCTTATCCGCGCCATGTTTTCCTTCGCCGGCCTTGTACAGCGCGTCAGCATCTGCACGAGCTTTTGCATTCGTGTGCACAGACGCATCGAAGTTGGCCACCTCGCCGCGCACAGCGGTAAGGATCACCTTCTTCAGATCACCACTCAGTTCACCACTCAACACCGTTACCAGGTCGTCGCCGTACTTCTCCCGGAACGCAATCTTCAATAGCGCAATCTCAGCATTCGAGCGGGCCATCACGACCGGGTAGATCCATTCTTCTTTCGTACCGAGGCCCACCGTCGCCTTACGCAAGATCTCGGCTTCCACGTGCTCCAAGGGACTCGCAAGCATCTTCAGCAAGACGCCATAGTCGCTCGTGCTCTTCACCCACACCGTCAAGCTCTGCTTGTACAGAATGCGGTAGCGCCACCAGATCAGGTAGCGATGCTCCACGGTCTTTGACAGCAGCAGAGATGCCAGGGCAGTCTCAGCCGAAGTCGTACTAGAGCACTCGCGGTGGATCTCTTGCACAGCCGCATCGATCTCGGCAGGGAACGTCATTGACTCAATGCTGCTGCTCTCATGTGCATAGCGCACGTACAGACTGCTCATCGCTGTCGTGCCCGCAACTGCTAGTTCAGTAGTGCTCTTCTCGCCGCTCACGGTAGACGTCGCCGTCTTTGAGCCGGCAACCGCACTCTCCTTCGAGCTCGTGCTCACAGTAGCACTTGACGAGATGCCCGCCTTCTTCTCCACTGACGCGCTCGTGCCGATGGCGTCACCGCTTACAGCATCGTCCACAGTAGCACTGGCTGAACCACATACGGGTCCAGATGCAGACGTACTGAACTCCGTCTCTGCTGCGTCGAGCACCGACAGAAGCAGTTGGTAGCACTCGCCACTCACCACACCCTGGATGCGAGTACGTAGCTCCTGGTTGTACGAGCGCATGTACGTTGTGCGAATGTGCACAAGGTGGCGGTAGTACCGCACCACACACGCGCTCAGGCCATATACGTTCTTGCTACCCCCTTCAGCGTCGTCTCAAACAGCTCTACAAGCAGGCTCACTGGTTCCAGCACCGATCGCACCAGGAACAGCAGCGCACGCTTCGCGTCGCCGGAGAATTCCGCCTCGATCACACCCACAAGACTTGTCTTGTACTTCGCCTCGTACGCACTACTGATGCCACGCACGTGCTCCGCGGGGCTCAGCACCAGAGTGTCGATGAACGTCTTCTTATCCGCGCCATGTTTTCCTTCACCGGCCTTGTACAGCGCGTCAGCATCTGCACGAGCTTTTGCATTCGTGTGCACAGACGCATCGAAGTTGGCCACCTCGCCGCGCACAGCGGTAAGGATCACCTTCTTCAGATCACCACTCAGTTCACCACTCAACACCGTTACCAGGTCGTCGCCGTACTTCTCCCGGAACGCAATCTTCAATAGCGCAATCTCAGCATTCGAGCGGGCCATCACGACCGGGTAGATCCATTCTTCTTTCGTACCGAGGCCCACCGTCGCCTTACGCAAGATCTCGGCTTCCACGTGCTCCAAGGGACTCGCAAGCATCTTCAGCAAGACGCCATAGTCGCTCGTGCTCTTCACCCACACCGTCAAGCTCTGCTTGTACAGAATGCGGTAGCGCCACCAGATCAGGTAGCGATGCTCCACGGTCTTTGACAGCAGCAGAGATGCCAGGGCAGTCTCAGCCGAAGTCGTACTAGAGCACTCGCGGTGGATCTCTTGCACAGCCGCATCGATCTCGGCAGGGAACGTCATTGACTCAATGCTGCTGCTCTCATGTGCATAGCGCACGTACAGACTGCTCATCGCTGTCGTGCCCGCAACTGCTAGTTCAGTAGTGCTCTTCTCGCCGCTCACGGTAGACGTCGCCGTCTTTGAGCCGGCAACCGCACTCTCCTTCGAGCTCGTGCTCACAGTAGCACTTGACGAGATGCCCGCCTTCTTCTCCACTGACGCGCTCGTGCCGATGGCGTCACCGCTTACAGCATCGTCCACAGTAGCACTGGCTGAACCACATACGGGTCCAGATGCAGACGTACTGAACTCCGTCTCTGCTGCGTCGAGCACCGACAGAAGCAGTTGGTAGCACTCGCCACTCACCACACCCTGGATGCGAGTACGTAGCTCCTGGTTGTACGAGCGCATGTACGTTGTGCGAATGTGCACAAGGTGGCGGTAGTACCGCACCACACACGCGCTCAGGCCATATACGTTCTTGCTACCCCCCTTCAGCGTCGTCTCAAACAGCTCTACAAGCAGGCTCACTGGTTCCAGCACCGATCGCACCAGGAACAGCAGCGCACGCTTCGCGTCGCCGGAGAATTCCGCCTCGATCACACCCACAAGACTTGTCTTGTACTTCGCCTCGTACGCACTACTGATGCCACGCACGTGCTCCGCGGGGCTCAGCACCAGAGTGTCGATGAACGTCTTCTTATCCGCGCCATGTTTTCCTTCGCCGGCCTTGTACAGCGCGTCAGCATCTGCACGAGCTTTTGCATTCGTGTGCACAGACGCATCGAAGTTGGCCACCTCGCCGCGCACAGCGGTAAGGATCACCTTCTTCAGATCACCACTCAGTTCACCACTCAACACCGTTACCAGGTCGTCGCCGTACTTCTCCCGGAACGCAATCTTCAATAGCGCAATCTCAGCATTCGAGCGGGCCATCACGACCGGGTAGATCCATTCTTCTTTCGTACCGAGGCCCACCGTCGCCTTACGCAAGATCTCGGCTTCCACGTGCTCCAAGGGACTCGCAAGCATCTTCAGCAAGACGCCATAGTCGCTCGTGCTCTTCACCCACACCGTCAAGCTCTGCTTGTACAGAATGCGGTAGCGCCACCAGATCAGGTAGCGATGCTCCACGGTCTTTGACAGCAGCAGAGATGCCAGGGCAGTCTCAGCCGAAGTCGTACTAGAGCACTCGCGGTGGATCTCTTGCACAGCCGCATCGATCTCGGCAGGGAACGTCATTGACTCAATGCTGCTGCTCTCATGTGCATAGCGCACGTACAGACTGCTCATCGCTGTCGTGCCCGCAACTGCTAGTTCAGTAGTGCTCTTCTCGCCGCTCACGGTAGACGTCGCCGTCTTTAAGCCACTAGGTGAGATGGCGTCTTCACGCGAGAATGAACTTCGAGCTTTCGGTATCTCATCGTTTTCGTCATTCCATTTGGATCGTTTGACATCCTGTGTCAAATCGGTCTCAGTCAAGAGCACTGCGTCGTCGGGAAAACTTACGATAGAGGATAAAGGTTGGGTTTGCTGATTCGTCCGGCGTTCATTGGCTCGATCGATAACGGTGACACGATACTGAGCATCCTTGCTTGCGCTGAGGTCCAATAAAATCTCGGTCAGATCCGTTTTACTTTGATGCGCATGCCCGAACTTCTCGATGAATGAATCGAATGACTTCGTTGAGCCGTAAAACACAGCCTCGCCCCTCTCCGACAGCAGTAAATGCTCATAGCCACGAACCAATTCAGGGGATTCCCTCAGTATTGAAGTCAGGACCTGAGCATCCACCGCCTCAGAAACCTTCTCGTTTCCCTCACGAGTAACTTCATCGATCACCAGTATGCGCTTATGCTGTCCTATCTGAACGCCGAATTCGTGCGCTGCAAGCTCCGGAAAATGCGCCGAAAGAGCATGAGCAACATTCCGCGCTGCTGCCTTTTCGTCCATCAAATCACCGTTATAGATGTTTTCACTGGAGGTAGAAAACTTAGTCGAAAAGAAGTCTCTCGAAAACCTTTGCGCTTCTTCAGGGCCCAGCCTCGCAACGTTCATACTTCTCTCGTCACAGTAGGCCACAAAGTCCGACAGCCATGGCCATTCGGACGAGCTTTCCTTTAACTTGCGCAACAACTTACTCGATTTCCTTCCAATAAGCCCAATCACGACAAGGGTGTTCGGATACTCCAACGATGCAGCGCCAGTCGAAGTCTTGTGCTCAGTTAGTGCTCCAACAGTCTCGCTTGTTCCTCTACCCTCCAATTCCGTCGGCTCATTCGTCCCGCAATTTTCGTTTAAGTTACCAGGGTCAGCGATCGTTTCGTAAGTGTCACGAAGACCAACACCGGAGGCTGGAACCACCACGCTACAAGCCAAATCGACCACACTTCTCGACGGTACGACGAAATCTCGATCGCTCCTGTACGTCATCGTTGTATCATGCCGTAAATCATCCTCGACTTCATCGTGCGTCTCCATCTCCACCGTAGTGCTCTTCTCGCCAGTAGTCGTCTCCGTCTCCGTCGTCGTTTCCACTTCAACCGTCTTCACTAGCTCACCGCTGGCAGACGTCGAAGGGCGTGTTGTTGCCTTCACCGTCTTCGTCACGATGCTGCCGTCGGCCCCCTGAGACTGGAACACCTCCGTCTGCACCGACTCGCCTGGAGCTGCGCCAGCTTCCACGGTCGAGCGAAGAACACGAGCACCTGGCATGGACGGCACGGTGCGGCCAGATATCGTCGTCAGGCTGCCTTCCTCCACGTCCGTCTCCTCGCGCGTCTCCATCTCCACCGTAGTGCTCTTCTCGCCAGTAGTCGTCTCCGTCTCCGTCGTCGTTTCCACTTCAACCGTCTTCACTAGCTCACCGCTGGCAGACGTCGAAGGGCGTGTTGTTGCCTTCACCGTCTTCGTCACGATGCTGCCGTCGGCCTCCTGAGACTGGAACACCTCCGTCTGCACCGACTCGCCTGGAGCTGCGCCAGCTTCCACGGTCGAGCGAAGAACACGAGCACCTGGCATGGACGGCACGGTGCGGCCAGATATCGTCGTCAGGCTGCCTTCCTCCACGTCCGTCTCCTCGCGCGTCTCCATCTCCACCGTAGTGCTCTTCTCGCCAGTAGTCGTCTCCGTCTCCGTCGTCGTTTCCACTTCAACCGTCTTCACTAGCTCACCGCTGGCAGACGTCGAAGGGCGTGTTGTTGCCTTCACCGTCTTCGTCACGATGCTGCCGTCGGCCTCCTGAGACTGGAACACCTCCGTCTGCACCGACTCGCCTGGAGCTGCGCCAGCTTCCACGGTCGAGCGAAGAACACGAGCACCTGGCATGGACGGCACGGTGCGGCCAGATATCGTCGTCAGGCTGCCTTCCTCCACGTCCGTCTCCTCGCGCGTCTCCATCTCCACCGTAGTGCTCTTCTCGCCAGTAGTCGTCTCCGTCTCCGTCGTCGTTTCCACTTCAACCGTCTTCACTAGCTCACCGCTGGCAGACGTCGAAGGGCGTGTTGTTGCCTTCACCGTCTTCGTCACGATGCTGCCGTCGGCCTCCTGAGACTGGAACACCTCCGTCTGCACCGACTCGCCTGGAGCTGCGCCAGCTTCCACGGTCGAGCGAAGAACACGAGCACCTGGCATGGACGGCACGGTGCGGCCAGATATCGTCGTCAGGCTGCCTTCCTCCACGTCCGTCTCCTCGCGCGTCTCCATCTCCACCGTAGTGCTCTTCTCGCCAGTAGTCGTCTCCGTCTCCGTCGTCGTTTCCACTTCAACCGTCTTCACTAGCTCACCGCTGGCAGACGTCGAAGGGCGTGTTGTTGCCTTCACCGTCTTCGTCACGATGCTGCCGTCGGCCTCCTGAGACTGGAACACCTCCGTCTGCACCGACTCGCCTGGAGCTGCGCCAGCTTCCACGGTCGAGCGAAGAACACGAGCACCTGGCATGGACGGCACGGTGCGGCCAGATATCGTCGTCAGGCTGCCTTCCTCCACGTCCGTCTCCTCGCGCGTCTCCATCTCCACCGTAGTGCTCTTCTCGCCAGTAGTCGTCTCCGTCTCCGTCGTCGTTTCCACTTCAACCGTCTTCACTAGCTCACCGCTGGCAGACGTCGAAGGGCGTGTTGTTGCCTTCACCGTCTTCGTCACGATGCTGCCGTCGGCCTCCTGAGACTGGAACACCTCCGTCTGCACCGACTCGCCTGGAGCTGCGCCAGCTTCCACGGTCGAGCGAAGAACACGAGCACCTGGCATGGACGGCACGGTGCGGCCAGATATCGTCGTCAGGCTGCCTTCCTCCACGTCCGTCTCCTCGCGCGTCTCCATCTCCACCGTAGTGCTCTTCTCGCCAGTAGTCGTCTCCGTCTCCGTCGTCGTTTCCACTTCAACCGTCTTCACTAGCTCACCGCTGGCAGACGTCGAAGGGCGTGTTGTTGCCTTCACCGTCTTCGTCACGATGCTGCCGTCGGCCTCCTGAGACTGGAACACCTCCGTCTGCACCGACTCGCCTGGAGCTGCGCCAGCTTCCACGGTCGAGCGAAGAACACGAGCACCTGGCATGGACGGCACGGTGCGGCCAGATATCGTCGTCAGGCTGCCTTCCTCCACGTCCGTCTCCTCGCGCGTCTCCATCTCCACCGTAGTGCTCTTCTCGCCAGTAGTCGTCTCCGTCTCCGTCGTCGTTTCCACTTCAACCGTCTTCACTAGCTCACCGCTGGCAGACGTCGAAGGGCGTGTTGTTGCCTTCACCGTCTTCGTCACGATGCTGCCGTCGGCCTCCTGAGACTGGAACACCTCCGTCTGCACCGACTCGCCTGGAGCTGCGCCAGCTTCCACGGTCGAGCGAAGAACACGAGCACCTGGCATGGACGGCACGGTGCGGCCAGATATCGTCGTCAGGCTGCCTTCCTCCACGTCCGTCTCCTCGCGCGTCTCCATCTCCACCGTAGTGCTCTTCTCGCCAGTAGTCGTCTCCGTCTCCGTCGTCGTTTCCACTTCAACCGTCTTCACTAGCTCACCGCTGGCAGACGTCGAAGGGCGTGTTGTTGCCTTCACCGTCTTCGTCACGATGCTGCCGTCGGCCTCCTGAGACTGGAACACCTCCGTCTGCACCGACTCGCCTGGAGCTGCGCCAGCTTCCACGGTCGAGCGAAGAACACGAGCACCTGGCATGGACGGCACGGTGCGGCCAGATATCGTCGTCAGGCTGCCTTCCTCCACGTCCGTCTCCTCGCGCGTCTCCATCTCCACCGTAGTGCTCTTCTCGCCAGTAGTCGTCTCCGTCTCCGTCGTCGTTTCCACTTCAACCGTCTTCACTAGCTCACCGCTGGCAGACGTCGAAGGGCGTGTTGTTGCCTTCACCGTCTTCGTCACGATGCTGCCGTCGGCCTCCTGAGACTGGAACACCTCCGTCTGCACCGACTCGCCTGGAGCTGCGCCAGCTTCCACGGTCGAGCGAAGAACACGAGCACCTGGCATGGACGGCACGGTGCGGCCAGATATCGTCGTCAGGCTGCCTTCCTCCACGTCCGTCTCCTCGCGCGTCTCCATCTCCACCGTAGTGCTCTTCTCGCCAGTAGTCGTCTCCGTCTCCGTCGTCGTTTCCACTTCAACCGTCTTCACTAGCTCACCGCTGGCAGACGTCGAAGGGCGTGTTGTTGCCTTCACCGTCTTCGTCACGATGCTGCCGTCGGCCTCCTGAGACTGGAACACCTCCGTCTGCACCGACTCGCCTGGAGCTGCGCCAGCTTCCACGGTCGAGCGAAGAACACGAGCACCTGGCATGGACGGCACGGTGCGGCCAGATATCGTCGTCAGGCTGCCTTCCTCCACGTCCGTCTCCTCGCGCGTCTCCATCTCCACCGTAGTGCTCTTCTCGCCAGTAGTCGTCTCCGTCTCCGTCGTCGTTTCCACTTCAACCGTCTTCACTAGCTCACCGCTGGCAGACGTCGAAGGGCGTGTTGTTGCCTTCACCGTCTTCGTCACGATGCTGCCGTCGGCCTCCTGAGACTGGAACACCTCCGTCTGCACCGACTCGCCTGGAGCTGCGCCAGCTTCCACGGTCGAGCGAAGAACACGAGCACCTGGCATGGACGGCACGGTGCGGCCAGATATCGTCGTCAGGCTGCCTTCCTCCACGTCCGTCTCCTCGCGCGTCTCCATCTCCACCGTAGTGCTCTTCTCGCCAGTAGTCGTCTCCGTCTCCGTCGTCGTTTCCACTTCAACCGTCTTCACTAGCTCACCGCTGGCAGACGTCGAAGGGCGTGTTGTTGCCTTCACCGTCTTCGTCACGATGCTGCCGTCGGCCTCCTGAGACTGGAACACCTCCGTCTGCACCGACTCGCCTGGAGCTGCGCCAGCTTCCACGGTCGAGCGAAGAACACGAGCACCTGGCATGGACGGCACGGTGCGGCCAGATATCGTCGTCAGGCTGCCTTCCTCCACGTCCGTCTCCTCGCGCGTCTCCATCTCCACCGTAGTGCTCTTCTCGCCAGTAGTCGTCTCCGTCTCCGTCGTCGTTTCCACTTCAACCGTCTTCACTAGCTCACCGCTGGCAGACGTCGAAGGGCGTGTTGTTGCCTTCACCGTCTTCGTCACGATGCTGCCGTCGGCCTCCTGAGACTGGAACACCTCCGTCTGCACCGACTCGCCTGGAGCTGCGCCAGCTTCCACGGTCGAGCGAAGAACACGAGCACCTGGCATGGACGGCACGGTGCGGCCAGATATCGTCGTCAGGCTGCCTTCCTCCACGTCCGTCTCCTCGCGCGTCTCCATCTCCACCGTAGTGCTCTTCTCGCCAGTAGTCGTCTCCGTCTCCGTCGTCGTTTCCACTTCAACCGTCTTCACTAGCTCACCGCTGGCAGACGTCGAAGGGCGTGTTGTTGCCTTCACCGTCTTCGTCACGATGCTGCCGTCGGCCTCCTGAGACTGGAACACCTCCGTCTGCACCGACTCGCCTGGAGCTGCGCCAGCTTCCACGGTCGAGCGAAGAACACGAGCACCTGGCATGGACGGCACGGTGCGGCCAGATATCGTCGTCAGGCTGCCTTCCTCCACGTCCGTCTCCTCGCGCGTCTCCATCTCCACCGTAGTGCTCTTCTCGCCAGTAGTCGTCTCCGTCTCCGTCGTCGTTTCCACTTCAACCGTCTTCACTAGCTCACCGCTGGCAGACGTCGAAGGGCGTGTTGTTGCCTTCACCGTCTTCGTCACGATGCTGCCGTCGGCCTCCTGAGACTGGAACACCTCCGTCTGCACCGACTCGCCTGGAGCTGCGCCAGCTTCCACGGTCGAGCGAAGAACACGAGCACCTGGCATGGACGGCACGGTGCGGCCAGATATCGTCGTCAGGCTGCCTTCCTCCACGTCCGTCTCCTCGCGCGTCTCCATCTCCACCGTAGTGCTCTTCTCGCCAGTAGTCGTCTCCGTCTCCGTCGTCGTTTCCACTTCAACCGTCTTCACTAGCTCACCGCTGGCAGACGTCGAAGGGCGTGTTGTTGCCTTCACCGTCTTCGTCACGATGCTGCCGTCGGCCTCCTGAGACTGGAACACCTCCGTCTGCACCGACTCGCCTGGAGCTGCGCCAGCTTCCACGGTCGAGCGAAGAACACGAGCACCTGGCATGGACGGCACGGTGCGGCCAGATATCGTCGTCAGGCTGCCTTCCTCCACGTCCGTCTCCTCGCGCGTCTCCATCTCCACCGTAGTGCTCTTCTCGCCAGTAGTCGTCTCCGTCTCCGTCGTCGTTTCCACTTCAACCGTCTTCACTAGCTCACCGCTGGCAGACGTCGAAGGGCGTGTTGTTGCCTTCACCGTCTTCGTCACGATGCTGCCGTCGGCCTCCTGAGACTGGAACACCTCCGTCTGCACCGACTCGCCTGGAGCTGCGCCAGCTTCCACGGTCGAGCGAAGAACACGAGCACCTGGCATGGACGGCACGGTGCGGCCAGATATCGTCGTCAGGCTGCCTTCCTCCACGTCCGTCTCCTCGCGCGTCTCCATCTCCACCGTAGTGCTCTTCTCGCCAGTAGTCGTCTCCGTCTCCGTCGTCGTTTCCACTTCAACCGTCTTCACTAGCTCACCGCTGGCAGACGTCGAAGGGCGTGTTGTTGCCTTCACCGTCTTCGTCACGATGCTGCCGTCGGCCTCCTGAGACTGGAACACCTCCGTCTGCACCGACTCGCCTGGAGCTGCGCCAGCTTCCACGGTCGAGCGAAGAACACGAGCACCTGGCATGGACGGCACGGTGCGGCCAGATATCGTCGTCAGGCTGCCTTCCTCCACGTCCGTCTCCTCGCGCGTCTCCATCTCCACCGTAGTGCTCTTCTCGCCAGTAGTCGTCTCCGTCTCCGTCGTCGTTTCCACTTCAACCGTCTTCACTAGCTCACCGCTGGCAGACGTCGAAGGGCGTGTTGTTGCCTTCACCGTCTTCGTCACGATGCTGCCGTCGGCCTCCTGAGACTGGAACACCTCCGTCTGCACCGACTCGCCTGGAGCTGCGCCAGCTTCCACGGTCGAGCGAAGAACACGAGCACCTGGCATGGACGGCACGGTGCGGCCAGATATCGTCGTCAGGCTGCCTTCCTCCACGTCCGTCTCCTCGCGCGTCTCCATCTCCACCGTAGTGCTCTTCTCGCCAGTAGTCGTCTCCGTCTCCGTCGTCGTTTCCACTTCAACCGTCTTCACTAGCTCACCGCTGGCAGACGTCGAAGGGCGTGTTGTTGCCTTCACCGTCTTCGTCACGATGCTGCCGTCGGCCTCCTGAGACTGGAACACCTCCGTCTGCACCGACTCGCCTGGAGCTGCGCCAGCTTCCACGGTCGAGCGAAGAACACGAGCACCTGGCATGGACGGCACGGTGCGGCCAGATATCGTCGTCAGGCTGCCTTCCTCCACGTCCGTCTCCTCGCGCGTCTCCATCTCCACCGTAGTGCTCTTCTCGCCAGTAGTCGTCTCCGTCTCCGTCGTCGTTTCCACTTCAACCGTCTTCACTAGCTCACCGCTGGCAGACGTCGAAGGGCGTGTTGTTGCCTTCACCGTCTTCGTCACGATGCTGCCGTCGGCCTCCTGAGACTGGAACACCTCCGTCTGCACCGACTCGCCTGGAGCTGCGCCAGCTTCCACGGTCGAGCGAAGAACACGAGCACCTGGCATGGACGGCACGGTGCGGCCAGATATCGTCGTCAGGCTGCCTTCCTCCACGTCCGTCTCCTCGCGCGTCTCCATCTCCACCGTAGTGCTCTTCTCGCCAGTAGTCGTCTCCGTCTCCGTCGTCGTTTCCACTTCAACCGTCTTCACTAGCTCACCGCTGGCAGACGTCGAAGGGCGTGTTGTTGCCTTCACCGTCTTCGTCACGATGCTGCCGTCGGCCTCCTGAGACTGGAACACCTCCGTCTGCACCGACTCGCCTGGAGCTGCGCCAGCTTCCACGGTCGAGCGAAGAACACGAGCACCTGGCATGGACGGCACGGTGCGGCCAGATATCGTCGTCAGGCTGCCTTCCTCCACGTCCGTCTCCTCGCGCGTCTCCATCTCCACCGTAGTGCTCTTCTCGCCAGTAGTCGTCTCCGTCTCCGTCGTCGTTTCCACTTCAACCGTCTTCACTAGCTCACCGCTGGCAGACGTCGAAGGGCGTGTTGTTGCCTTCACCGTCTTCGTCACGATGCTGCCGTCGGCCTCCTGAGACTGGAACACCTCCGTCTGCACCGACTCGCCTGGAGCTGCGCCAGCTTCCACGGTCGAGCGAAGAACACGAGCACCTGGCATGGACGGCACGGTGCGGCCAGATATCGTCGTCAGGCTGCCTTCCTCCACGTCCGTCTCCTCGCGCGTCTCCATCTCCACCGTAGTGCTCTTCTCGCCAGTAGTCGTCTCCGTCTCCGTCGTCGTTTCCACTTCAACCGTCTTCACTAGCTCACCGCTGGCAGACGTCGAAGGGCGTGTTGTTGCCTTCACCGTCTTCGTCACGATGCTGCCGTCGGCCTCCTGAGACTGGAACACCTCCGTCTGCACCGACTCGCCTGGAGCTGCGCCAGCTTCCACGGTCGAGCGAAGAACACGAGCACCTGGCATGGACGGCACGGTGCGGCCAGATATCGTCGTCAGGCTGCCTTCCTCCACGTCCGTCTCCTCGCGCGTCTCCATCTCCACCGTAGTGCTCTTCTCGCCAGTAGTCGTCTCCGTCTCCGTCGTCGTTTCCACTTCAACCGTCTTCACTAGCTCACCGCTGGCAGACGTCGAAGGGCGTGTTGTTGCCTTCACCGTCTTCGTCACGATGCTGCCGTCGGCCTCCTGAGACTGGAACACCTCCGTCTGCACCGACTCGCCTGGAGCTGCGCCAGCTTCCACGGTCGAGCGAAGAACACGAGCACCTGGCATGGACGGCACGGTGCGGCCAGATATCGTCGTCAGGCTGCCTTCCTCCACGTCCGTCTCCTCGCGCGTCTCCATCTCCACCGTAGTGCTCTTCTCGCCAGTAGTCGTCTCCGTCTCCGTCGTCGTTTCCACTTCAACCGTCTTCACTAGCTCACCGCTGGCAGACGTCGAAGGGCGTGTTGTTGCCTTCACCGTCTTCGTCACGATGCTGCCGTCGGCCTCCTGAGACTGGAACACCTCCGTCTGCACCGACTCGCCTGGAGCTGCGCCAGCTTCCACGGTCGAGCGAAGAACACGAGCACCTGGCATGGACGGCACGGTGCGGCCAGATATCGTCGTCAGGCTGCCTTCCTCCACGTCCGTCTCCTCGCGCGTCTCCATCTCCACCGTAGTGCTCTTCTCGCCAGTAGTCGTCTCCGTCTCCGTCGTCGTTTCCACTTCAACCGTCTTCACTAGCTCACCGCTGGCAGACGTCGAAGGGCGTGTTGTTGCCTTCACCGTCTTCGTCACGATGCTGCCGTCGGCCTCCTGAGACTGGAACACCTCCGTCTGCACCGACTCGCCTGGAGCTGCGCCAGCTTCCACGGTCGAGCGAAGAACACGAGCACCTGGCATGGACGGCACGGTGCGGCCAGATATCGTCGTCAGGCTGCCTTCCTCCACGTCCGTCTCCTCGCGCGTCTCCATCTCCACCGTAGTGCTCTTCTCGCCAGTAGTCGTCTCCGTCTCCGTCGTCGTTTCCACTTCAACCGTCTTCACTAGCTCACCGCTGGCAGACGTCGAAGGGCGTGTTGTTGCCTTCACCGTCTTCGTCACGATGCTGCCGTCGGCCTCCTGAGACTGGAACACCTCCGTCTGCACCGACTCGCCTGGAGCTGCGCCAGCTTCCACGGTCGAGCGAAGAACACGAGCACCTGGCATGGACGGCACGGTGCGGCCAGATATCGTCGTCAGGCTGCCTTCCTCCACGTCCGTCTCCTCGCGCGTCTCCATCTCCACCGTAGTGCTCTTCTCGCCAGTAGTCGTCTCCGTCTCCGTCGTCGTTTCCACTTCAACCGTCTTCACTAGCTCACCGCTGGCAGACGTCGAAGGGCGTGTTGTTGCCTTCACCGTCTTCGTCACGATGCTGCCGTCGGCCTCCTGAGACTGGAACACCTCCGTCTGCACCGACTCGCCTGGAGCTGCGCCAGCTTCCACGGTCGAGCGAAGAACACGAGCACCTGGCATGGACGGCACGGTGCGGCCAGATATCGTCGTCAGGCTGCCTTCCTCCACGTCCGTCTCCTCGCGCGTCTCCATCTCCACCGTAGTGCTCTTCTCGCCAGTAGTCGTCTCCGTCTCCGTCGTCGTTTCCACTTCAACCGTCTTCACTAGCTCACCGCTGGCAGACGTCGAAGGGCGTGTTGTTGCCTTCACCGTCTTCGTCACGATGCTGCCGTCGGCCTCCTGAGACTGGAACACCTCCGTCTGCACCGACTCGCCTGGAGCTGCGCCAGCTTCCACGGTCGAGCGAAGAACACGAGCACCTGGCATGGACGGCACGGTGCGGCCAGATATCGTCGTCAGGCTGCCTTCCTCCACGTCCGTCTCCTCGCGCGTCTCCATCTCCACCGTAGTGCTCTTCTCGCCAGTAGTCGTCTCCGTCTCCGTCGTCGTTTCCACTTCAACCGTCTTCACTAGCTCACCGCTGGCAGACGTCGAAGGGCGTGTTGTTGCCTTCACCGTCTTCGTCACGATGCTGCCGTCGGCCTCCTGAGACTGGAACACCTCCGTCTGCACCGACTCGCCTGGAGCTGCGCCAGCTTCCACGGTCGAGCGAAGAACACGAGCACCTGGCATGGACGGCACGGTGCGGCCAGATATCGTCGTCAGGCTGCCTTCCTCCACGTCCGTCTCCTCGCGCGTCTCCATCTCCACCGTAGTGCTCTTCTCGCCAGTAGTCGTCTCCGTCTCCGTCGTCGTTTCCACTTCAACCGTCTTCACTAGCTCACCGCTGGCAGACGTCGAAGGGCGTGTTGTTGCCTTCACCGTCTTCGTCACGATGCTGCCGTCGGCCTCCTGAGACTGGAACACCTCCGTCTGCACCGACTCGCCTGGAGCTGCGCCAGCTTCCACGGTCGAGCGAAGAACACGAGCACCTGGCATGGACGGCACGGTGCGGCCAGATATCGTCGTCAGGCTGCCTTCCTCCACGTCCGTCTCCTCGCGCGTCTCCATCTCCACCGTAGTGCTCTTCTCGCCAGTAGTCGTCTCCGTCTCCGTCGTCGTTTCCACTTCAACCGTCTTCACTAGCTCACCGCTGGCAGACGTCGAAGGGCGTGTTGTTGCCTTCACCGTCTTCGTCACGATGCTGCCGTCGGCCTCCTGAGACTGGAACACCTCCGTCTGCACCGACTCGCCTGGAGCTGCGCCAGCTTCCACGGTCGAGCGAAGAACACGAGCACCTGGCATGGACGGCACGGTGCGGCCAGATATCGTCGTCAGGCTGCCTTCCTCCACGTCCGTCTCCTCGCGCGTCTCCATCTCCACCGTAGTGCTCTTCTCGCCAGTAGTCGTCTCCGTCTCCGTCGTCGTTTCCACTTCAACCGTCTTCACTAGCTCACCGCTGGCAGACGTCGAAGGGCGTGTTGTTGCCTTCACCGTCTTCGTCACGATGCTGCCGTCGGCCTCCTGAGACTGGAACACCTCCGTCTGCACCGACTCGCCTGGAGCTGCGCCAGCTTCCACGGTCGAGCGAAGAACACGAGCACCTGGCATGGACGGCACGGTGCGGCCAGATATCGTCGTCAGGCTGCCTTCCTCCACGTCCGTCTCCTCGCGCGTCTCCATCTCCACCGTAGTGCTCTTCTCGCCAGTAGTCGTCTCCGTCTCCGTCGTCGTTTCCACTTCAACCGTCTTCACTAGCTCACCGCTGGCAGACGTCGAAGGGCGTGTTGTTGCCTTCACCGTCTTCGTCACGATGCTGCCGTCGGCCTCCTGAGACTGGAACACCTCCGTCTGCACCGACTCGCCTGGAGCTGCGCCAGCTTCCACGGTCGAGCGAAGAACACGAGCACCTGGCATGGACGGCACGGTGCGGCCAGATATCGTCGTCAGGCTGCCTTCCTCCACGTCCGTCTCCTCGCGCGTCTCCATCTCCACCGTAGTGCTCTTCTCGCCAGTAGTCGTCTCCGTCTCCGTCGTCGTTTCCACTTCAACCGTCTTCACTAGCTCACCGCTGGCAGACGTCGAAGGGCGTGTTGTTGCCTTCACCGTCTTCGTCACGATGCTGCCGTCGGCCTCCTGAGACTGGAACACCTCCGTCTGCACCGACTCGCCTGGAGCTGCGCCAGCTTCCACGGTCGAGCGAAGAACACGAGCACCTGGCATGGACGGCACGGTGCGGCCAGATATCGTCGTCAGGCTGCCTTCCTCCACGTCCGTCTCCTCGCGCGTCTCCATCTCCACCGTAGTGCTCTTCTCGCCAGTAGTCGTCTCCGTCTCCGTCGTCGTTTCCACTTCAACCGTCTTCACTAGCTCACCGCTGGCAGACGTCGAAGGGCGTGTTGTTGCCTTCACCGTCTTCGTCACGATGCTGCCGTCGGCCTCCTGAGACTGGAACACCTCCGTCTGCACCGACTCGCCTGGAGCTGCGCCAGCTTCCACGGTCGAGCGAAGAACACGAGCACCTGGCATGGACGGCACGGTGCGGCCAGATATCGTCGTCAGGCTGCCTTCCTCCACGTCCGTCTCCTCGCGCGTCTCCATCTCCACCGTAGTGCTCTTCTCGCCAGTAGTCGTCTCCGTCTCCGTCGTCGTTTCCACTTCAACCGTCTTCACTAGCTCACCGCTGGCAGACGTCGAAGGGCGTGTTGTTGCCTTCACCGTCTTCGTCACGATGCTGCCGTCGGCCTCCTGAGACTGGAACACCTCCGTCTGCACCGACTCGCCTGGAGCTGCGCCAGCTTCCACGGTCGAGCGAAGAACACGAGCACCTGGCATGGACGGCACGGTGCGGCCAGATATCGTCGTCAGGCTGCCTTCCTCCACGTCCGTCTCCTCGCGCGTCTCCATCTCCACCGTAGTGCTCTTCTCGCCAGTAGTCGTCTCCGTCTCCGTCGTCGTTTCCACTTCAACCGTCTTCACTAGCTCACCGCTGGCAGACGTCGAAGGGCGTGTTGTTGCCTTCACCGTCTTCGTCACGATGCTGCCGTCGGCCTCCTGAGACTGGAACACCTCCGTCTGCACCGACTCGCCTGGAGCTGCGCCAGCTTCCACGGTCGAGCGAAGAACACGAGCACCTGGCATGGACGGCACGGTGCGGCCAGATATCGTCGTCAGGCTGCCTTCCTCCACGTCCGTCTCCTCGCGCGTCTCCATCTCCACCGTAGTGCTCTTCTCGCCAGTAGTCGTCTCCGTCTCCGTCGTCGTTTCCACTTCAACCGTCTTCACTAGCTCACCGCTGGCAGACGTCGAAGGGCGTGTTGTTGCCTTCACCGTCTTCGTCACGATGCTGCCGTCGGCCTCCTGAGACTGGAACACCTCCGTCTGCACCGACTCGCCTGGAGCTGCGCCAGCTTCCACGGTCGAGCGAAGAACACGAGCACCTGGCATGGACGGCACGGTGCGGCCAGATATCGTCGTCAGGCTGCCTTCCTCCACGTCCGTCTCCTCGCGCGTCTCCATCTCCACCGTAGTGCTCTTCTCGCCAGTAGTCGTCTCCGTCTCCGTCGTCGTTTCCACTTCAACCGTCTTCACTAGCTCACCGCTGGCAGACGTCGAAGGGCGTGTTGTTGCCTTCACCGTCTTCGTCACGATGCTGCCGTCGGCCTCCTGAGACTGGAACACCTCCGTCTGCACCGACTCGCCTGGAGCTGCGCCAGCTTCCACGGTCGAGCGAAGAACACGAGCACCTGGCATGGACGGCACGGTGCGGCCAGATATCGTCGTCAGGCTGCCTTCCTCCACGTCCGTCTCCTCGCGCGTCTCCATCTCCACCGTAGTGCTCTTCTCGCCAGTAGTCGTCTCCGTCTCCGTCGTCGTTTCCACTTCAACCGTCTTCACTAGCTCACCGCTGGCAGACGTCGAAGGGCGTGTTGTTGCCTTCACCGTCTTCGTCACGATGCTGCCGTCGGCCTCCTGAGACTGGAACACCTCCGTCTGCACCGACTCGCCTGGAGCTGCGCCAGCTTCCACGGTCGAGCGAAGAACACGAGCACCTGGCATGGACGGCACGGTGCGGCCAGATATCGTCGTCAGGCTGCCTTCCTCCACGTCCGTCTCCTCGCGCGTCTCCATCTCCACCGTAGTGCTCTTCTCGCCAGTAGTCGTCTCCGTCTCCGTCGTCGTTTCCACTTCAACCGTCTTCACTAGCTCACCGCTGGCAGACGTCGAAGGGCGTGTTGTTGCCTTCACCGTCTTCGTCACGATGCTGCCGTCGGCCTCCTGAGACTGGAACACCTCCGTCTGCACCGACTCGCCTGGAGCTGCGCCAGCTTCCACGGTCGAGCGAAGAACACGAGCACCTGGCATGGACGGCACGGTGCGGCCAGATATCGTCGTCAGGCTGCCTTCCTCCACGTCCGTCTCCTCGCGCGTCTCCATCTCCACCGTAGTGCTCTTCTCGCCAGTAGTCGTCTCCGTCTCCGTCGTCGTTTCCACTTCAACCGTCTTCACTAGCTCACCGCTGGCAGACGTCGAAGGGCGTGTTGTTGCCTTCACCGTCTTCGTCACGATGCTGCCGTCGGCCTCCTGAGACTGGAACACCTCCGTCTGCACCGACTCGCCTGGAGCTGCGCCAGCTTCCACGGTCGAGCGAAGAACACGAGCACCTGGCATGGACGGCACGGTGCGGCCAGATATCGTCGTCAGGCTGCCTTCCTCCACGTCCGTCTCCTCGCGCGTCTCCATCTCCACCGTAGTGCTCTTCTCGCCAGTAGTCGTCTCCGTCTCCGTCGTCGTTTCCACTTCAACCGTCTTCACTAGCTCACCGCTGGCAGACGTCGAAGGGCGTGTTGTTGCCTTCACCGTCTTCGTCACGATGCTGCCGTCGGCCTCCTGAGACTGGAACACCTCCGTCTGCACCGACTCGCCTGGAGCTGCGCCAGCTTCCACGGTCGAGCGAAGAACACGAGCACCTGGCATGGACGGCACGGTGCGGCCAGATATCGTCGTCAGGCTGCCTTCCTCCACGTCCGTCTCCTCGCGCGTCTCCATCTCCACCGTAGTGCTCTTCTCGCCAGTAGTCGTCTCCGTCTCCGTCGTCGTTTCCACTTCAACCGTCTTCACTAGCTCACCGCTGGCAGACGTCGAAGGGCGTGTTGTTGCCTTCACCGTCTTCGTCACGATGCTGCCGTCGGCCTCCTGAGACTGGAACACCTCCGTCTGCACCGACTCGCCTGGAGCTGCGCCAGCTTCCACGGTCGAGCGAAGAACACGAGCACCTGGCATGGACGGCACGGTGCGGCCAGATATCGTCGTCAGGCTGCCTTCCTCCACGTCCGTCTCCTCGCGCGTCTCCATCTCCACCGTAGTGCTCTTCTCGCCAGTAGTCGTCTCCGTCTCCGTCGTCGTTTCCACTTCAACCGTCTTCACTAGCTCACCGCTGGCAGACGTCGAAGGGCGTGTTGTTGCCTTCACCGTCTTCGTCACGATGCTGCCGTCGGCCTCCTGAGACTGGAACACCTCCGTCTGCACCGACTCGCCTGGAGCTGCGCCAGCTTCCACGGTCGAGCGAAGAACACGAGCACCTGGCATGGACGGCACGGTGCGGCCAGATATCGTCGTCAGGCTGCCTTCCTCCACGTCCGTCTCCTCGCGCGTCTCCATCTCCACCGTAGTGCTCTTCTCGCCAGTAGTCGTCTCCGTCTCCGTCGTCGTTTCCACTTCAACCGTCTTCACTAGCTCACCGCTGGCAGACGTCGAAGGGCGTGTTGTTGCCTTCACCGTCTTCGTCACGATGCTGCCGTCGGCCTCCTGAGACTGGAACACCTCCGTCTGCACCGACTCGCCTGGAGCTGCGCCAGCTTCCACGGTCGAGCGAAGAACACGAGCACCTGGCATGGACGGCACGGTGCGGCCAGATATCGTCGTCAGGCTGCCTTCCTCCACGTCCGTCTCCTCGCGCGTCTCCATCTCCACCGTAGTGCTCTTCTCGCCAGTAGTCGTCTCCGTCTCCGTCGTCGTTTCCACTTCAACCGTCTTCACTAGCTCACCGCTGGCAGACGTCGAAGGGCGTGTTGTTGCCTTCACCGTCTTCGTCACGATGCTGCCGTCGGCCTCCTGAGACTGGAACACCTCCGTCTGCACCGACTCGCCTGGAGCTGCGCCAGCTTCCACGGTCGAGCGAAGAACACGAGCACCTGGCATGGACGGCACGGTGCGGCCAGATATCGTCGTCAGGCTGCCTTCCTCCACGTCCGTCTCCTCGCGCGTCTCCATCTCCACCGTAGTGCTCTTCTCGCCAGTAGTCGTCTCCGTCTCCGTCGTCGTTTCCACTTCAACCGTCTTCACTAGCTCACCGCTGGCAGACGTCGAAGGGCGTGTTGTTGCCTTCACCGTCTTCGTCACGATGCTGCCGTCGGCCTCCTGAGACTGGAACACCTCCGTCTGCACCGACTCGCCTGGAGCTGCGCCAGCTTCCACGGTCGAGCGAAGAACACGAGCACCTGGCATGGACGGCACGGTGCGGCCAGATATCGTCGTCAGGCTGCCTTCCTCCACGTCCGTCTCCTCGCGCGTCTCCATCTCCACCGTAGTGCTCTTCTCGCCAGTAGTCGTCTCCGTCTCCGTCGTCGTTTCCACTTCAACCGTCTTCACTAGCTCACCGCTGGCAGACGTCGAAGGGCGTGTTGTTGCCTTCACCGTCTTCGTCACGATGCTGCCGTCGGCCTCCTGAGACTGGAACACCTCCGTCTGCACCGACTCGCCTGGAGCTGCGCCAGCTTCCACGGTCGAGCGAAGAACACGAGCACCTGGCATGGACGGCACGGTGCGGCCAGATATCGTCGTCAGGCTGCCTTCCTCCACGTCCGTCTCCTCGCGCGTCTCCATCTCCACCGTAGTGCTCTTCTCGCCAGTAGTCGTCTCCGTCTCCGTCGTCGTTTCCACTTCAACCGTCTTCACTAGCTCACCGCTGGCAGACGTCGAAGGGCGTGTTGTTGCCTTCACCGTCTTCGTCACGATGCTGCCGTCGGCCTCCTGAGACTGGAACACCTCCGTCTGCACCGACTCGCCTGGAGCTGCGCCAGCTTCCACGGTCGAGCGAAGAACACGAGCACCTGGCATGGACGGCACGGTGCGGCCAGATATCGTCGTCAGGCTGCCTTCCTCCACGTCCGTCTCCTCGCGCGTCTCCATCTCCACCGTAGTGCTCTTCTCGCCAGTAGTCGTCTCCGTCTCCGTCGTCGTTTCCACTTCAACCGTCTTCACTAGCTCACCGCTGGCAGACGTCGAAGGGCGTGTTGTTGCCTTCACCGTCTTCGTCACGATGCTGCCGTCGGCCTCCTGAGACTGGAACACCTCCGTCTGCACCGACTCGCCTGGAGCTGCGCCAGCTTCCACGATCGAGCGAAGAACACGAGCACCTGGCATGGACGGCACGGTGCGGCCAGATATCGTCGTCAGGCTGCCTTCCTCCACGTCCGTCTCCTCGCGCGTCTCCATCTCCACCGTAGTGCTCTTCTCGCCAGTAGTCGTCTCCGTCTCCGTCGTCGTTTCCACTTCAACCGTCTTCACTAGCTCACCGCTGGCAGACGTCGAAGGGCGTGTTGTTGCCTTCACCGTCTTCGTCACGATGCTGCCGTCGGCCTCCTGAGACTGGAACACCTCCGTCTGCACCGACTCGCCTGGAGCTGCGCCAGCTTCCACGATCGAGCGAAGAACACGAGCACCTGGCATGGACGGCACGGTGCGGCCAGATATCGTCGTCAGGCTGCCTTCCTCCACGTCCGTCTCCTCGCGCGTCTCCATCTCCACCGTAGTGCTCTTCTCGCCAGTAGTCGTCTCCGTCTCCGTCGTCGTTTCCACTTCAACCGTCTTCACTAGCTCACCGCTGGCAGACGTCGAAGGGCGTGTTGTTGCCTTCACCGTCTTCGTCACGATGCTGCCGTCGGCCTCCTGAGACTGGAACACCTCCGTCTGCACCGACTCGCCTGGAGCTGCGCCAGCTTCCACGATCGAGCGAAGAACACGAGCACCTGGCATGGACGGCACGGTGCGGCCAGATATCGTCGTCAGGCTGCCTTCCTCCACGTCCGTCTCCTCGCGCGTCTCCATCTCCACCGTAGTGCTCTTCTCGCCAGTAGTCGTCTCCGTCTCCGTCGTCGTTTCCACTTCAACCGTCTTCACTAGCTCACCGCTGGCAGACGTCGAAGGGCGTGTTGTTGCCTTCACCGTCTTCGTCACGATGCTGCCGTCGGCCTCCTGAGACTGGAACACCTCCGTCTGCACCGACTCGCCTGGAGCTGCGCCAGCTTCCACGATCGAGCGAAGAACACGAGCACCTGGCATGGACGGCACGGTGCGGCCAGATATCGTCGTCAGGCTGCCTTCCTCCACGTCCGTCTCCTCGCGCGTCTCCATCTCCACCGTAGTGCTCTTCTCGCCAGTAGTCGTCTCCGTCTCCGTCGTCGTTTCCACTTCAACCGTCTTCACTAGCTCACCGCTGGCAGACGTCGAAGGGCGTGTTGTTGCCTTCACCGTCTTCGTCACGATGCTGCCGTCGGCCTCCTGAGACTGGAACACCTCCGTCTGCACCGACTCGCCTGGAGCTGCGCCAGCTTCCACGATCGAGCGAAGAACACGAGCACCTGGCATGGACGGCACGGTGCGGCCAGATATCGTCGTCAGGCTGCCTTCCTCCACGTCCGTCTCCTCGCGCGTCTCCATCTCCACCGTAGTGCTCTTCTCGCCAGTAGTCGTCTCCGTCTCCGTCGTCGTTTCCACTTCAACCGTCTTCACTAGCTCACCGCTGGCAGACGTCGAAGGGCGTGTTGTTGCCTTCACCGTCTTCGTCACGATGCTGCCGTCGGCCTCCTGAGACTGGAACACCTCCGTCTGCACCGACTCGCCTGGAGCTGCGCCAGCTTCCACGATCGAGCGAAGAACACGAGCACCTGGCATGGACGGCACGGTGCGGCCAGATATCGTCGTCAGGCTGCCTTCCTCCACGTCCGTCTCCTCGCGCGTCTCCATCTCCACCGTAGTGCTCTTCTCGCCAGTAGTCGTCTCCGTCTCCGTCGTCGTTTCCACTTCAACCGTCTTCACTAGCTCACCGCTGGCAGACGTCGAAGGGCGTGTTGTTGCCTTCACCGTCTTCGTCACGATGCTGCCGTCGGCCTCCTGAGACTGGAACACCTCCGTCTGCACCGACTCGCCTGGAGCTGCGCCAGCTTCCACGATCGAGCGAAGAACACGAGCACCTGGCATGGACGGCACGGTGCGGCCAGATATCGTCGTCAGGCTGCCTTCCTCCACGTCCGTCTCCTCGCGCGTCTCCATCTCCACCGTAGTGCTCTTCTCGCCAGTAGTCGTCTCCGTCTCCGTCGTCGTTTCCACTTCAACCGTCTTCACTAGCTCACCGCTGGCAGACGTCGAAGGGCGTGTTGTTGCCTTCACCGTCTTCGTCACGATGCTGCCGTCGGCCTCCTGAGACTGGAACACCTCCGTCTGCACCGACTCGCCTGGAGCTGCGCCAGCTTCCACGATCGAGCGAAGAACACGAGCACCTGGCATGGACGGCACGGTGCGGCCAGATATCGTCGTCAGGCTGCCTTCCTCCACGTCCGTCTCCTCGCGCGTCTCCATCTCCACCGTAGTGCTCTTCTCGCCAGTAGTCGTCTCCGTCTCCGTCGTCGTTTCCACTTCAACCGTCTTCACTAGCTCACCGCTGGCAGACGTCGAAGGGCGTGTTGTTGCCTTCACCGTCTTCGTCACGATGCTGCCGTCGGCCTCCTGAGACTGGAACACCTCCGTCTGCACCGACTCGCCTGGAGCTGCGCCAGCTTCCACGATCGAGCGAAGAACACGAGCACCTGGCATGGACGGCACGGTGCGGCCAGATATCGTCGTCAGGCTGCCTTCCTCCACGTCCGTCTCCTCGCGCGTCTCCATCTCCACCGTAGTGCTCTTCTCGCCAGTAGTCGTCTCCGTCTCCGTCGTCGTTTCCACTTCAACCGTCTTCACTAGCTCACCGCTGGCAGACGTCGAAGGGCGTGTTGTTGCCTTCACCGTCTTCGTCACGATGCTGCCGTCGGCCTCCTGAGACTGGAACACCTCCGTCTGCACCGACTCGCCTGGAGCTGCGCCAGCTTCCACGATCGAGCGAAGAACACGAGCACCTGGCATGGACGGCACGGTGCGGCCAGATATCGTCGTCAGGCTGCCTTCCTCCACGTCCGTCTCCTCGCGCGTCTCCATCTCCACCGTAGTGCTCTTCTCGCCAGTAGTCGTCTCCGTCTCCGTCGTCGTTTCCACTTCAACCGTCTTCACTAGCTCACCGCTGGCAGACGTCGAAGGGCGTGTTGTTGCCTTCACCGTCTTCGTCACGATGCTGCCGTCGGCCTCCTGAGACTGGAACACCTCCGTCTGCACCGACTCGCCTGGAGCTGCGCCAGCTTCCACGATCGAGCGAAGAACACGAGCACCTGGCATGGACGGCACGGTGCGGCCAGATATCGTCGTCAGGCTGCCTTCCTCCACGTCCGTCTCCTCGCGCGTCTCCATCTCCACCGTAGTGCTCTTCTCGCCAGTAGTCGTCTCCGTCTCCGTCGTCGTTTCCACTTCAACCGTCTTCACTAGCTCACCGCTGGCAGACGTCGAAGTGCGCGTCGTCGTTTTCACCGTCTTCGTCACGATGCTGCCGTCGGCCTCCTGAGACTGGAACACCTCCGTCTGCACCGACTCGCCTGGAGCTGCGCCAGCTTCCACGATCGAGCGAAGAACACGAGCACCTGGCATGGACGGCACGGTGCGGCCAGATATCGTCGTCAGGCTGCCTTCCTCCACGTCCGTCTCCTCGCGCGTCTCCATCTCCACCGTAGTGCTCTTCTCGCCAGTAGTCGTCTCCGTCTCCGTCGTCGTTTCCACTTCAACCGTCTTCACTAGCTCACCGCTGGCAGACGTCGAAGGGCGTGTTGTTGCCTTCACCGTCTTCGTCACGATGCTGCCGTCGGCCTCCTGAGACTGGAACACCTCCGTCTGCACCGACTCGCCTGGAGCTGCGCCAGCTTCCACGATCGAGCGAAGAACACGAGCACCTGGCATGGACGGCACGGTGCGGCCAGATATCGTCGTCAGGCTGCCTTCCTCCACGTCCGTCTCCTCGCGCGTCTCCATCTCCACCGTAGTGCTCTTCTCGCCAGTAGTCGTCTCCGTCTCCGTCGTCGTTTCCACTTCAACCGTCTTCACTAGCTCACCGCTGGCAGACGTCGAAGGGCGTGTTGTTGCCTTCACCGTCTTCGTCACGATGCTGCCGTCGGCCTCCTGAGACTGGAACACCTCCGTCTGCACCGACTCGCCTGGAGCTGCGCCAGCTTCCACGATCGAGCGAAGAACACGAGCACCTGGCATGGACGGCACGGTGCGGCCAGATATCGTCGTCAGGCTGCCTTCCTCCACGTCCGTCTCCTCGCGCGTCTCCATCTCCACCGTAGTGCTCTTCTCGCCAGTAGTCGTCTCCGTCTCCGTCGTCGTTTCCACTTCAACCGTCTTCACTAGCTCACCGCTGGCAGACGTCGAAGGGCGTGTTGTTGCCTTCACCGTCTTCGTCACGATGCTGCCGTCGGCCTCCTGAGACTGGAACACCTCCGTCTGCACCGACTCGCCTGGAGCTGCGCCAGCTTCCACGGTCGAGCGAAGAACACGAGCACCTGGCATGGACGGCACGGTGCGGCCAGATATCGTCGTCAGGCTGCCTTCCTCCACGTCCGTCTCCTCGCGCGTCTCCATCTCCACCGTAGTGCTCTTCTCGCCAGTAGTCGTCTCCGTCTCCGTCGTCGTTTCCACTTCAACCGTCTTCACTAGCTCACCGCTGGCAGACGTCGAAGGGCGTGTTGTTGCCTTCACCGTCTTCGTCACGATGCTGCCGTCGGCCTCCTGAGACTGGAACACCTCCGTCTGCACCGACTCGCCTGGAGCTGCGCCAGCTTCCACGATCGAGCGAAGAACACGAGCACCTGGCATGGACGGCACGGTGCGGCCAGATATCGTCGTCAGGCTGCCTTCCTCCACGTCCGTCTCCTCGCGCGTCTCCATCTCCACCGTAGTGCTCTTCTCGCCAGTAGTCGTCTCCGTCTCCGTCGTCGTTTCCACTTCAACCGTCTTCACTAGCTCACCGCTGGCAGACGTCGAAGGGCGTGTCGTCGCCTTCACCGTCTTCGTCACGATGCTGCCGTCGGCCTCCTGAGACTGGAACACCTCCGTCTGCACCGACTCGCCTGGAGCTGCGCCAGCTTCCACGATCGAGCGAAGAACACGAGCACCTGGCATGGACGGCACGGTGCGGCCAGATATCGTCGTCAGGCTGCCTTCCTCCACGTCCGTCTCCTCGCGCGTCTCCATCTCCACCGTAGTGCTCTTCTCGCCAGTAGTCGTCTCCGTCTCCGTCGTCGTTTCCACTTCAACCGTCTTCACTAGCTCACCGCTGGCAGACGTCGAAGGGCGTGTTGTTGCCTTCACCGTCTTCGTCACGATGCTGCCGTCGGCCTCCTGAGACTGGAACACCTCCGTCTGCACCGACTCGCCTGGAGCTGCGCCAGCTTCCACGATCGAGCGAAGAACACGAGCACCTGGCATGGACGGCACGGTGCGGCCAGATATCGTCGTCAGGCTGCCTTCCTCCACGTCCGTCTCCTCGCGCGTCTCCATCTCCACCGTAGTGCTCTTCTCGCCAGTAGTCGTCTCCGTCTCCGTCGTCGTTTCCACTTCAACCGTCTTCACTAGCTCACCGCTGGCAGACGTCGAAGGGCGTGTTGTTGCCTTCACCGTCTTCGTCACGATGCTGCCGTCGGCCTCCTGAGACTGGAACACCTCCGTCTGCACCGACTCGCCTGGAGCTGCGCCAGCTTCCACGGTCGAGCGAAGAACACGAGCACCTGGCATGGACGGCACGGTGCGGCCAGATATCGTCGTCAGGCTGCCTTCCTCCACGTCCGTCTCCTCGCGCGTCTCCATCTCCACCGTAGTGCTCTTCTCGCCAGTAGTCGTCTCCGTCTCCGTCGTCGTTTCCACTTCAACCGTCTTCACTAGCTCACCGCTGGCAGACGTCGAAGGGCGTGTTGTTGCCTTCACCGTCTTCGTCACGATGCTGCCGTCGGCCTCCTGAGACTGGAACACCTCCGTCTGCACCGACTCGCCTGGAGCTGCGCCAGCTTCCACGATCGAGCGAAGAACACGAGCACCTGGCATGGACGGCACGGTGCGGCCAGATATCGTCGTCAGGCTGCCTTCCTCCACGTCCGTCTCCTCGCGCGTCTCCATCTCCACCGTAGTGCTCTTCTCGCCTGTAGTCGTCTCCGTCTCCGTCGTCGTTTCCACTTCAACCGTCTTCACTAGCTCACCGCTGGCAGACGTCGAAGGGCGTGTTGTTGCCTTCACCGTCTTCGTCACGATGCTGCCGTCGGCCTCCTGAGACTGGAACACCTCCGTCTGCACCGACTCGCCTGGAGCTGCGCCAGCTTCCACGATCGAGCGAAGAACACGAGCACCTGGCATGGACGGCACGGTGCGGCCAGATATCGTCGTCAGGCTGCCTTCCTCCACGTCCGTCTCCTCGCCCCCCCCGCGTCTCCATCTCCACCGTAGTGCTCTTCTCGCCAGTAGTCGTCTCCCTCTCCCTCCTCCTTTCCCCTTCCACCTCCCCCCCCCCCCCCGGGGAGCGGTGGAAGGGGGTGGTGGTCCCTCCCCCCCCCCCCCCCCGAGGCCGCCGCCGGCCCCCTGAGACTGGAACACCTCCGTCTGTACCGACTCGTTTGGAATGGCCTCATTGCTTATGTTCGAGGCTACGTAATCTTTAGCTTCAGATGCGGCATACATGCCGGTTCTGAGTTCGGTGGCGCTTTTTTGGTGGCCATCCCGGTAGTCGACTAGAGGCATAGTTTTAGTTTGCACTGTGGTAGTTTTGGATCCGTCAGGAGATTCCGTGTCCGTTGTCGTTTCCACTTCAATGATCTCGAGAGAGTTCCCCGAGGCCGAGTTTGTCGTTCTACGTGAAGTCTTGACCTTCTTCACCACCACTCGTCCATCGGGCATCACGGTGCGAAAAACTTCTGTCTTGGCGTTTGTACCGTCGACCGACATCATGTTGGGTTGGTGCGGCTCCGTCTCCGGTTCGTGGGAGGCCTTGCCCCCCAAGCCACTACTTTCCTTCTCGCTCTCGGCCTCAAAGTCCGTGACGTGCACCTTCTCTACAGCCGTAGCGGCGGTGGTCGCGCGCGTTGCCACGCCGCTCTCCACCTCACCTTGCTTCCCCGTAGCAGCCAGTTTGTCACTGGCCGTCGCCAGCTTTCTCTGCTTGGGGTTTCCCTCGGCTGACTCAGCTCCGCCCATGACTTGTTTTTTCAGAGTTCTGGACTAGACCTTGGCGAACTTGCAGTGCGTGTGATGCGGCTTCGATTGCTCTCGTCCACGTTTGAACTCGACCTGCTCTCGCGTGCGCAAAATCGAATGTGGAGTGGGTATCTCAGGAAGATCGTCGCGCTATCACGGCGTTTCTATGCATGATTGATCTACGAGAGCGTTGTAAGCAAAGCAAATCAGTTCCGAAAGGGTCGCGGGAATCTGTTACTCGAAAAAAGACGTTTTGTTGATGTTGCCGCACGGTACGGCAACGCGCCCTATGCGTTATCGTATTTATTTGCAACACTCTTGTGAGAGAGAGGAACAGATAGTCTATTTTACGGGACGATGGTGTGCGAGACGTCTGGAATGCCCTGAGCCAGGTTAGCAACGCCAGCGTTGTCTGCAACACTCGTGTGGGACTCGCGCGGCACACACGACTAGGCAGCCAAAGCAACAACGCACAGGAGCCGTGTAAGTACTGACGGTCGCCGGATCGATTTGTTGTGGATTTTGCTCACGTCCTGTCGCGCACACTGTCGAGAACGTTTCGGGAAAGTAAATACTACCGCCTCGTCTGATGCGAAATCTCAGACGCAGCTGAGTGGGTGGACCTCACGCTGAAAAGCACAGAATGAGCTCCACACTCACAATGCGTTCGGGTGGAAGTGAGTCGCTCCGGTGCCGAGTTTCGCGTCTCAGGCCTCAGGCGATGCAGACCCCTCGCGCGGGTCTTAGCGCGCGCCCGTATCTAGACCAGCAAAGCAAGCAACATAGCCTCGCCGAACCGCAATGTCGCGCCTTTCAAATTTTGCTCTGGAGTCACGTGGGCTTTGCAAAAAAAGGGGCGGCGGCGGCTTCGTTGAGATTCGGGCTGTATAAAGAGTCCACGCATAAGCTTCTGCTACTGCTAATCCCTATGCAGCTTCTTGCCGATTTTTTCGTCGGGAAGGTGCACCAGCGACACCGATGCTGCGCGCCAAATTTCGAGATTAGAAGCGCACTGTCCTCTCCTCTCCATGTTCAGTGGCGTTGCTTGGTTCGGACGAACTGCCGCCCAACTTCTGAACCGACCTGATTCAAGCGCCTCCCACGGATTGGCCATATATATGATGCTCACGCTTCGGCTGAGGATTTGCACACGTCGAGCAGCATCATCACTTTGGAGTTTGAGGCGTCTCGAGCAAGCGAGTGATCGTAGTGAGTGAGTGAGTGAGTGAGTGCAGTCGGTCGTGCGGACGAGCGACATCCATGGGCAGCCCCAACAGCAAGGACAGTGGCGGTAAAAAAACGGCTAGACCAAGCGGCGATGGCAGCTTCGACTCCACCACCAGCCAAAAGGTGTTCGACTCTGATGAGGGCGGAGAGCTCGCGCGCACAGACCTGATTGAGGACCACTACGCTACTGCAAAAGATGGTGAAACACTAAACGAAAAAGAAGAAAAGAAGACCGCGGAGCGCACGAGCGTTCAGACGAAGGAATACCGCTCTGAGGGGGCGGACGGCAGCATCGTCACTACAACGGTACGCACCGCGACGACGACAACGCACTCGTACTCGGATGACTTGGTGGCAACTATTGAGGCGCAGACCACGACGGAAATGGAAGCGAAGGATGGCTTCAAGAGCACTTCGGTCGTTACGGAGACTGGAACTGAATCGATGGCAAGCCAAGTCGACAACATCATGGACGAAAAGAGTTCTTGTGACAGCGTCGTTGTTGCGCAGACGTGCCGAACGACTGCGAAAGACGAAAGCACCAAGAACTGTACAGAACGTACTGCTACGAGTAAGAATTCGGTCGCTAACGATGCCATAACAACGGCCAGCGAGAAGTCAGTACTAGAAGCTGTGACGGAAGTTGGCGCTGTGACGTCTGACGTGTCAACCGAAACTCAAACGCATGCTGGAGAGAGTAAGTCGCGTGACGCCATTAGCGCAGGGACCGACCGAAAATCGTCGTTGTTTTTGGAACGCCAAACAACTCCTGGAGATTTGGTCAAAACTGATGACGTGGACTGTCGCTCAATTGGGGATAAGCAAAAGCGAGGATACCAGAAGCAGTGGCATCCGAAGTTTATCTCGTATATGGATCACCGGAAGAAGCGTATAGAAGCGCTAGCACCGGCGGATTTAGTCGAGTATGCGCGCCAGTTTTGTGCTGAGAACTTTGATGAATTCCGTCCGAACCTGTTTGACTGCGGGTCGATGGAGGCTAACAAAGAATGCTGGAAAAAGGTGGCGCAGCTTGCTGTCTACTACCCGATCGTGGCTGTACAAACGCTAGTGCAGGACCTAGGTGACAAGAACGTGTTGATTGTGGACGAACTTTCGCAAGACTTTGACCATGGAAGTCGTATTCATACGCAGGTAGCTGTGAAAATGCTTCAGCGCCTGAAACCGGAAGCTTGTGAGTTTTGTGATGACCTTATTGTTCTGAGAAACGGAGAAGTGGTGTATCGAGGTACTGGTGGTGAAATTGTGGACTACTTCAACGGTTTGGTGCATGCGTGGGATTTGAGTCAGCCAAAAGCTCAAGATTCGCTAAACCTGGCTGCGACACCTAAGACCTGCAACCTCTCCACTAACTCCACCGAATTTAAGCTAAGTAAGGGCTCCCGACCCTTTGCCTACAATTTAGCTACGCTGATGAAATTCGCAGATGACGCCGCTCTACGCACAAGTAGCAACGCAACAATCATTCGCCACACATTGCAGAACAACCCCGAGGATCCACGCGCCATTTTACCAATAACGGAGACTATACCTCTACGTTTGCCAACAAAAGACGGCCACTCCGACCATAATCTGCAGCCTATAATGGTACCAGGTAAGTCGGTGAAGACGGAGGTGTTCCGCTCGGAGAGACCGGACGGCAGCATCGTGACCAAGACGGTCCGCACCACGACTTGGACCAAGAAGTGTACGAATGGCGATCTCGTGACGACGACTGAGGTGGAAACGACGACTGAAACGGAATCCCCGGACGGCACGACAAGCACTACGGTGGCGATGGAGACCTGCGATGAGACGGAGACGGAGGAGAGCAGTCATCTCGACGACGCCCGCCACGGATGGTCCTGCTGTGAGTGTGACGGAGCAAGCTAGCACGGTGCCAGGCGAGTCGGTGAAGACGGAGGTGTTCCGCTCGGAGAGACCGGACGGCAGCATCGTGACCAAGACGGTCCGCACCACGACTTGGACCAAGAAGTGTACGAATGGCGATCTCGTGACGACGACTGAGGTGGAAACGACGACTGAAACGGAATCCCCGGACGGCACGACAAGCACTACGGTGGCGATGGAGACCTGCGATGAGACGGAGACGGAGGAGAGCAGTCTTCCAACGACGCCCGCCACGGATGGTCCTGCTGTGAGTGTGACGGAGCAAGCTAGCACGGTGCCAAGCGAGTCGGTGAAGACGGAGGTGTTCCGCTCGGAGAGACCGGACGGCAGCATCGTGACCAAGACGGTCCGCACCACGACTTGGACCAAGAAGTGTACGAATGGCGATCTCATGACGACGACTGAGGTGGAAACGACGACTGAAACGGAATCCCCGGACGGCACGACAAGCACTACGGTGGCGATGGAGACCTGCGAAGAGACGGAGACGGAGGAGAGCAGTCTCCCGACGACGCCCGCTACGGATGGTCCTGCTGTGAGTGTGACGGAGCAAGCTGGCACGGTGCCAGGCGAGTCGGTGAAGACGGAGGTGTTCCGCTCGGAGAGACCGGACGGCAGCATCGTGACCAAGACGGTCCGCACCACGACTTGGACCAAGAAGTGTACGAATGGCGATCTCGTGACGACGACTGAGGTGGAAACGACGACTGAAACGGAATCCCCGGACGGCACGACAAGCACTACGGTGGCGATGGAGACCTGCGATGAGACGGAGACGGAGGAGAGCAGTCTCCCGACGACGCCCGCTACGGATGGTCCTGCTGTGAGTGTGACGGAGCAAGCTGGCACGGTGCCAGGCGAGTCGGTGAAGACGGAGGTGTTCCGCTCGGAGAGACCGGACGGCAGCATCGTGACCAAGACGGTCCGCACCACGACTTGGACCAAGAAGTGTACGAATGGCGATCTCGTGACGACGACTGAGGTGGAAACGACGACTGAAACGGAATCCCCGGACGGCACGACAAGCACTACGGTGGCGATGGAGACCTGCGATGAGACGGAGACGGAGGAGAGCAGTCATCCTGACGACGCCCGCTACGGATGGTCCTGCTGTGAGTGTGACGGAGCAAGCTAGCACGGTGCCAGGCGAGTCGGTGAAGACGGAGGTGTTCCGCTCGGAGAGACCGGACGGCAGCATCGTGACCAAGACGGTCCGCACCACGACTTGGACCAAGAAGTGTACGAATGGCGATCTCGTGACGACGACTGAGGTGGAAACGACGACTGAAACGGAATCCCCGGACGGCACGACAAGCACTACGGTGGCGATGGAGACCTGCGATGAGACGGAGACGGAGGAGAGCAGTCATCCCGACGACGCCCGCTACGGATGGTCGTGCTGTGAGTGTGACGGAGCAAGCTGGCACGGTGCCAGGCGAGTCGGTGAAGACGGAGGTGTTCCGCTCGGAGAGACCGGACGGCAGCATCGTGACCAAGACGGTCCGCACCACGACTTGGACCAAGAAGTGTACGAATGGCGATCTCGTGACGACGACTGAGGTGGAAACGACGACTGAAACGGAATCCCCGGACGGCACGACAAGCACTACGGTGGCGATGGAGACCTGCGAAGAGACGGAGACGGAGGAGAGCAGTCTCCCAACGACGCCCGCCACGGATGGTTCTGCTGTGAGTGTGACGGAGCAAGCTGGCACAGTGCCAGGCGAGTCGGTGAAGACGGAGGTGTTCCGCTCGGAGAGACCGGACGGCAGCATCGTGACCAAGACGGTCCGCACCACGACTTGGACCAAGAAGTGTACGAATGGCGATCTCGTGACGACGACTGAGGTGGAAACGACGACTGAAACGGAATCCCCGGACGGCACGACAAGCACTACGGTGGCGATGGAGACCTGCGAAGAGACGGAGACGGAGGAGAGCAGTCTTCCAACGACGCCCGCCACGGATGGTCCTGCTGTGAGTGTGACGGAGCAAGCTGGCACGGTGCCAGGCGAGTCGGTGAAGACGGAGGTGTTCCGCTCGGAGAGACCGGACGGCAGCATCGTGACCAAGACGGTCCGCACCACGACTTGGACCAAGAAGTGTACGAATGGCGATCTCGTGACGACGACTGAGGTGGAAACGACGACTGAAACGGAATCCCCGGACGGCACGACAAGCACTACGGTGGCGATGGAGACCTGCGATGAGACGGAGACGGAGGAGAGCAGTCATCCCGACGACGCCCGCTACGGATGGTCCTGCTGTGAGTGTGACGGAGCAAGCTGGCACGGTGCCAGGCGAGTCGGTGAAGACGGAGGTGTTCCGCTCGGAGAGACCGGACGGCAGCATCGTGACCAAGACGGTCCGCACCACGACTTGGACCAAGAAGTGTACGAATGGCGATCTCGTGACGACGACTGAGGTGGAAACGACGACTGAAACGGAATCCCCGGACGGCACGACAAGCACTACGGTGGCGATGGAGACCTGCGATGAGACGGAGACGGAGGAGAGCAGTCTCCCGACGACGCCCGCTACGGATGGTCCTGCTGTGAGTGTGACGGAGCAAGCTGGCACGGTGCCAGGCGAGTCGGTGAAGACGGAGGTGTTCCGCTCGGAGAGACCGGACGGCAGCATCGTGACCAAGACGGTCCGCACCACGACTTGGACCAAGAAGTGTACGAATGGCGATCTCGTGACGACGACTGAGGTGGAAACGACGACTGAAACGGAATCCCCGGACGGCACGACAAGCACTACGGTGGCGATGGAGACCTGCGAAGAGACGGAGACGGAGGAGAGCAGTCATCTCGACGACGCCCGCTACGGATGGTCCTGCTGTGAGTGTGACGGAGCAAGCTGGCACGGTGCCAGGCGAGTCGGTGAAGACGGAGGTGTTCCGCTCGGAGAGACCGGACGGCAGCATCGTGACCAAGACGGTCCGCACCACGACTTGGACCAAGAAGTGTACGAATGGCGATCTCGTGACGACGACTGAGGTGGAAACGACGACTGAAACGGAATCCCCGGACGGCACGACAAGCACTACGGTGGCGATGGAGACCTGCGAAGAGACGGAGACGGAGGAGAGCAGTCTCCCAACGACGCCCGCCACGGACGGTTCTGCTGTGAGTGTGACGGAGCAAGCTGGCACAGTGCCAGGCGAGTCGGTGAAGACGGAGGTGTTCCGCTCGGAGAGACCGGACGGCAGCATCGTGACCAAGACGGTCCGCACCACGACTTGGACCAAGAAGTGTACGAATGGCGATCTCGTGACGACGACTGAGGTGGAAACGACGACTGAAACGGAATCCCCGGACGGCACGACAAGCACTACGGTGGCGATGGAGACCTGCGAAGAGACGGAGACGGAGGAGAGCAGTCTTCCGACGACGCCCGCTACGGATGGTCCTGCTGTGAGTGTGACGGAGCAAGCTGGCACGGTGCCAGGCGAGTCGGTGAAGACGGAGGTGTTCCGCTCGGAGAGACCGGACGGCAGCATCGTGACCAAGACGGTCCGCACCACGACTTGGACCAAGAAGTGTACGAATGGCGATCTCGTGACGACGACTGAGGTGGAAACGACGACTGAAACGGAATCCCCGGACGGCACGACAAGCACTACGGTGGCGATGGAGACCTGCGAAGAGACGGAGACGGAGGAGAGCAGTCTCCCGACGACGCCCGCTACGGATGGTCCTGCTGTGAGTGTGACGGAGCAAGCTGGCACGGTGCCAGGCGAGTCGGTGAAGACGGAGGTGTTCCGCTCGGAGAGACCGGACGGCAGCATCGTGACCAAGACGGTCCGCACCACGACTTGGACCAAGAAGTGTACGAATGGCGATCTCGTGACGACGACTGAGGTGGAAACGACGACTGAAACGGAATCCCCGGACGGCACGACAAGCACTACGGTGGCGATGGAGACCTGCGAAGAGACGGAGACGGAGGAGAGCAGTCTTCCAACGACGCCCGCCACGGACGGTCCTGCTGTGAGTGTGACGGAGCAAGCTGGCACGGTGCCAGGCGAGTCGGTGAAGACGGAGGTGTTCCGCTCGGAGAGACCGGACGGCAGCATCGTGACCAAGACGGTCCGCACCACGACTTGGACCAAGAAGTGTACGAATGGCGATCTCGTGACGACGACTGAGGTGGAAACGACGACTGAAACGGAATCCCCGGACGGCACGACAAGCACTACGGTGGCGATGGAGACCTGCGATGAGACGGAGACGGAGGAGAGCAGTCATCCGACGACGCCCGCTACGGATGGTCCTGCTGTGAGTGTGACGGAGCAAGCTGGCACGGTGCCAGGCGAGTCGGTGAAGACGGAGGTGTTCCGCTCGGAGAGACCGGACGGCAGCATCGTGACCAAGACGGTCCGCACCACGACTTGGACCAAGAAGTGTACGAATGGCGATCTCGTGACGACGACTGAGGTGGAAACGACGACTGAAACGGAATCCCCGGACGGCACGACAAGCACTACGGTGGCGATGGAGACCTGCGATGAGACGGAGACGGAGGAGAGCAGTCTCCCAACGACGCCCGCCACGGATGGTCCTGCTGTGAGTGTGACGGAGCAAGCTGGCACGGTGCCAGGCGAGTCGGTGAAGACGGAGGTGTTCCGCTCGGAGAGACCGGACGGCAGCATCGTGACCAAGACGGTCCGCACCACGACTTGGACCAAGAAGTGTACGAATGGCGATCTCGTGACGACGACTGAGGTGGAAACGACGACTGAAACGGAATCCCCGGACGGCACGACAAGCACTACGGTGGCGATGGAGACCTGCGAAGAGACGGAGACGGAGGAGAGCAGTCTTCCGACGACGCCCGCCACGGATGGTCCTGCTGTGAGTGTGACGGAGCAAGCTGGCACGGTGCCAGGCGAGTCGGTGAAGACGGAGGTGTTCCGCTCGGAGAGACCGGACGGCAGCATCGTGACCAAGACGGTCCGCACCACGACTTGGACCAAGAAGTGTACGAATGGCGATCTCGTGACGACGACTGAGGTGGAAACGACGACTGAAACGGAATCCCCGGACGGCACGACAAGCACTACGGTGGCGATGGAGACCTGCGAAGAGACGGAGACGGAGGAGAGCAGTCTCCCAACGACGCCCGCCACGGACGGTTCTGCTGTGAGTGTGACGGAGCAAGCTGGCACAGTGCCAGGCGAGTCGGTGAAGACGGAGGTGTTCCGCTCGGAGAGACCGGACGGCAGCATCGTGACCAAGACGGTCCGCACCACGACTTGGACCAAGAAGTGTACGAATGGCGATCTCGTGACGACGACTGAGGTGGAAACGACGACTGAAACGGAATCCCCGGACGGCACGACAAGCACTACGGTGGCGATGGAGACCTGCGAAGAGACGGAGACGGAGGAGAGCAGTCTTCCAACGACGCCCGCCACGGACGGTCCTGCTGTGAGTGTGACGGAGCAAGCTGGCACAGTGCCAGGCGAGTCGGTGAAGACGGAGGTGTTCCGCTCGGAGAGACCGGACGGCAGCATCGTGACCAAGACGGTCCGCACCACGACTTGGACCAAGAAGTGTACGAATGGCGATCTCGTGACGACGACTGAGGTGAAAACGACGACTGAAACGGAATCCCCGGACGGCACGACAAGCACTACGGTGGCGATGGAGACCTGCGAAGAGACAGAGACGGAGGAGAGCAGTCATCTGACGACGCCTGCTACGGATGGTCCTGCTGTGAGTGTGACGGAGCAAGCTGGCACGGTGCCAGGCGAGTCGGTGAAGACGGAGGTGTTCCGCTCGGAGAGACCGGACGGCAGCATCGTGACCAAGACGGTCCGCACCACGACTTGGACCAAGAAGTGTACGAATGGCGATCTCGTGACGACGACTGAGGTGGAAACGACGACTGAAACGGAATCCCCGGACGGCACGACAAGCACTACGGTGGCGATGGAGACCTGCGATGAGACGGAGACGGAGGAGAGCAGTCTCCCGACGACGCCCGCTACGGATGGTCCTGCTGTGAGTGTGACGGAGCAAGCTGGCACGGTGCCAGGCGAGTCGGTGAAGACGGAGGTGTTCCGCTCGGAGAGACCGGACGGCAGCATCGTGACCAAGACGGTCCGCACCACGACTTGGACCAAGAAGTGTACGAATGGCGATCTCGTGACGACGACTGAGGTGGAAACGACGACTGAAACGGAATCCCCGGACGGCACGACAAGCACTACGGTGGCGATGGAGACCTGCGAAGAGACGGAGACGGAGGAGAGCAGTCTCCCGACGACGCCCGCCACGGATGGTCCTGCTGTGAGTGTGACGGAGCAAGCTGGCACGGTGCCAGGCGAGTCGGTGAAGACGGAGGTGTTCCGCTCGGAGAGACCGGACGGCAGCATCGTGACCAAGACGGTCCGCACCACGACTTGGACCAAGAAGTGTACGAATGGCGATCTCGTGACGACGACTGAGGTGGAAACGACGACTGAAACGGAATCCCCGGACGGCACGACAAGCACTACGGTGGCGATGGAGACCTGCGATGAGACGGAGACGGAGGAGAGCAGTCATCTGACGACGCCCGCTACGGATGGTCCTGCTGTGAGTGTGACGGAGCAAGCTGGCACGGTGCCAGGCGAGTCGGTGAAGACGGAGGTGTTCCGCTCGGAGAGACCGGACGGCAGCATCGTGACCAAGACGGTCCGCACCACGACTTGGACCAAGAAGTGTACGAATGGCGATCTCGTGACGACGACTGAGGTGGAAACGACGACTGAAACGGAATCCCCGGACGGCACGACAAGCACTACGGTGGCGATGGAGACCTGCGAAGAGACGGAGACGGAGGAGAGCAGTCTCCCAACGACGCCCGCCACGGATGGTCCTGCTGTGAGTGTGACGGAGCAAGCTGGCACAGTGCCAGGCGAGTCGGTGAAGACGGAGGTGTTCCGCTCGGAGAGACCGGACGGCAGCATCGTGACCAAGACGGTCCGCACCACGACTTGGACCAAGAAGTGTACGAATGGCGATCTCGTGACGACGACTGAGGTGGAAACGACGACTGAAACGGAATCCCCGGACGGCACGACAAGCACTACGGTGGCGATGGAGACCTGCGAAGAGACGGAGACGGAGGAGAGCAGTCTTCCAACGACGCCCGCCACGGACGGTCCTGCTGTGAGTGTGACGGAGCAAGCTGGCACGGTGCCAGGCGAGTCGGTGAAGACGGAGGTGTTCCGCTCGGAGAGACCGGACGGCAGCATCGTGACCAAGACGGTCCGCACCACGACTTGGACCAAGAAGTGTACGAATGGCGATCTCGTGACGACGACTGAGGTGAAAACGACGACTGAAACGGAATCCCCGGACGGCACGACAAGCACTACGGTGGCGATGGAGACCTGCGAAGAGACAGAGACGGAGGAGAGCAGTCATCCGACGACGCCCGCTACGGATGGTCCTGCTGTGAGTGTGACGGAGCAAGCTGGCACGGTGCCAGGCGAGTCGGTGAAGACGGAGGTGTTCCGCTCGGAGAGACCGGACGGCAGCATCGTGACCAAGACGGTCCGCACCACGACTTGGACCAAGAAGTGTACGAATGGCGATCTCGTGACGACGACTGAGGTGGAAACGACGACTGAAACGGAATCCCCGGACGGCACGACAAGCACTACGGTGGCGATGGAGACCTGCGAAGAGACGGAGACGGAGGAGAGCAGTCTCCCGACGACGCCCGCTACGGATGGTCCTGCTGTGAGTGTGACGGAGCAAGCTGGCACGGTACCAGGCGAGTCGGTGAAGACGGAGGTGTTCCGCTCGGAGAGACCGGACGGCAGCATCGTGACCAAGACGGTCCGCACCACGACTTGGACCAAGAAGTGTACGAATGGCGATCTCGTGACGACGACTGAGGTGGAAACGACGACTGAAACGGAATCCCCGGACGGCACGACAAGCACTACGGTGGCGATGGAGACCTGCGAAGAGACGGAGACGGAGGAGAGCAGTCTTCCAACGACGCCCGCCACGGACGGTCCTGCTGTGAGTGTGACGGAGCAAGCTGGCACGGTGCCAGGCGAGTCGGTGAAGACGGAGGTGTTCCGCTCGGAGAGACCGGACGGCAGCATCGTGACCAAGACGGTCCGCACCACGACTTGGACCAAGAAGTGTACGAATGGCGATCTCGTGACGACGACTGAGGTGAAAACGACGACTGAAACGGAATCCCCGGACGGCACGACAAGCACTACGGTGGCGATGGAGACCTGCGATGAGACGGAGACGGAGGAGAGCAGTCATCTGACGACGCCCGCTACGGATGGTCCTGCTGTGAGTGTGACGGAGCAAGCTAGCACGGTGCCAGGCGAGTCGGTGAAGACGGAGGTGTTCCGCTCGGAGAGACCGGACGGCAGCATCGTGACCAAGACGGTCCGCACCACGACTTGGACCAAGAAGTGTACGAATGGCGATCTCGTGACGACGACTGAGGTGGAAACGACGACTGAAACGGAATCCCCGGACGGCACGACAAGCACTACGGTGGCGATGGAGACCTGCGATGAGACGGAGACGGAGGAGAGCAGTCTCCCAACGACGCCCGCCACGGATGGTCCTGCTGTGAGTGTGACGGAGCAAGCTGGCACAGTGCCAGGCGAGTCGGTGAAGACGGAGGTGTTCCGCTCGGAGAGACCGGACGGCAGCATCGTGACCAAGACGGTCCGCACCACGACTTGGACCAAGAAGTGTACGAATGGCGATCTCGTGACGACGACTGAGGTGGAAACGACGACTGAAACGGAATCCCCGGACGGCACGACAAGCACTACGGTGGCGATGGAGACCTGCGAAGAGACGGAGACGGAGGAGAGCAGTCTTCCAACGACGCCCGCCACGGATGGTCCTGCTGTGAGTGTGACGGAGCAAGCTGGCACGGTGCCAGGCGAGTCGGTGAAGACGGAGGTGTTCCGCTCGGAGAGACCGGACGGCAGCATCGTGACCAAGACGGTCCGCACCACGACTTGGACCAAGAAGTGTACGAATGGCGATCTCGTGACGACGACTGAGGTGGAAACGACGACTGAAACGGAATCCCCGGACGGCACGACAAGCACTACGGTGGCGATGGAGACCTGCGAAGAGACGGAGACGGAGGAGAGCAGTCTCCCGACGACGCCCGCCACGGATGGTCCTGCTGTGAGTGTGACGGAGCAAGCTGGCACGGTGCCAGGCGAGTCGGTGAAGACGGAGGTGTTCCGCTCGGAGAGACCGGACGGCAGCATCGTGACCAAGACGGTCCGCACCACGACTTGGACCAAGAAGTGTACGAATGGCGATCTCGTGACGACGACTGAGGTGGAAACGACGACTGAAACGGAATCCCCGGACGGCACGACAAGCACTACGGTGGCGATGGAGACCTGCGAAGAGACGGAGACGGAGGAGAGCAGTCATCCTGACGACGCCCGCTACGGATGGTCCTGCTGTGAGTGTGACGGAGCAAGCTGGCACGGTGCCAGGCGAGTCGGTGAAGACGGAGGTGTTCCGCTCGGAGAGACCGGACGGCAGCATCGTGACCAAGACGGTCCGCACCACGACTTGGACCAAGAAGTGTACGAATGGCGATCTCGTGACGACGACTGAGGTGGAAACGACGACTGAAACGGAATCCCCGGACGGCACGACAAGCACTACGGTGGCGATGGAGACCTGCGATGAGACGGAGACGGAGGAGAGCAGTCATCTGACGACGCCCGCTACGGATGGTCCTGCTGTGAGTGTGACGGAGCAAGCTGGCACGGTGCCAGGCGAGTCGGTGAAGACGGAGGTGTTCCGCTCGGAGAGACCGGACGGCAGCATCGTGACCAAGACGGTCCGCACCACGACTTGGACCAAGAAGTGTACGAATGGCGATCTCGTGACGACGACTGAGGTGGAAACGACGACTGAAACGGAATCCCCGGACGGCACGACAAGCACTACGGTGGCGATGGAGACCTGCGATGAGACGGAGACGGAGGAGAGCAGTCTCCCGACGACGCCCGCTACGGATGGTCCTGCTGTGAGTGTGACGGAGCAAGCTGGCACGGTGCCAGGCGAGTCGGTGAAGACGGAGGTGTTCCGCTCGGAGAGACCGGACGGCAGCATCGTGACCAAGACGGTCCGCACCACGACTTGGACCAAGAAGTGTACGAATGGCGATCTCGTGACGACGACTGAGGTGGAAACGACGACTGAAACGGAATCCCCGGACGGCACGACAAGCACTACGGTGGCGATGGAGACCTGCGATGAGACGGAGACGGAGGAGAGCAGTCTTCCGACGACGCCCGCTACGGATGGTCCTGCTGTGAGTGTGACGGAGCAAGCTGGCACGGTGCCAGGCGAGTCGGTGAAGACGGAGGTGTTCCGCTCGGAGAGACCGGACGGCAGCATCGTGACCAAGACGGTCCGCACCACGACTTGGACCAAGAAGTGTACGAATGGCGATCTCGTGACGACGACTGAGGTGGAAACGACGACTGAAACGGAATCCCCGGACGGCACGACAAGCACTACGGTGGCGATGGAGACCTGCGAAGAGACGGAGACGGAGGAGAGCAGTCTTCCGACGACGCCCGCTACGGATGGTCCTGCTGTGAGTGTGACGGAGCAAGCTGGCACGGTGCCAGGCGAGTCGGTGAAGACGGAGGTGTTCCGCTCGGAGAGACCGGACGGCAGCATCGTGACCAAGACGGTCCGCACCACGACTTGGACCAAGAAGTGTACGAATGGCGATCTCGTGACGACGACTGAGGTGGAAACGACGACTGAAACGGAATCCCCGGACGGCACGACAAGCACTACGGTGGCGATGGAGACCTGCGATGAGACGGAGACGGAGGAGAGCAGTCTCCCGACGACGCCCGCTACGGATGGTCCTGCTGTGAGTGTGACGGAGCAAGCTGGCACGGTGCCAGGCGAGTCGGTGAAGACGGAGGTGTTCCGCTCGGAGAGACCGGACGGCAGCATCGTGACCAAGACGGTCCGCACCACGACTTGGACCAAGAAGTGTACGAATGGCGATCTCGTGACGACGACTGAGGTGGAAACGACGACTGAAACGGAATCCCCGGACGGCACGACAAGCACTACGGTGGCGATGGAGACCTGCGAAGAGACGGAGACGGAGGAGAGCAGTCTCCCGACGACGCCCGCTACGGATGGTCCTGCTGTGAGTGTGACGGAGCAAGCTGGCACGGTGCCAGGCGAGTCGGTGAAGACGGAGGTGTTCCGCTCGGAGAGACCGGACGGCAGCATCGTGACCAAGACGGTCCGCACCACGACTTGGACCAAGAAGTGTACGAATGGCGATCTCGTGACGACGACTGAGGTGGAAACGACGACTGAAACGGAATCCCCGGACGGCACGACAAGCACTACGGTGGCGATGGAGACCTGCGATGAGACGGAGACGGAGGAGAGCAGTCTTCCGACGACGCCCGCCACGGATGGTCCTGCTGTGAGTGTGACGGAGCAAGCTGGCACGGTGCCAGGCGAGTCGGTGAAGACGGAGGTGTTCCGCTCGGAGAGACCGGACGGCAGCATCGTGACCAAGACGGTCCGCACCACGACTTGGACCAAGAAGTGTACGAATGGCGATCTCGTGACGACGACTGAGGTGGAAACGACGACTGAAACGGAATCCCCGGACGGCACGACAAGCACTACGGTGGCGATGGAGACCTGCGAAGAGACGGAGACGGAGGAGAGCAGTCATCCCGACGACGCCCGCTACGGATGGTCCTGCTGTGAGTGTGACGGAGCAAGCTGGCACGGTGCCAGGCGAGTCGGTGAAGACGGAGGTGTTCCGCTCGGAGAGACCGGACGGCAGCATCGTGACCAAGACGGTCCGCACCACGACTTGGACCAAGAAGTGTACGAATGGCGATCTCGTGACGACGACTGAGGTGGAAACGACGACTGAAACGGAATCCCCGGACGGCACGACAAGCACTACGGTGGCGATGGAGACCTGCGAAGAGACGGAGACGGAGGAGAGCAGTCTTCCGACGACGCCCGCTACGGATGGTCCTGCTGTGAGTGTGACGGAGCAAGCTGGCACGGTGCCAGGCGAGTCGGTGAAGACGGAGGTGTTCCGCTCGGAGAGACCGGACGGCAGCATCGTGACCAAGACGGTCCGCACCACGACTTGGACCAAGAAGTGTACGAATGGCGATCTCGTGACGACGACTGAGGTGGAAACGACGACTGAAACGGAATCCCCGGACGGCACGACAAGCACTACGGTGGCGATGGAGACCTGCGATGAGACGGAGACGGAGGAGAGCAGTCTTCCGACGACGCCCGCTACGGATGGTCCTGCTGTGAGTGTGACGGAGCAAGCTGGCACGGTGCCAGGCGAGTCGGTGAAGACGGAGGTGTTCCGCTCGGAGAGACCGGACGGCAGCATCGTGACCAAGACGGTCCGCACCACGACTTGGACCAAGAAGTGTACGAATGGCGATCTCGTGACGACGACTGAGGTGGAAACGACGACTGAAACGGAATCCCCGGACGGCACGACAAGCACTACGGTGGCGATGGAGACCTGCGATGAGACGGAGACGGAGGAGAGCAGTCTCCCGACGACGCCCGCTACGGATGGTCCTGCTGTGAGTGTGACGGAGCAAGCTGGCACGGTGCCAGGCGAGTCGGTGAAGACGGAGGTGTTCCGCTCGGAGAGACCGGACGGCAGCATCGTGACCAAGACGGTCCGCACCACGACTTGGACCAAGAAGTGTACGAATGGCGATCTCGTGACGACGACTGAGGTGGAAACGACGACTGAAACGGAATCCCCGGACGGCACGACAAGCACTACGGTGGCGATGGAGACCTGCGAAGAGACGGAGACGGAGGAGAGCAGTCTCCCGACGACGCCCGCTACGGATGGTCCTGCTGTGAGTGTGACGGAGCAAGCTGGCACGGTGCCAGGCGAGTCGGTGAAGACGGAGGTGTTCCGCTCGGAGAGACCGGACGGCAGCATCGTGACCAAGACGGTCCGCACCACGACTTGGACCAAGAAGTGTACGAATGGCGATCTCGTGACGACGACTGAGGTGGAAACGACGACTGAAACGGAATCCCCGGACGGCACGACAAGCACTACGGTGGCGATGGAGACCTGCGAAGAGACGGAGATGTATGAGGAGGTGCCAGTCTCAAGAAGACGCCCGAGCGACGGAGGTGCTGGAGTGTGACGGAGCAAGTGGCACGGTGCCAGGCGAGTCGGTGAAGACGGAGGTGTTCCGCGGAGAGAGGACGGCAGAATCGTGACCAAGACGGCGCAGGGCGGCGGCGCGGGGGAGGGGGGGGGGGAGCCCAACGACAAACCGGAACCCCCGGAAGGGGAGGAAGGGGAGGGGGGGGCGACGGAAGTGAGGGAAGAGACGGAGACGTATGAGGAGGTGCCAATCTTCAAGAAGACGCCCGAGACGACGGAAGTGGATGAAACGGAGGAGACCACGACGGAAGTGACGTTCACGACGGAGACGTATGAGGAGGTGCCAATCTTCAAGAAGACGCCCGAGACGACGGAAGTGGATGAAACGGAGGAGACCACGACGGAAGTGACGGAAGTGACGGAGACGTATGAGGAGGTGCCAATCTTCAAGAAGACGCCCGAGACGACGGAAGTGGATGAAACGGAGGAGACCACGACGGAAGTGACGTTCACGACGGAGACGTATGAGGAGGTGCCAATCTTCAAGAAGACGCCCGAGACGACGGAAGTGGATGAAACGGAGGAGACCACGACGGAAGTGACGTTCACGACGGAGACGTATGAGGAGGTGCCAATCTTCAAGAAGACGCCCGAGACGACGGAAGTGGATGAAACGGAGGAGACCACGACGGAAGTGACGTTCACGACGGAGACGTATGAGGAGGTGCCAATCTTCAAGAAGACGCCCGAGACGACGGAAGTGGATGAAACGGAGGAGACCACGACGGAAGTGACGGACGGAGACGTATGAGGAGGTGCCAATCTTCAAGAAGACGCCCGAGACGACGGAAGTGGATGAAACGGAGGAGACCACGACGGAAGTGACGTTCACGACGGAGACGTATGAGGAGGTGCCAATCTTCAAGAAGACGCCCGAGACGACGGAAGTGGATGAAACGGAGGAGACCACGACGGAAGTGACGTTCACGACGGAGACGTATGAGGAGGTGCCAATCTTCAAGAAGACGCCCGAGACGACGGAAGTGGATGAAACGGAGGAGACCACGACGGAAGTGACGTTCACGACGGAGACGTATGAGGAGGTGCCAATCTTCAAGAAGACGCCCGAGACGACGGAAGTGGATGAAACGGAGGAGACCACGACGGAAGTGACGTTACGACGGAGACGTATGAGGAGGTGCCAATCTTCAAGAAGACGCCCGAGACGACGGAAGTGGATGAAACGGAGGAGACCACGACGGAAGTGACGTTCACGACGGAGACGTATGAGGAGGTGCCAATCTTCAAGAAGACGCCCGAGACGACGGAAGTGGATGAAACGGAGGAGACCACGACGGAAGTGACGTTCACGACGGAGACGTATGAGGAGGTGCCAATCTTCAAGAAGACGCCCGAGACGACGGAAGTGGATGAAACGGAGGAGACCACGACGGAAGTGACGTCAGACGGAGACGTATGAGGAGGTGCCAATCTTCAAGAAGACGCCCGAGACGACGGAAGTGGATGAAACGGAGGAGACCACGACGGAAGTGACGTTCACGACGGAGACGTATGAGGAGGTGCCAATCTTCAAGAAGACGCCCGAGACGACGGAAGTGGATGAAACGGAGGAGACCACGACGGAAGTGACGGAAGTGACGGAGACGTATGAGGAGGTGCCAATCTTCAAGAAGACGCCCGAGACGACGGAAGTGGATGAAACGGAGGAGACCACGACGGAAGTGACGTTCACGACGGAGACGTATGAGGAGGTGCCAATCTTCAAGAAGACGCCCGAGACGACGGAAGTGGATGAAACGGAGGAGACCACGACGGAAGTGACGTTCACGACGGAGACGTATGAGGAGGTGCCAATCTTCAAGAAGACGCCCGAGACGACGGAAGTGGATGAAACGGAGGAGACCACGACGGAAGTGACGGAAGTGACGGAGACGTATGAGGAGGTGCCAATCTTCAAGAAGACGCCCGAGACGACGGAAGTGGATGAAACGGAGGAGACCACGACGGAAGTGACGTTCACGACGGAGACGTATGAGGAGGTGCCAATCTTCAAGAAGACGCCCGAGACGACGGAAGTGGATGAAACGGAGGAGACCACGACGGAAGTGACGTTCACGACGGAGACGTATGAGGAGGTGCCAATCTTCAAGAAGACGCCCGAGACGACGGAAGTGGATGAAACGGAGGAGACCACGACGGAAGTGACGTTCACGACGGAGACGTATGAGGAGGTGCCAATCTTCAAGAAGACGCCCGAGACGACGGAAGTGGATGAAACGGAGGAGACCACGACGGAAGTGACGTTCACGACGGAGACGTATGAGGAGGTGCCAATCTTCAAGAAGACGCCCGAGACGACGGAAGTGGATGAAACGGAGGAGACCACGACGGAAGTGACGTTCACGACGGAGACGTATGAGGAGGTGCCAATCTTCAAGAAGACGCCCGAGACGACGGAAGTGGATGAAACGGAGGAGACCACGACGGAAGTGACGTTCACGACGGAGACGTATGAGGAGGTGCCAATCTTCAAGAAGACGCCCGAGACGACGGAAGTGGATGAAACGGAGGAGACCACGACGGAAGTGACGTTCACGACGGAGACGTATGAGGAGGTGCCAATCTTCAAGAAGACGCCCGAGACGACGGAAGTGGATGAAACGGAGGAGACCACGACGGAAGTGACGTTCACGACGGAGACGTATGAGGAGGTGCCAATCTTCAAGAAGACGCCCGAGACGACGGAAGTGGATGAAACGGAGGAGACCACGACGGAAGTGACGTTCACGACGGAGACGTATGAGGAGGTGCCAATCTTCAAGAAGACGCCCGAGACGACGGAAGTGGATGAAACGGAGGAGACCACGACGGAAGTGACGTTCACGACGGAGACGTATGAGGAGGTGCCAATCTTCAAGAAGACGCCCGAGACGACGGAAGTGGATGAAACGGAGGAGACCACGACGGAAGTGACGTTCACGACGGAGACGTATGAGGAGGTGCCAATCTTCAAGAAGACGCCCGAGACGACGGAAGTGGATGAAACGGAGGAGACCACGACGGAAGTGACGTTCACGACGGAGACGTATGAGGAGGTGCCAATCTTCAAGAAGACGCCCGAGACGACGGAAGTGGATGAAACGGAGGAGACCACGACGGAAGTGACGGGTGACGGAGACGTATGAGGAGGTGCCAATCTTCAAGAAGACGCCCGAGACGACGGAAGTGGATGAAACGGAGGAGACCACGACGGAAGTGACGGAAGTGACGGAGACGTATGAGGAGGTGCCAATCTTCAAGAAGACGCCCGAGACGACGGAAGTGGATGAAACGGAGGAGACCACGACGGAAGTGACGTTCACGACGGAGACGTATGAGGAGGTGCCAATCTTCAAGAAGACGCCCGAGACGACGGAAGTGGATGAAACGGAGGAGACCACGACGGAAGTGACGTTCACGACGGAGACGTATGAGGAGGTGCCAATCTTCAAGAAGACGCCCGAGACGACGGAAGTGGATGAAACGGAGGAGACCACGACGGAAGTGACGGAAGTGACGGAGACGTATGAGGAGGTGCCAATCTTCAAGAAGACGCCCGAGACGACGGAAGTGGATGAAACGGAGGAGACCACGACGGAAGTGACGGAAGTGACGGAGACGTATGAGGAGGTGCCAATCTTCAAGAAGACGCCCGAGACGACGGAAGTGGATGAAACGGAGGAGACCACGACGGAAGTGACGTTCACGACGGAGACGTATGAGGAGGTGCCAATCTTCAAGAAGACGCCCGAGACGACGGAAGTGGATGAAACGGAGGAGACCACGACGGAAGTGACGTTCACGACGGAGACGTATGAGGAGGTGCCAATCTTCAAGAAGACGCCCGAGACGACGGAAGTGGATGAAACGGAGGAGACCACGACGGAAGTGACGTTCACGACGGAGACGTATGAGGAGGTGCCAATCTTCAAGAAGACGCCCGAGACGACGGAAGTGGATGAAACGGAGGAGACCACGACGGAAGTGACGTTCACGACGGAGACGTATGAGGAGGTGCCAATCTTCAAGAAGACGCCCGAGACGACGGAAGTGGATGAAACGGAGGAGACCACGACGGAAGTGACGTTCACGACGGAGACGTATGAGGAGGTGCCAATCTTCAAGAAGACGCCCGAGACGACGGAAGTGGATGAAACGGAGGAGACCACGACGGAAGTGACGTTCACGACGGAGACGTATGAGGAGGTGCCAATCTTCAAGAAGACGCCCGAGACGACGGAAGTGGATGAAACGGAGGAGACCACGACGGAAGTGACGTTCACGACGGAGACGTATGAGGAGGTGCCAATCTTCAAGAAGACGCCCGAGACGACGGAAGTGGATGAAACGGAGGAGACCACGACGGAAGTGACGTTCACGACGGAGACGTATGAGGAGGTGCCAATCTTCAAGAAGACGCCCGAGACGACGGAAGTGGATGAAACGGAGGAGACCACGACGGAAGTGACGGAAGTGACGGAGACGTATGAGGAGGTGCCAATCTTCAAGAAGACGCCCGAGACGACGGAAGTGGATGAAACGGAGGAGACCACGACGGAAGTGACGTTCACGACGGAGACGTATGAGGAGGTGCCAATCTTCAAGAAGACGCCCGAGACGACGGAAGTGGATGAAACGGAGGAGACCACGACGGAAGTGACGGAAGTGACGGAGACGTATGAGGAGGTGCCAATCTTCAAGAAGACGCCCGAGACGACGGAAGTGGATGAAACGGAGGAGACCACGACGGAAGTGACGTTCACGACGGAGACGTATGAGGAGGTGCCAATCTTCAAGAAGACGCCCGAGACGACGGAAGTGGATGAAACGGAGGAGACCACGACGGAAGTGACGTTCACGACGGAGACGTATGAGGAGGTGCCAATCTTCAAGAAGACGCCCGAGACGACGGAAGTGGATGAAACGGAGGAGACCACGACGGAAGTGACGTTCACGACGGAGACGTATGAGGAGGTGCCAATCTTCAAGAAGACGCCCGAGACGACGGAAGTGGATGAAACGGAGGAGACCACGACGGAAGTGACGTTCACGACGGAGACGTATGAGGAGGTGCCAATCTTCAAGAAGACGCCCGAGACGACGGAAGTGGATGAAACGGAGGAGACCACGACGGAAGTGACGTTCACGACGGAGACGTATGAGGAGGTGCCAATCTTCAAGAAGACGCCCGAGACGACGGAAGTGGATGAAACGGAGGAGACCACGACGGAAGTGACGTTCACGACGGAGACGTATGAGGAGGTGCCAATCTTCAAGAAGACGCCCGAGACGACGGAAGTGGATGAAACGGAGGAGACCACGACGGAAGTGACGTTCACGACGGAGACGTATGAGGAGGTGCCAATCTTCAAGAAGACGCCCGAGACGACGGAAGTGGATGAAACGGAGGAGACCACGACGGAAGTGACGTTCACGACGGAGACGTATGAGGAGGTGCCAATCTTCAAGAAGACGCCCGAGACGACGGAAGTGGATGAAACGGAGGAGACCACGACGGAAGTGACGTTCACGACGGAGACGTATGAGGAGGTGCCAATCTTCAAGAAGACGCCCGAGACGACGGAAGTGGATGAAACGGAGGAGACCACGACGGAAGTGACGTTCACGACGGAGACGTATGAGGAGGTGCCAATCTTCAAGAAGACGCCCGAGACGACGGAAGTGGATGAAACGGAGGAGACCACGACGGAAGTGACGTTCACGACGGAGACGTATGAGGAGGTGCCAATCTTCAAGAAGACGCCCGAGACGACGGAAGTGGATGAAACGGAGGAGACCACGACGGAAGTGACGTTCACGACGGAGACGTATGAGGAGGTGCCAATCTTCAAGAAGACGCCCGAGACGACGGAAGTGGATGAAACGGAGGAGACCACGACGGAAGTGACGGAGACGTATGAGGAGGTGCCAATCTTCAAGAAGACGCCCGAGACGACGGAAGTGGATGAAACGGAGGAGACCACGACGGAAGTGACGTTCACGACGGAGACGTATGAGGAGGTGCCAATCTTCAAGAAGACGCCCGAGACGACGGAAGTGGATGAAACGGAGGAGACCACGACGGAAGTGACGTTCACGACGGAGACGTATGAGGAGGTGCCAATCTTCAAGAAGACGCCCGAGACGACGGAAGTGGATGAAACGGAGGAGACCACGACGGAAGTGACGTTCACGACGGAGACGTATGAGGAGGTGCCAATCTTCAAGAAGACGCCCGAGACGACGGAAGTGGATGAAACGGAGGAGACCACGACGGAAGTGACGTTCACGACGGAGACGTATGAGGAGGTGCCAATCTTCAAGAAGACGCCCGAGACGACGGAAGTGGATGAAACGGAGGAGACCACGACGGAAGTGACGTTCACGACGGAGACGTATGAGGAGGTGCCAATCTTCAAGAAGACGCCCGAGACGACGGAAGTGGATGAAACGGAGGAGACCACGACGGAAGTGACGTTCACGACGGAGACGTATGAGGAGGTGCCAATCTTCAAGAAGACGCCCGAGACGACGGAAGTGGATGAAACGGAGGAGACCACGACGGAAGTGACGTTCACGACGGAGACGTATGAGGAGGTGCCAATCTTCAAGAAGACGCCCGAGACGACGGAAGTGGATGAAACGGAGGAGACCACGACGGAAGTGACGTTCACGACGGAGACGTATGAGGAGGTGCCAATCTTCAAGAAGACGCCCGAGACGACGGAAGTGGATGAAACGGAGGAGACCACGACGGAAGTGACGTTCACGACGGAGACGTATGAGGAGGTGCCAATCTTCAAGAAGACGCCCGAGACGACGGAAGTGGATGAAACGGAGGAGACCACGACGGAAGTGACGTTCACGACGGAGACGTATGAGGAGGTGCCAATCTTCAAGAAGACGCCCGAGACGACGGAAGTGGATGAAACGGAGGAGACCACGACGGAAGTGACGGTGACGGAGACGTATGAGGAGGTGCCAATCTTCAAGAAGACGCCCGAGACGACGGAAGTGGATGAAACGGAGGAGACCACGACGGAAGTGACGTTCACGACGGAGACGTATGAGGAGGTGCCAATCTTCAAGAAGACGCCCGAGACGACGGAAGTGGATGAAACGGAGGAGACCACGACGGAGAAGTGACGGAGACGTATGAGGAGGTGCCAATCTTCAAGAAGACGCCCGAGACGACGGAAGTGGATGAAACGGAGGAGACCACGACGGAAGTGACGTTCACGACGGAGACGTATGAGGAGGTGCCAATCTTCAAGAAGACGCCCGAGACGACGGAAGTGGATGAAACGGAGGAGACCACGACGGAAGGTGACGGAGACGTATGAGGAGGTGCCAATCTTCAAGAAGACGCCCGAGACGACGGAAGTGGATGAAACGGAGGAGACCACGACGGAAGTGACGTTCACGACGGAGACGTATGAGGAGGTGCCAATCTTCAAGAAGACGCCCGAGACGACGGAAGTGGATGAAACGGAGGAGACCACGACGGAAGTGACGTTCACGACGGAGACGTATGAGGAGGTGCCAATCTTCAAGAAGACGCCCGAGACGACGGAAGTGGATGAAACGGAGGAGACCACGACGGAAGTGACGTTCACGACGGAGACGTATGAGGAGGTGCCAATCTTCAAGAAGACGCCCGAGACGACGGAAGTGGATGAAACGGAGGAGACCACGACGGAAGTGACGTTCACGACGGAGACGTATGAGGAGGTGCCAATCTTCAAGAAGACGCCCGAGACGACGGAAGTGGATGAAACGGAGGAGACCACGACGGAAGTGACGTTCACGACGGAGACGTATGAGGAGGTGCCAATCTTCAAGAAGACGCCCGAGACGACGGAAGTGGATGAAACGGAGGAGACCACGACGGAAGTGACGTTCACGACGGAGACGTATGAGGAGGTGCCAATCTTCAAGAAGACGCCCGAGACGACGGAAGTGGATGAAACGGAGGAGACCACGACGGAAGTGACGGAGTGACGGAGACGTATGAGGAGGTGCCAATCTTCAAGAAGACGCCCGAGACGACGGAAGTGGATGAAACGGAGGAGACCACGACGGAAGTGACGTTCACGACGGAGACGTATGAGGAGGTGCCAATCTTCAAGAAGACGCCCGAGACGACGGAAGTGGATGAAACGGAGGAGACCACGACGGAAGTGACGGAGACGTATGAGGAGGTGCCAATCTTCAAGAAGACGCCCGAGACGACGGAAGTGGATGAAACGGAGGAGACCACGACGGAAGTGACGACGGAGACGTATGAGGAGGTGCCAATCTTCAAGAAGACGCCCGAGACGACGGAAGTGGATGAAACGGAGGAGACCACGACGGAAGTGACGGAGACGTATGAGGAGGTGCCAATCTTCAAGAAGACGCCCGAGACGACGGAAGTGGATGAAACGGAGGAGACCACGACGGAAGTGACGTTCACGACGGAGACGTATGAGGAGGTGCCAATCTTCAAGAAGACGCCCGAGACGACGGAAGTGGATGAAACGGAGGAGACCACGACGGAAGTGACGGAGACGTATGAGGAGGTGCCAATCTTCAAGAAGACGCCCGAGACGACGGAAGTGGATGAAACGGAGGAGACCACGACGGAAGTGACGTTCACGACGGAGACGTATGAGGAGGTGCCAATCTTCAAGAAGACGCCCGAGACGACGGAAGTGGATGAAACGGAGGAGACCACGACGGAAGTGACGGAGACGTATGAGGAGGTGCCAATCTTCAAGAAGACGCCCGAGACGACGGAAGTGGATGAAACGGAGGAGACCACGACGGAAGTGACGTTCACGACGGAGACGTATGAGGAGGTGCCAATCTTCAAGAAGACGCCCGAGACGACGGAAGTGGATGAAACGGAGGAGACCACGACGGAAGTGACGTTCACGACGGAGACGTATGAGGAGGTGCCAATCTTCAAGAAGACGCCCGAGACGACGGAAGTGGATGAAACGGAGGAGACCACGACGGAAGTGACGTTCACGACGGAGACGTATGAGGAGGTGCCAATCTTCAAGAAGACGCCCGAGACGACGGAAGTGGATGAAACGGAGGAGACCACGACGGAAGTGACGGAGACGTATGAGGAGGTGCCAATCTTCAAGAAGACGCCCGAGACGACGGAAGTGGATGAAACGGAGGAGACCACGACGGAAGTGACGTTCACGACGGAGACGTATGAGGAGGTGCCAATCTTCAAGAAGACGCCCGAGACGACGGAAGTGGATGAAACGGAGGAGACCACGACGGAAGTGACGGAGACGTATGAGGAGGTGCCAATCTTCAAGAAGACGCCCGAGACGACGGAAGTGGATGAAACGGAGGAGACCACGACGGAAGTGACGTTCACGACGGAGACGTATGAGGAGGTGCCAATCTTCAAGAAGACGCCCGAGACGACGGAAGTGGATGAAACGGAGGAGACCACGACGGAAGTGACGTTCACGACGGAGACGTATGAGGAGGTGCCAATCTTCAAGAAGACGCCCGAGACGACGGAAGTGGATGAAACGGAGGAGACCACGACGGAAGTGACGGAGACGTATGAGGAGGTGCCAATCTTCAAGAAGACGCCCGAGACGACGGAAGTGGATGAAACGGAGGAGACCACGACGGAAGTGACGTTCACGACGGAGACGTATGAGGAGGTGCCAATCTTCAAGAAGACGCCCGAGACGACGGAAGTGGATGAAACGGAGGAGACCACGACGGAAGTGACGTTCACGACGGAGACGTATGAGGAGGTGCCAATCTTCAAGAAGACGCCCGAGACGACGGAAGTGGATGAAACGGAGGAGACCACGACGGAAGTCGACGGAGACGTATGAGGAGGTGCCAATCTTCAAGAAGACGCCCGAGACGACGGAAGTGGATGAAACGGAGGAGACCACGACGGAAGTGACGTTCACGACGGAGACGTATGAGGAGGTGCCAATCTTCAAGAAGACGCCCGAGACGACGGAAGTGGATGAAACGGAGGAGACCACGACGGAAGTGACGGAGACGTATGAGGAGGTGCCAATCTTCAAGAAGACGCCCGAGACGACGGAAGTGGATGAAACGGAGGAGACCACGACGGAAGTGACGTTCACGACGGAGACGTATGAGGAGGTGCCAATCTTCAAGAAGACGCCCGAGACGACGGAAGTGGATGAAACGGAGGAGACCACGACGGAAGTGACGGAGACGTATGAGGAGGTGCCAATCTTCAAGAAGACGCCCGAGACGACGGAAGTGGATGAAACGGAGGAGACCACGACGGAAGTGACGGAGACGTATGAGGAGGTGCCAATCTTCAAGAAGACGCCCGAGACGACGGAAGTGGATGAAACGGAGGAGACCACGACGGAAGTGACGTTCACGACGGAGACGTATGAGGAGGTGCCAATCTTCAAGAAGACGCCCGAGACGACGGAAGTGGATGAAACGGAGGAGACCACGACGGAAGTGACGTTCACGACGGAGACGTATGAGGAGGTGCCAATCTTCAAGAAGACGCCCGAGACGACGGAAGTGGATGAAACGGAGGAGACCACGACGGAAGTGACGTTCACGACGGAGACGTATGAGGAGGTGCCAATCTTCAAGAAGACGCCCGAGACGACGGAAGTGGATGAAACGGAGGAGACCACGACGGAAGTGACGTTCACGACGGAGACGTATGAGGAGGTGCCAATCTTCAAGAAGACGCCCGAGACGACGGAAGTGGATGAAACGGAGGAGACCACGACGGAAGTGACGGAGACGTATGAGGAGGTGCCAATCTTCAAGAAGACGCCCGAGACGACGGAAGTGGATGAAACGGAGGAGACCACGACGGAAGTGACGTTCACGACGGAGACGTATGAGGAGGTGCCAATCTTCAAGAAGACGCCCGAGACGACGGAAGTGGATGAAACGGAGGAGACCACGACGGAAGTGACGTTCACGACGGAGACGTATGAGGAGGTGCCAATCTTCAAGAAGACGCCCGAGACGACGGAAGTGGATGAAACGGAGGAGACCACGACGGAAGTGACGGAGACGTATGAGGAGGTGCCAATCTTCAAGAAGACGCCCGAGACGACGGAAGTGGATGAAACGGAGGAGACCACGACGGAAGTGACGTTCACGACGGAGACGTATGAGGAGGTGCCAATCTTCAAGAAGACGCCCGAGACGACGGAAGTGGATGAAACGGAGGAGACCACGACGGAAGTGACGGAGACGTATGAGGAGGTGCCAATCTTCAAGAAGACGCCCGAGACGACGGAAGTGGATGAAACGGAGGAGACCACGACGGAAGTGACGTTCACGACGGAGACGTATGAGGAGGTGCCAATCTTCAAGAAGACGCCCGAGACGACGGAAGTGGATGAAACGGAGGAGACCACGACGGAAGTGACGTTCACGACGGAGACGTATGAGGAGGTGCCAATCTTCAAGAAGACGCCCGAGACGACGGAAGTGGATGAAACGGAGGAGACCACGACGGAAGTGACGTTCACGACGGAGACGTATGAGGAGGTGCCAATCTTCAAGAAGACGCCCGAGACGACGGAAGTGGATGAAACGGAGGAGACCACGACGGAAGTGACGTTCACGACGGAGACGTATGAGGAGGTGCCAATCTTCAAGAAGACGCCCGAGACGACGGAAGTGGATGAAACGGAGGAGACCACGACGGAAGTGACGTTCACGACGGAGACGTATGAGGAGGTGCCAATCTTCAAGAAGACGCCCGAGACGACGGAAGTGGATGAAACGGAGGAGACCACGACGGAAGTGACGTTCACGACGGAGACGTATGAGGAGGTGCCAATCTTCAAGAAGACGCCCGAGACGACGGAAGTGGATGAAACGGAGGAGACCACGACGGAAGTGACGTTCACGACGGAGACGTATGAGGAGGTGCCAATCTTCAAGAAGACGCCCGAGACGACGGAAGTGGATGAAACGGAGGAGACCACGACGGAAGTGACGGAGACGTATGAGGAGGTGCCAATCTTCAAGAAGACGCCCGAGACGACGGAAGTGGATGAAACGGAGGAGACCACGACGGAAGTGACGTTCACGACGGAGACGTATGAGGAGGTGCCAATCTTCAAGAAGACGCCCGAGACGACGGAAGTGGATGAAACGGAGGAGACCACGACGGAAGTGACGTTCACGACGGAGACGTATGAGGAGGTGCCAATCTTCAAGAAGACGCCCGAGACGACGGAAGTGGATGAAACGGAGGAGACCACGACGGAAGTGACGGAGACGTATGAGGAGGTGCCAATCTTCAAGAAGACGCCCGAGACGACGGAAGTGGATGAAACGGAGGAGACCACGACGGAAGTGACGTTCACGACGGAGACGTATGAGGAGGTGCCAATCTTCAAGAAGACGCCCGAGACGACGGAAGTGGATGAAACGGAGGAGACCACGACGGAAGTGACGTTCACGACGGAGACGTATGAGGAGGTGCCAATCTTCAAGAAGACGCCCGAGACGACGGAAGTGGATGAAACGGAGGAGACCACGACGGAAGTGACGTTCACGACGGAGACGTATGAGGAGGTGCCAATCTTCAAGAAGACGCCCGAGACGACGGAAGTGGATGAAACGGAGGAGACCACGACGGAAGTGACGTTCACGACGGAGACGTATGAGGAGGTGCCAATCTTCAAGAAGACGCCCGAGACGACGGAAGTGGATGAAACGGAGGAGACCACGACGGAAGTGACGGAGACGTATGAGGAGGTGCCAATCTTCAAGAAGACGCCCGAGACGACGGAAGTGGATGAAACGGAGGAGACCACGACGGAAGTGACGTTCACGACGGAGACGTATGAGGAGGTGCCAATCTTCAAGAAGACGCCCGAGACGACGGAAGTGGATGAAACGGAGGAGACCACGACGGAAGTGACGTTCACGACGGAGACGTATGAGGAGGTGCCAATCTTCAAGAAGACGCCCGAGACGACGGAAGTGGATGAAACGGAGGAGACCACGACGGAAGTGACGTGAACTGACGGAGACGTATGAGGAGGTGCCAATCTTCAAGAAGACGCCCGAGACGACGGAAGTGGATGAAACGGAGGAGACCACGACGGAAGTGACGTTCACGACGGAGACGTATGAGGAGGTGCCAATCTTCAAGAAGACGCCCGAGACGACGGAAGTGGATGAAACGGAGGAGACCACGACGGAAGTGACGGAGACGTATGAGGAGGTGCCAATCTTCAAGAAGACGCCCGAGACGACGGAAGTGGATGAAACGGAGGAGACCACGACGGAAGTGACGTTCACGACGGAGACGTATGAGGAGGTGCCAATCTTCAAGAAGACGCCCGAGACGACGGAAGTGGATGAAACGGAGGAGACCACGACGGAAGTGACGTTCACGACGGAGACGTATGAGGAGGTGCCAATCTTCAAGAAGACGCCCGAGACGACGGAAGTGGATGAAACGGAGGAGACCACGACGGAAGTGACGGAGACGTATGAGGAGGTGCCAATCTTCAAGAAGACGCCCGAGACGACGGAAGTGGATGAAACGGAGGAGACCACGACGGAAGTGACGTTCACGACGGAGACGTATGAGGAGGTGCCAATCTTCAAGAAGACGCCCGAGACGACGGAAGTGGATGAAACGGAGGAGACCACGACGGAAGTGACGGAGACGTATGAGGAGGTGCCAATCTTCAAGAAGACGCCCGAGACGACGGAAGTGGATGAAACGGAGGAGACCACGACGGAAGTGACGTTCACGACGGAGACGTATGAGGAGGTGCCAATCTTCAAGAAGACGCCCGAGACGACGGAAGTGGATGAAACGGAGGAGACCACGACGGAAGTGACGTTCACGACGGAGACGTATGAGGAGGTGCCAATCTTCAAGAAGACGCCCGAGACGACGGAAGTGGATGAAACGGAGGAGACCACGACGGAAGTGACGTTCACGACGGAGACGTATGAGGAGGTGCCAATCTTCAAGAAGACGCCCGAGACGACGGAAGTGGATGAAACGGAGGAGACCACGACGGAAGTGACGGAGACGTATGAGGAGGTGCCAATCTTCAAGAAGACGCCCGAGACGACGGAAGTGGATGAAACGGAGGAGACCACGACGGAAGTGACGTTCACGACGGAGACGTATGAGGAGGTGCCAATCTTCAAGAAGACGCCCGAGACGACGGAAGTGGATGAAACGGAGGAGACCACGACGGAAGTGACGTTCACGACGGAGACGTATGAGGAGGTGCCAATCTTCAAGAAGACGCCCGAGACGACGGAAGTGGATGAAACGGAGGAGACCACGACGGAAGTGACGGAGACGTATGAGGAGGTGCCAATCTTCAAGAAGACGCCCGAGACGACGGAAGTGGATGAAACGGAGGAGACCACGACGGAAGTGACGTTCACGACGGAGACGTATGAGGAGGTGCCAATCTTCAAGAAGACGCCCGAGACGACGGAAGTGGATGAAACGGAGGAGACCACGACGGAAGTGACGGAGACGTATGAGGAGGTGCCAATCTTCAAGAAGACGCCCGAGACGACGGAAGTGGATGAAACGGAGGAGACCACGACGGAAGTGACGTTCACGACGGAGACGTATGAGGAGGTGCCAATCTTCAAGAAGACGCCCGAGACGACGGAAGTGGATGAAACGGAGGAGACCACGACGGAAGTGACGGAAGTGACGGAGACGTATGAGGAGGTGCCAATCTTCAAGAAGACGCCCGAGACGACGGAAGTGGATGAAACGGAGGAGACCACGACGGAAGTGACGTTCACGACGGAGACGTATGAGGAGGTGCCAATCTTCAAGAAGACGCCCGAGACGACGGAAGTGGATGAAACGGAGGAGACCACGACGGAAGTGACGGAGACGTATGAGGAGGTGCCAATCTTCAAGAAGACGCCCGAGACGACGGAAGTGGATGAAACGGAGGAGACCACGACGGAAGTGACGTTCACGACGGAGACGTATGAGGAGGTGCCAATCTTCAAGAAGACGCCCGAGACGACGGAAGTGGATGAAACGGAGGAGACCACGACGGAAGTGACGTTCACGACGGAGACGTATGAGGAGGTGCCAATCTTCAAGAAGACGCCCGAGACGACGGAAGTGGATGAAACGGAGGAGACCACGACGGAAGTGACGGAGACGTATGAGGAGGTGCCAATCTTCAAGAAGACGCCCGAGACGACGGAAGTGGATGAAACGGAGGAGACCACGACGGAAGTGACGTTCACGACGGAGACGTATGAGGAGGTGCCAATCTTCAAGAAGACGCCCGAGACGACGGAAGTGGATGAAACGGAGGAGACCACGACGGAAGTGACGGAAGTGACGGAGACGTATGAGGAGGTGCCAATCTTCAAGAAGACGCCCGAGACGACGGAAGTGGATGAAACGGAGGAGACCACGACGGAAGTGACGGAGACGTATGAGGAGGTGCCAATCTTCAAGAAGACGCCCGAGACGACGGAAGTGGATGAAACGGAGGAGACCACGACGGAAGTGACGTTCACGACGGAGACGTATGAGGAGGTGCCAATCTTCAAGAAGACGCCCGAGACGACGGAAGTGGATGAAACGGAGGAGACCACGACGGAAGTGACGGAGACGTATGAGGAGGTGCCAATCTTCAAGAAGACGCCCGAGACGACGGAAGTGGATGAAACGGAGGAGACCACGACGGAAGTGACGGAGAGATGAGGAGACGTATGAGGAGGTGCCAATCTTCAAGAAGACGCCCGAGACGACGGAAGTGGATGAAACGGAGGAGACCACGACGGAAGTGACGTTCACGACGGAGACGTATGAGGAGGTGCCAATCTTCAAGAAGACGCCCGAGACGACGGAAGTGGATGAAACGGAGGAGACCACGACGGAAGTGACGTTCACGACGGAGACGTATGAGGAGGTGCCAATCTTCAAGAAGACGCCCGAGACGACGGAAGTGGATGAAACGGAGGAGACCACGACGGAAGTGACGGAAGTGACGGAGACGTATGAGGAGGTGCCAATCTTCAAGAAGACGCCCGAGACGACGGAAGTGGATGAAACGGAGGAGACCACGACGGAAGTGACGGAGACGTATGAGGAGGTGCCAATCTTCAAGAAGACGCCCGAGACGACGGAAGTGGATGAAACGGAGGAGACCACGACGGAAGTGACGTTCACGACGGAGACGTATGAGGAGGTGCCAATCTTCAAGAAGACGCCCGAGACGACGGAAGTGGATGAAACGGAGGAGACCACGACGGAAGTGACGGAGACGTATGAGGAGGTGCCAATCTTCAAGAAGACGCCCGAGACGACGGAAGTGGATGAAACGGAGGAGACCACGACGGAAGTGACGTTCACGACGGAGACGTATGAGGAGGTGCCAATCTCCAAGAAGACGCCCGAGACGACGGAAGTGGATGAAACGGAGGAGACCACGACGGAAGTGACGTTCACGACGGAGACGTATGAGGAGGTGCCAATCTTCAAGAAGACGCCCGAGACGACGGAAGTGGATGAAACGGAGGAGACCACGACGGAAGTGACGTTCACGACGGAGACGTATGAGGAGGTGCCAATCTTCAAGAAGACGCCCGAGACGACGGAAGTGGATGAAACGGAGGAGACCACGACGGAAGTGACGTTCACGACGGAGACGTATGAGGAGGTGCCAATCTTCAAGAAGACGCCCGAGACGACGGAAGTGGATGAAACGGAGGAGACCACGACGGAAGTGACGGAGACGTATGAGGAGGTGCCAATCTTCAAGAAGACGCCCGAGACGACGGAAGTGGATGAAACGGAGGAGACCACGACGGAAGTGACGGAGACGTATGAGGAGGTGCCAATCTCCAAGAAGACGCCCGAGACGACGGAAGTGGATGAAACGGAGGAGACCACGACGGAAGTGACGGAAGTGACGGAGACGTATGAGGAGGTGCCAATCTTCAAGAAGACGCCCGAGACGACGGAAGTGGATGAAACGGAGGAGACCACGACGGAAGTGACGGAGACGTATGAGGAGGTGCCAATCTTCAAGAAGACGCCCGAGACGTATGAGGAGGTGCCAATCTTCAAGAAGACGCCCGAGACGACGGAAGTGGATGAAACGGAGGAGACCACGACGGAAGTGACGGAGAAGAGGAGACGTATGAGGAGGTGCCAATCTCCAAGAAGACGCCCGAGACGACGGAAGTGGATGAAACGGAGGAGACCACGACGGAAGTGACGGAGACGTATGAGGAGGTGCCAATCTTCAAGAAGACGCCCGAGACGACGGAAGTGGATGAAACGGAGGAGACCACGACGGAAGTGACGTTCACGACGGAGACGTATGAGGAGGTGCCAATCTTCAAGAAGACGCCCGAGACGACGGAAGTGGATGAAACGGAGGAGACCACGACGGAAGTGACGGAGACGATGAGGAGACGTATGAGGAGGTGCCAATCTCCAAGAAGACGCCCGAGACGACGGAAGTGGATGAAACGGAGGAGACCACGACGGAAGTGACGGAGACGTATGAGGAGGTGCCAATCTTCAAGAAGACGCCCGAGACGACGGAAGTGGATGAAACGGAGGAGACCACGACGGAAGTGACGTTCACGACGGAGACGTATGAGGAGGTGCCAATCTTCAAGAAGACGCCCGAGACGACGGAAGTGGATGAAACGGAGGAGACCACGACGGAAGTGACGTTCACGACGGAGACGTATGAGGAGGTGCCAATCTTCAAGAAGACGCCCGAGACGACGGAAGTGGATGAAACGGAGGAGACCACGACGGAAGTGACGGAGACGTATGAGGAGGTGCCAATCTTCAAGAAGACGCCCGAGACGACGGAAGTGGATGAAACGGAGGAGACCACGACGGAAGTGACGGAGACGATGAGGAGACGTATGAGGAGGTGCCAATCTCCAAGAAGACGCCCGAGACGACGGAAGTGGATGAAACGGAGGAGACCACGACGGAAGTGACGTTCACGACGGAGACGTATGAGGAGGTGCCAATCTTCAAGAAGACGCCCGAGACGACGGAAGTGGATGAAACGGAGGAGACCACGACGGAAGTGACGGAGACTATGAGGAGACGTATGAGGAGGTGCCAATCTCCAAGAAGACGCCCGAGACGACGGAAGTGGATGAAACGGAGGAGACCACGACGGAAGTGACGGAGACGTATGAGGAGGTGCCAATCTTCAAGAAGACGCCCGAGACGACGGAAGTGGATGAAACGGAGGAGACCACGACGGAAGTGACGTTCACGACGGAGACGTATGAGGAGGTGCCAATCTCCAAGAAGACGCCCGAGACGACGGAAGTGGATGAAACGGAGGAGACCACGACGGAAGTGACGTTCACGACGGAGACGTATGAGGAGGTGCCAATCTTCAAGAAGACGCCCGAGACGACGGAAGTGGATGAAACGGAGGAGACCACGACGGAAGTGACGTTCACGACGGAGACGTATGAGGAGGTGCCAATCTTCAAGAAGACGCCCGAGACGACGGAAGTGGATGAAACGGAGGAGACCACGACGGAAGTGACGGAGACGTATGAGGAGGTGCCAATCTTCAAGAAGACGCCCGAGACGACGGAAGTGGATGAAACGGAGGAGACCACGACGGAAGTGACGTTCACGACGGAGACGTATGAGGAGGTGCCAATCTTCAAGAAGACGCCCGAGACGACGGAAGTGGATGAAACGGAGGAGACCACGACGGAAGTGACGTTCACGACGGAGACGTATGAGGAGGTGCCAATCTTCAAGAAGACGCCCGAGACGACGGAAGTGGATGAAACGGAGGAGACCACGACGGAAGTGACGGAGACGTATGAGGAGGTGCCAATCTTCAAGAAGACGCCCGAGACGACGGAAGTGGATGAAACGGAGGAGACCACGACGGAAGTGACGTTCACGACGGAGACGTATGAGGAGGTGCCAATCTCCAAGAAGACGCCCGAGACGACGGAAGCGGATGAAACGGAGGAGACCACGACGGAAGTGACGGAGACGTATGAGGAGGTGCCAATCTTCAAGAAGACGCCCGAGACGACGGAAGTGGATGAAACGGAGGAGACCACGACGGAAGTGACGGAGACGTATGAGGAGGTGCCAATCTTCAAGAAGACGCCCGAGACGACGGAAGTGGATGAAACGGAGGAGACCACGACGGAAGTGACGGAGACGTATGAGGAGGTGCCAATCTCCAAGAAGACGCCCGAGACGACGGAAGTGGATGAAACGGAGGAGACCACGACGGAAGTGACGGAAGTGACGGAGACGTATGAGGAGGTGCCAATCTTCAAGAAGACGCCCGAGACGACGGAAGTGGATGAAACGGAGGAGACCACGACGGAAGTGACGGAGACGTATGAGGAGGTGCCAATCTTCAAGAAGACGCCCGAGACGACGGAAGTGGATGAAACGGAGGAGACCACGACGGAAGTGACGGAGACGTATGAGGAGGTGCCAATCTTCAAGAAGACGCCCGAGACGACGGAAGTGGATGAAACGGAGGAGACCACGACGGAAGTGACGGAGACGTATGAGGAGGTGCCAATCTCCAAGAAGACGCCCGAGACGACGGAAGTGGATGAAACGGAGGAGACCACGACGGAAGTGACGGAAGTGACGGAGACGTATGAGGAGGTGCCAATCTTCAAGAAGACGCCCGAGACGACGGAAGTGGATGAAACGGAGGAGACCACGACGGAAGTGACGTTCACGACGGAGACGTATGAGGAGGTGCCAATCTTCAAGAAGACGCCCGAGACGACGGAAGTGGATGAAACGGAGGAGACCACGACGGAAGTGACGTTCACGACGGAGACGTATGAGGAGGTGCCAATCTTCAAGAAGACGCCCGAGACGACGGAAGTGGATGAAACGGAGGAGACCACGACGGAAGTGACGGAGACGAAGGAGACGTATGAGGAGGTGCCAATCTCCAAGAAGACGCCCGAGACGACGGAAGTGGATGAAACGGAGGAGACCACGACGGAAGTGACGGAGACGTATGAGGAGGTGCCAATCTTCAAGAAGACGCCCGAGACGACGGAAGTGGATGAAACGGAGGAGACCACGACGGAAGTGACGTTCACGACGGAGACGTATGAGGAGGTGCCAATCTTCAAGAAGACGCCCGAGACGACGGAAGTGGATGAAACGGAGGAGACCACGACGGAAGTGACGTTCACGACGGAGACGTATGAGGAGGTGCCAATCTCCAAGAAGACGCCCGAGACGACGGAAGCGGATGAAACGGAGGAGACCACGACGGAAGTGACGGAGACGTATGAGGAGGTGCCAATCTTCAAGAAGACGCCCGAGACGACGGAAGTGGATGAAACGGAGGAGACCACGACGGAAGTGACGGAGACGTATGAGGAGGTGCCAATCTTCAAGAAGACGCCCGAGACGACGGAAGTGGATGAAACGGAGGAGACCACGACGGAAGTGACGGAGACGTATGAGGAGGTGCCAATCTCCAAGAAGACGCCCGAGACGACGGAAGTGGATGAAACGGAGGAGACCACGACGGAAGTGACGGAAGTGACGGAGACGTATGAGGAGGTGCCAATCTTCAAGAAGACGCCCGAGACGACGGAAGTGGATGAAACGGAGGAGACCACGACGGAAGTGACGTTCACGACGGAGACGTATGAGGAGGTGCCAATCTTCAAGAAGACGCCCGAGACGACGGAAGTGGATGAAACGGAGGAGACCACGACGGAAGTGACGTTCACGACGGAGACGTATGAGGAGGTGCCAATCTTCAAGAAGACGCCCGAGACGACGGAAGTGGATGAAACGGAGGAGACCACGACGGAAGTGACGGAGACGTATGAGGAGGTGCCAATCTTCAAGAAGACGCCCGAGACGACGGAAGTGGATGAAACGGAGGAGACCACGACGGAAGTGAGACGACGGAGACGTATGAGGAGGTGCCAATCTTCAAGAAGACGCCCGAGACGACGGAAGTGGATGAAACGGAGGAGACCACGACGGAAGTGACGTTCACGACGGAGACGTATGAGGAGGTGCCAATCTTCAAGAAGACGCCCGAGACGACGGAAGTGGATGAAACGGAGGAGACCACGACGGAAGTGACGTTCACGACGGAGACGTATGAGGAGGTGCCAATCTTCAAGAAGACGCCCGAGACGACGGAAGTGGATGAAACGGAGGAGACCACGACGGAAGTGACGTTCACGACGGAGACGTATGAGGAGGTGCCAATCTTCAAGAAGACGCCCGAGACGACGGAAGTGGATGAAACGGAGGAGACCACGACGGAAGTGACGGAGACGTATGAGGAGGTGCCAATCTTCAAGAAGACGCCCGAGACGACGGAAGTGGATGAAACGGAGGAGACCACGACGGAAGTGACGGAGACGTATGAGGAGGTGCCAATCTTCAAGAAGACGCCCGAGACGACGGAAGTGGATGAAACGGAGGAGACCACGACGGAAGTGACGGAGACGTATGAGGAGGTGCCAATCTCCAAGAAGACGCCCGAGACGACGGAAGTGGATGAAACGGAGGAGACCACGACGGAAGTGACGGAAGTGACGGAGACGTATGAGGAGGTGCCAATCTTCAAGAAGACGCCCGAGACGACGGAAGTGGATGAAACGGAGGAGACCACGACGGAAGTGACGTTCACGACGGAGACGTATGAGGAGGTGCCAATCTTCAAGAAGACGCCCGAGACGACGGAAGTGGATGAAACGGAGGAGACCACGACGGAAGTGACGTTCACGACGGAGACGTATGAGGAGGTGCCAATCTTCAAGAAGACGCCCGAGACGACGGAAGTGGATGAAACGGAGGAGACCACGACGGAAGTGACGGAGACGTATGAGGAGGTGCCAATCTTCAAGAAGACGCCCGAGACGACGGAAGTGGATGAAACGGAGGAGACCACGACGGAAGTGACGTTCACGACGGAGACGTATGAGGAGGTGCCAATCTTCAAGAAGACGCCCGAGACGACGGAAGTGGATGAAACGGAGGAGACCACGACGGAAGTGACGTTCACGACGGAGACGTATGAGGAGGTGCCAATCTTCAAGAAGACGCCCGAGACGACGGAAGTGGATGAAACGGAGGAGACCACGACGGAAGTGACGGAAGTGACGGAGACGTATGAGGAGGTGCCAATCTTCAAGAAGACGCCCGAGACGACGGAAGTGGATGAAACGGAGGAGACCACGACGGAAGTGACGGAAGTGACGGAGACGTATGAGGAGGTGCCAATCTTCAAGAAGACGCCCGAGACGACGGAAGTGGATGAAACGGAGGAGACCACGACGGAAGTGACGTTCACGACGGAGACGTATGAGGAGGTGCCAATCTTCAAGAAGACGCCCGAGACGACGGAAGTGGATGAAACGGAGGAGACCACGACGGAAGTGACGTTCACGACGGAGACGTATGAGGAGGTGCCAATCTTCAAGAAGACGCCCGAGACGACGGAAGTGTATGAAACGGAGGAGACCACGACGGAAGTGACGGAGACGTATGAGGAGGTGCCAATCTTCAAGAAGACGCCCGAGACGACGGAAGTGGATGAAACGGAGGAGACCACGACGGAAGTGACGTTCACGACGGAGACGTATGAGGAGGTGCCAATCTTCAAGAAGACGCCCGGGACGACGGAAGTGGATGAAACGGAGGAGACCACGACGGAAGTGACGTTCACGACGGAGACGTATGAGGAGGTGCCAATCTTCAAGAAGACGCCCGAGACGACGGAAGTGGATGAAACGGAGGAGACCACGACGGAAGTGACGTTCACGACGGAGACGTATGAGGAGGTGCCAATCTTCAAGAAGACGCCCGAGACGACGGAAGTGGATGAAACGGAGGAGACCACGACGGAAGTGACGGAGACGATGAGGAGACGTATGAGGAGGTGCCAATCTTCAAGAAGACGCCCGAGACGACGGAAGTGAATGAAACGGAGGAGACCACGACGGAAGTGACGGAGACGTATGAGGAGGTGCCAATCTCCAAGAAGACGCCCGAGACGACGGAAGTGGATGAAACGGAGGAGACCACGACGGAAGTGACGTTCACGACGGAGACGTATGAGGAGGTGCCAATCTTCAAGAAGACGCCCGAGACGACGGAAGTGGATGAAACGGAGGAGACCACGACGGAAGTGACGGAGAAGAGGAGACGTATGAGGAGGTGCCAATCTTCAAGAAGACGCCCGAGACGACGGAAGTGGATGAAACGGAGGAGACCACGACGGAAGTGACGGAGACGTATGAGGAGGTGCCAATCTCCAAGAAGACGCCCGAGACGACGGAAGTGGATGAAACGGAGGAGACCACGACGGAAGTGACGTTCACGACGGAGACGTATGAGGAGGTGCCAATCTTCAAAAAGACGCACGCGACAGTTAGATCGGCTGTAAGTGTGACGGAGCAAGCTGGCACGGTGCCAGGCGAGTCGGTGAAGACGGAGGTGTTCCGCTCGGAGAGACCGGACGGCAGCATCGTGACCAAGACGGTCCGCACCACGACTTGGACCAAGAAGTGTACGAATGGCGATCTCGTGACGACGACTGAGGTGGAAACGACGACTGAAACGGAATCCCCGGACGGCACGACAAGCACTACGGTGGCGATGGAGACCTGCGAAGAGACGGAGACGGAGGAGAGCAGTCTCCCGACGACGCCCGCTACGGATGGTCCTGCTGTGAGTGTGACGGAGCAAGCTGGCACGGTGCCAGGCGAGTCGGTGAAGACGGAGGTGTTCCGCTCGGAGAGACCGGACGGCAGCATCGTGACCAAGACGGTCCGCACCACGACTTGGACCAAGAAGTGTACGAATGGCGATCTCGTGACGACGACTGAGGTGAAAACGACGACTGAAACGGAATCCCCGGACGGCACGACAAGCACTACGGTGGCGATGGAGACCTGCGATGAGACGGAGACGGAGGAGAGCAGTCTCCCGACGACGCCCGCTACGGATGGTCCTGCTGTGAGTGTGACGGAGCAAGCTAGCACGGTGCCAGGCGAGTCGGTGAAGACGGAGGTGTTCCGCTCGGAGAGACCGGACGGCAGCATCGTGACCAAGACGGTCCGCACCACGACTTGGACCAAGAAGTGTACGAATGGCGAGCTCATGACGACGACTGAGGTGAAAACGACGACTGAAACGGAATCCCCGGACGGCACGACAAGCACTACGGTGGCGATGGAGACCTGCGATGAGACGGAGACGGAGGAGAGCAGTCTCCCGACGACGCCCGCTACGGATGGTCCTGCTGTGAGTGTGACGGAGCAAGCTGGCACGGTGCCAGGCGAGTCGGTGAAGACGGAGGTGGTCCGCTCGGAGAGATCGGACGGCAGCATCGTGACCAAGACGGTCCGCACCACGACTTGGACCAAGAAGTGTACGAATGGCGAGCTCATGACGACGACTGAGGTGAAAACGACGACTGAAACGGAATCCCCGGACGGCACGACAAGCACTACGGTGGCGATGGAGACCTGCAAAGAGACGGAGACGGAGGAGAGCAGTCACCTGACGACGCCCGCTACGGATGGTCCTGCTGTGAGCGTGACGGAGCGAGCTGGCACGGTGCCAGGCGAGTCGGTGAAGACGGAGGTGGTCCGCTCGGAGAGATCGGACGGCAGCATCGTGACCAAGACGGTCCGCACCACGACTTGGACCAAGAAGTGTACGAATGGCGAGCTCATGACGACGACTGAGGTGAAAACGACGACTGAAACGGAATCCCCGGACGGCACGACAAGCACTACGGTGGCGATGGAGACCTGCGATGAGACGGAGACGGAGGAGAGCAGTCACCTGACGACGCTCGCTACGGATGGTCCTGCTGTGAGTGTGACGGAGCAAGCTGGCACGGTGCCAGGCGAGTCGGTGAAGACGGAGGTGTTCCGCTCGGAGAGACCGGACGGCAGCATCGTGACCAAGACGGTCCGCACCACGACTTGGACCAAGAAGTGTACGAATGGCGAGCTCATGACGACGACTGAGGTGAAAACGACGACTGAAACGGAATCCCCGGACGGCACGACAAGCACTACGGTGGCGATGGAGACCTGCGATGAGACGGAGACGGAGGAGAGCAGTCCCCCGATGACGCCCGCTACGGATGGTCCTGCTGTGAGCGTGACGGAGCGAGCTGGCACGGTGCCAGGCGAGTCGGTGAAGACGGAGGTGGTCCGCTCGGAGAGATCGGACGGCAGCATCGTGACCAAGACGGTCCGCACCACGACTTGGACCAAGAAGTGTACGAATGGCGAGCTCATGACGACGACTGAGGTGAAAACGACGACTGAAACGGAATCCCCGGACGGCACGACAAGCACTACGGTGGCGATGGAGACCTGCAAAGAGACGGAGACGGAGGAGAGCAGTCACCTGACGACGCCCGCTACGGATGGTCCTGCTGTGAGCGTGACGGAGCGAGCTGGCACGGTGCCAGGCGAGTCGGTGAAGACGGAGGTGTTCCGCTCGGAGAGATCGGACGGCAGCATCGTGACCAAGACGGTCCGCACCACGACTTGGACCAAGAAGTGTACGAATGGCGAGCTCATGACGACGACTGAGGTGAAAACGACGACTGAAACGGAATCCCCGGACGGCACGACAAGCACTACGGTGGCGATGGAGACCCGCGAAGAGACGACGACTAGGGATGACTTGGAATTGTCTGAAAAGATGGATACGTGTGAAATTAGTGAGGTGGATGATTGTGAGGACACAGGAAGTTTTACGAAGGAGGTGCGTCGCGAGGTGACTAACTGTAGTGAAGACGCCTGAAATGGCTGAGGTGGATGTAGGTGAGGAGATCACGATGCACACGAATTCCAGGGTGTCGGAAGATGGATTCTCGAATGAGGCGGATACGCTGGATGAGAACTCGATGGAAAGTTTCAGTCAAATGGGTGACGCCACGACTTTTGCTGTGAATGGCGTGTCTTGTGCTAGCATATCGACGTCTATCGGAAAGTCACCAGCACCAGGAGACTTGCGGGTGGGTGAGAATGGCAATAAAGCGGCGAAGAAGAGCAAGGGTGTTCGAGTCCAGAATACCGATGTCTTTCCAATAATGGCGCAGTCATCTGGTGAGACCGAGAGTGCGCATGTTGCTGCTGCTTGGGGGGAAGCCGTTGGCAATTTGCACACGAAACATGACTGCGGGAGTAGGTGGATCCGGGAACTGGTGGTGTCTCAAGGGCATTCGGTCCGACTGGCGTTCGATGACATCACGTGTGTTGGTCAAGTGAACGGTAGGTCGAAAGATCCGACTTCTGTGGTGAAAAGGGCTACGGGCTTTGCGGAGTCAGGTTCATTGACCGCAATCTTGGGAGCCGGCCGGGTTGGCAAATCCGCTCTCCTAAGTGCCCTAGCTGGCGAAGAAGATCCAAAAGCGGGCTCAGTTTACTACAATGGAATCGTAGCGAGTGCTTTAGTACGACGGCGTTCCACAGGCTTCTGTTGGTTTGGTGATGAACATTATGACTGGTGTGGAGCGACTACAGTACGTGAAGCTCTGTGCCTCAGCGCCCGACTTCGGCGAGGCAACGACGTTCCCGACAGTCACAAGCTTAAAACAGTCGAGTCTTGTCTCGACCTCTTGGGACTGTCGGACCTGGCCGAACAGTGTATCAGCTCGTGCTCTGATGTGGAGGTCCGTCTCGTCGCAATTGGGGTGGAACTCGCATTTGCCCCAAGCATACTCCTTCTGGATGAACCTACAAGCGACCTTGACATTAGCAGCGCGCAGAGAATCATCCATGTGCTCAAGCAAGTCGCTCGTACGGGTCGCACAGTCATCTGCAGTATAGGCGACACAGCATCTTCCGCTGAGCTGCGCGCATTTGATCGCCTCTTATTGCTATCGAGTGGCGGCGAAACGATTTTCCATGGCGAAACTCGCTTGCTGGTGCAATACCTAGAGGCCATCCCGGGTGTAAAGAAAATGAGCACTAACAATAGCCTAAGTGCATGGGCGCTGGAAAGTGTGGGCAAAAAACCCACAATATCTCACATAGCCACGACGACGACAACCACAACGACTAGAGGAAACAAGGGTCGCACAAACGCAAAGAAGAGAAAGCATTTGCGCGCCGAATTAGCGTGGACTGGTTCAGAGGTCGCCGGTATTGAAGAAACTCGGTTTGTGCAGCTGTTCAAGCGCAGCGAGATGAAGAAAACACTGTCAGCGCAAATGCAGCGCGCGGGCTACTTGCAGCCATACTCGAAAGGGTCGCTAGCACCTCCATTGATTGCAGCGTACAACAGTGGAAAGCTTGGATTGCGGGCATCTTCGCTGCGCACGCAGATGACGTATCTCATTCAACGCGTGGCTCTCTCGTATTGGCGCAGCTTGTTTCCGATCCGTGCGATGGCAAAGACAGCAACCACGATGCAACTTCTCGGATCGGTGGGAGTCATTTCTATATGTTTAGCGTGGTCCCTACTCGCGACGAGGAGTACTAAGTATCTCACGGTTGATGGCGTGGACCATGGTGTATCACTGATTACATGGTCGACTCTAGTGCTTGGAGCCAGCTTCGCTCTCGCTGCTGTCAGGAGGGCTTGTCACGGTCATGCTTGGAGGGAAAATGCGTGTTGGCGCCGCGAGCAGGCGTGGCAAGCGTACCCCGCGGTAGCTTACCACGTCTCTTCTAGTATTGTGGAACTCGCGTTCGTGCTCGTGATCACGTTTGTGGCTGCGGTGTCCACGTTCACCCTGTTCGGCTTTTGGTCAATTGCCAGTAGCAACACCTTCGCGCTCGCCTGGTTCTCTCTCATGCTCTTTGCTCTCGGGCAGATGTATCTGGGCCAGTGGCTTGTGCGGCTGACTCCGAACGGAGGTCTTGCTGCAGTTGCAGGCGTTGCAATTAATCTACTTCCGCTGTTTACGCTCTGGAGGGACAGTGCTGCAAGCTGGCTGATGTCGCTATTTGTGTCAGTGACACCACAACACTCTGCGCTGCAGGTACTGCAAGCACTTGTTTTCAGTGCTGCTGCTGACTCTTGCGCCTACGACAACAATGACGTTGACCCGTTCCCATGCCGCGAGCTACGACTGAATCCATCGGACGAACGCCGCTACAGTGAGAAACTCACAGTGCGCACATACGTGGAGATCGAGTACGGTGCCCAACGCGATAGTGTGGCGTATCATCTTGTCAAGCTGGCGATATTCCTTGTGGTGCTTCGCCTTCTCGTGGTTATGGCGTTGAAGAAGCGGCATGCATATGCGTGATAGATAGGGCTTAAAGTAGTGGCGCACATGAAAAGTAAAGATTGCTCATGGAGATAGAGCAGGTAGAGATGAGATGCGAATATACAACAAGTGCTGTCGACACAATGCCGTTTATTATTACGCTGGTCTTGTTCACGATTCTTGCCTTGGACGTACGCGCACTGACAGTCGCAAAAGCCGTGAGAAAACGACAGTGGGTCTGCTTGTACATCCACTTACCAGATTGCCTCGCAGGAAGATCTGCAGTAGCGTCCGGACTCACAGCCATTTGACCATCAGTGATGCGTTCTCAAGCTTACCATCTTCAATGGACAAGGTGTCGTTGTAGGCCACTACGCTGGGCGGGAATGCAGTGCGCAGCTCAAATGCGCGTCCCCGGGCCTCTGGCACCTGATCCTTTACGAACGACCACACCATAGCAAGCGGATCGGTCTTGACGAAGCGCCGCGTTAAGCGGGAACCGTCGGGCACGCGGATTTGTACGCGGGTAATGCCAGGTGCTCCAGCTTCGTATTAAAACAAGAAACAGCAGACCCATCAGCAATACAATAGAGTCGTAAAAGAACGCTCGACACAGCTGTACCATCGGGCTCGGGCGTCAACGCCACAACCGGCTCTTGCGCCGTCTCCACCCCGTATTTCTCCTCTTGGTCCATGATGTCTTCGACTTGCTCCATCTCTTCTTCATCGCTGACGTCATTGTTACCCTCCATCGACGCCGCGATTGCTGCTGCCAGCTGATCATCCTCTGACGCGTCCATGATGCTAGTAGTAGCTTCCTGCAGTGAACAAGCGAAAGGAAGTGTTAATTTGTTTCTAATACGCTAAGCGACAACCGCGTCAATCGCACCTTCTTTGCTTCAGTCAGCGGCTCATCTCGCGTTTGCATACAGCAGAAATCTGACACTGCATGAACCAGATTTTGTTAAAGACAGAGTCAATACAGCAACAAACAGTTCGCAAACACCGCCGTACACTTTTCGACCATATCCTGTGGTTTAAGGTAATCCAACAGCCGCTGTCGAATATCTCCTGTCCGCGGGTCGATGATCACGACGATCGGGAGTGAGTCGCGATCAATTTGGTAGAGGCTACAAAACTTTTTGCCATGCTCTGATGTCCAATAATTCTGTGCAATAAGTCGACATCAATGACAACTTGTGAGCACAGTGACAAGCCGACAAGACGGTATGAAACGGCTCGCACAATGTACCTGCCAGAAGACAAAGCCGCTTGCCACAAAATTTTGCACGACATCGTCGCTCCACGTGTCGCGGTTTAGCATATGGCTTGTAAATACAATCTCGTCTTGAATGTTCACCAAAAGCCACTTCTCCTCCTTTTTTGCGTGATTACGAGCCTAAATCGCCGCAGCACAGCAAGACGTTAGGCAGGGACACGCATAACCAGAAAACGCTACAGCCACAAACAGGCACGCACGTCAGCGTAAGTTCCCTGGAACATGATTGCTGTTGGTGGCTGGAACAACGTGCTGAGATCACGAATATGCTCATTGTCAGCGCCGTTCGAGCTATTCGTCGTTTCATCGAACGCTGCCGCGCCGGGACCTCCAAAGGCCGTAGAAATACTGCCGCCCGTTATAGCTGCGATGCTCTCCGCTGCAAAGTCGCGATTTTGGTCGCGCAGGTGACGCATTGGTCGTACTGCATTATCACGTAGCGAAAAACATAAACATAACCACGATGCGACCTCTGTCTACGACACCAAGCTACTACACGCACCGAGGTCCATGTCTGCACCTACGAGACGCTGTCGCTTGGCCGGATCGGGTGCCCGAATCGCACTTTCACTGCAGCAGGAAAATAAACAACCAGCCAGAACGACACAGTCACCGTTTTCGTCAGTACAGCATATGGGAAAGAAATCACGCGCTGTGTGCGAGCATCACGACGCACTCGTCACCGTAGGCAGCAGCAATCGCGGCAGCTGTTGCTGCGTCCATGTCTGCTGACGGAGCTATCGACGACTCCAACGTGGCGCTGGCACTTGCAGCATGTAGACGCGGTGCTGCGAACGCTGCGCGATCGCTTTGACTTCCGCTCTCCATGTACAGATTGACCTGCAGGCACCATAGAGAGCACGACGGTGGGTCACGCCAATGACAATAGCAGCAACGCGCGGAACAGTCCAAAGCACAGCAAGCGACGCACGGCCTCGTCCAGATTCCAGTTGGTGAGCTGTCCCAGGAGCGTTGCAATCGACAAAGTGACGTTACAACCGCCAATCCCACAAGTCGAAAGCGGGACGTATTGGCACAAACCTCTAAAAATTGCATGGCGCTGCCGGGATCGGCACCGGTGATGGTCATAAACCTGCAGCAGCCAACGAGAAAAGACGTCAAGTGCTTTGGTGAGCATTCGTGTGCGGCGAAGGGGCTGTAGCGACAGGAAAGAAGAACGCACGAGTCGAGCGCAGCGGGGGCGTCCATTCTGGTGTCGCGTATTGTCAGGATTCTGTGGCGCTTTTGTGGTCTGGACGATGGGATCGTGTTGTGATTGGTCAAAACGAAGAGAACGTGGAATTGCGTGCGGGATTTGTTCCGTTCAATAAGGGCACAACATTTGCAGAAACCAGTTGACGACAACGTGGACCGCTCTTTTTCGTGGTGTTTCCGGTGAGCCACCACCCATTTGTCATCGATCGAGCCATGGGCATGACCGGAGGAGCGGTGACGCCTTTTTTTCGAGCGTACGCGATGCGATAAGTGCGCAACTACAGCCGATACCGAGTCGCAGGGTTCAGCTGTCAACCCTAGATACCGATTTGTATGCTACATTGATGATACGAGGCGATCCTGTCTCTAGGCAACAAGCGTAGCGCTCTGACCGACATCTCCAGACAGCCGTATCCTAGCACTATTTTCATCAAAACCCAGCAAAATGAGAAAGAGAGCGAGGGAGTCTTGTGTTTACATGCGGTTGGTGTGCTGACATTGTGTTGATTGTATGGATCGTGGCGAGCCTCCTCATCCGACTGTCAAGTATATTCAAAGTCCTAGTGTTAACTTCTATCTACAACTAGGATAGTAGAGACACGGCAATGGACGTCATGGCGCACGACGGTTCCCCTTCTGTTTCCAACTTGGATGCATGGCCATGAACAGTGTCGTGGGGGAAACCGGTTGCTGTTCGAAGAACTTGCCGTATCGTTTGAAAATACCTCTCAGCCATGGCAATTCCTTGACGTCCTGTGGCTTCAGACCAAAGATACGATCCGGAATGTCATTTGGGTTGTATCCTTTCCAGTGCCACCACTCGAACTGCGCCTTTTCGAGCTCCTTGCCGATTGACCGAACCTCCTTCGAGTCATTCGCATAACGGATGATTGCTGCCACGTTTACCTCGTTGTAAATGTCCTTCAGATAGGCAAATACCGCACCGTATGGGTTCTGCTTGTTTTTACTGCTAGCACGCTTGACCAAGCTCGTGAATTCAGGACTCAAAAAGAAATCAACCACCAGATGCTGCTTGATGTAGCTACCTTCGCTGATCGAGCTGAGCTCTGAGGTCGTGCTGGCGTCTTTGATCGTCTCGTCGACGTAAAGGAGTGTTTGGGCCTGTTTTTTCTTGAGATTTTTCTTATAGAACGTTTCATAACGTACATACAAACTCTCAAGTCGGCTGTCGGTGTGTAGGTACTGAAGTCTTACGTCAATGATGTTCTCCAGGATATACTTGGGAGTGTAGCCCCGCGAGAACCACCACTTGACCTGCGCGTCTTCGAGCTTCAGGGCGATCGAACGTGTTCTTCGTGAGTCCTTGGCCAGCAGTATAAGTATTGCCACATTCTTCTCGTTGAAATCGTCCTTGAGAGCAGCAAACATCGCACCGAACGGGTCCTTCTTGTTCTTCCTGAAAGCATGCTTCATCCAGCTCTTGAATCGATAACTCAAAAAGAAATCGACCACCAGACGTGGCTGCATAACTTTCTCTTTATCATAGACCGACAGCAAGCTAAGCCCTGCGGTCTTGTACGCGCTTTCGATCGTCTCCTCGATATGAGAGAGCAATTGGAGCTCCTCGTTTCGTGCTGACTCGAATAGTGTCGTGAGCTTGCCAAGGCCAAAGCTCTTCCAGGAAATGCCTCGATCTTCATCTCCTTGACCAACGGAAGAATTGGTCTTCTGGTGGCCATTGCAGTTATCGCACTCAGGCGCACGTGTTTTGATCTCGGATGCCCTGGAGGCCAATGCAGGATCGACAAGTACAATCAGCATGCCAACAACAAGGAAGGGGGCAAAGAGGTACAGCCTCATGGCGGGATGGGTGAGGTGACGTTTTTAATCGAATGTGTGTTGGTGGTAAGACGGAAATCGGATAGTGAGATGAAAACAGTTGCCAGAATATGTACATCCGGTTCGTGCTGCCCGGGATAAGACGTCGCGACACTTTACAATGAGCCATGCGACAACTCTCCCCCATCGGCACCGCACGCGTCACACGACTTTGTGTAAAGCGCCACGACGTTGTCCCTACCTGGGTGTCAAAGTCAAGCGGATTGCCCCTTTCTATATCCCTCGGGGTGCCTGCCTGTCCACGGAACTAAGTTCACCTGACCTTCGAATTTCCCCGGCTCTTCCTAGCTGTACACCCGCTACTTTGGTCGGGACTCCATGAGCTTCTATGGAAAAGGCAGTCACAACAGCGACAGAATCTTGAACGCAATTGTTGACGCTTTGACCCGTTTGACTTCGAGCGGCACCCGGTTGCTGTACAGCAATCGGTTGGCGAGAGGAGACGCAGTTGTGATTTATGATATTGTTTGTGACAATTCGCGTTGGGTTCAGAGCACAACCCATGTCGGGAAAAGTCCGACCTCCCTGATTGGCAGATAAGCTGCTTTTTGACAGATGGACGAGAAGATTATAATCGCCACTACGAACTATCTAAACGCGTTGATATATGGGATAAAGATTCAGTCGCCAAATGAAAACATCATAAGATGACAGGTGTCCCAGAAGGACGCCTGACGTAGCTTGACATATCCCAACTGTAGTGCCGCTGAACAGCATACGCTGAATGATTGCGTTGTAAAAAACCTGGACCACATTGTCAGAAATATAAAAGCTACACCAAATATGTAGGAAAAACATGCATCAGATTGTCAATGATCGTAAACGCAATACAGTAGAGTCTCCCTTATGTAGTATAGCTGGGACCGCCAACTTTTAATTAATAAGGACATCAGTTAATAGCAGCGTTAGGGGGGGGTAGAATTGAATCGAAAGGTGCTACATGTGGTCATAAAGGCGCCTTGGTATCATTTTCACACATAAGCTAGTACCTCAAGTGGTTTGATGTGGCAGCACCAAGCGAGAGGTCACCGGTTCGATATCCGGTGTCTGCCCTTAGAAGTTAAAGTTTTCGGGCTCTGGTGTGCCGGGGTTCACCAGCACTGTCCTGCCAGGCAGTGACATCCCCCACTTAAGGTACGTGTGGGTGTTTGTTAGAAACCCGCTACTTGAATCAGAAACGTCCGACCAGACAAACAGTAATGCGCGACTAGACGATTAGTAGTGCGGGTTCTCATGGATGATTCAGAAGATGAGGATCAGGTGGGAAAGCTTCAACAAAAACCCTTGAGCAACAAACTCTGGATGGTTTTTTGTAGTGGTCCGTCGGCAGTAGTTTATTATTTGTATAGCGAAAATTTCTCTGCCAATATTGATAATAAAAAGTAAGTGAGTTTTTAACATTTGGCCTGGGCCCAACACGGGACTCGAAATGTTTATTAAGTACGGGAGAATATAAATGAGAGCATAATAAATTACGGAGACTACTATATATATTTGAAAAATGAGAAATGCGCCAGACAATCATAAAAAATCATAACGGCCGATAGTCAAAAATGAAAATGCACCCGATGATCTTAATATTAGAAGAAGCCTTCGGTAATCAAAGAACGTAATAGCAACCTACACCAAATACGACCTAGTTAACGTTATTTAAATCTCATGTGCATATGTACGCATATCTTTTTCTCTCAATATATACTGTTTCGTATGCTGCTAGCTTATTCCATGACGAGTCGTATCTTCAGAAGGAACAGGTGCGTTGACGCGTCATGCGTAGTCTGATAGTGGTCGAGTCATTCGATACTACGGCTACCTTGTTGTCTACCTTTCATCCAGCTTGTATGAAGTGCGAATATGGCAATGTGTTGGTGAATACCTGTCGTTATCGGTGTGAGAAAAAAGGATGGGACAGTGCCGATTTGAATAGCGCGTGGGTAGTGCTGTGTTACATGTTTAACAAACATCCCAAGGTATCATAGCATGTAGTATAGACGTAAGCAAAAGCGGATATTTGTGATGAATACATGAAAAAGGGTTGAGTACTATTACAGGTGCTCATGCAGATGTTGTATCGACTTAGTATGCCAAGTCTATCATCATGCCGAACGCAGACCCTATCTGATCGAGCAATAAAACTAAAGAATCATTCGGCATACGATCTGGGTGTCCATATCAGCGTAAACCTACTACATGTAGATATAAGCCATCATTAGCATTAACAGGCCATGCAGATGCGGTTGCCTGTATTTTGGAAAATGTGTCGATGCTGACTATTTTGTACTATCTTGTTTGTCTTATTGTACCGCAGAGTAAAAAGTACTTCGTAATTGACCGCACGGTAATGGTCCGGTAAAATACTCTTATGAGTTATACGAAACGAATATCGAAAGTGTTTTTCGTTCAACGCGTAGATTGTGCGTCCAAAACTGTAACGGAGCACCTCCCGCTCGTAACTAATGCAATACAAGATACGGATACTGGCGCAGTATGGGCAGATGACTCGAATTCTCACCTTGACTGTACCAACAGATAAGGATCGAATCTTTAGACGCAAACATTCACGAAAAGGTAGGTGGAACTGAATGGAAAACAGTGAAATGTTTCTTGATACGCTGTTTGATCTTTCACTAACTACATCCAACTACAACCATCATATGTATCTGGCATCCATCTAGTGTGTGCGTCTAGCAGCTATTATTGGGTACGTTGGCTTTTATGATTGCCTGTATACACAATAAGTGAAGCAAAGCTGTAAGTCACCTCTAGAGGTACTATTCTTTCAGTATTTCCGAAGTAAGGTACATTTTGGTGAGTTTCATCAATAAAAAAAATTTCTAGTAGAAGCAAAGTGGTGTCAATTATATGTAACGGGATCACCCGTTACCGGAAGATGACCAAAAACAAGCGTATACAGCAACCAGCTGCGAACCATAAACCGATCAAGTGACAGCTTTGAGACGGTAATGCTTCGTTCGTGGCTTTGTAAACCTAATCTCTTTATACGACGTTTACACGCTGATCATGTGATACGATCTACTGAGAAGAAGAGTTTAGTTGTTGAATTGTTTGGACGAATTATATAATTGCCTAAGACTTAGAAATGAGATAATGGGTGTGTTCTGTATACATATTACATAAAGAATCCTTACTACACAGTAAAAAGAACGATGGGTAATCGCGTTTCGCGTCAACATAATGACATTCAATTTGTTTACATGCGTCATAGTTGGTATTCTTGCGCATCTCAAATGTGATGTTTGCGCTGAAGATGTTACGCATCCTGCGAGAACGAAGTTGCGCGCCGTCAGCTTTCAAAAAATGCTCATTGACTCTATGGCGGAGTGGATTTCACAAGGTTTTCGTGACCCCAACTCCCCACTGGAGCCCAGACGATCGCCTATCGAGGGAGTAATCCGTTTCCGTGTGTTGCGCTTCCTTCATCACTTTGTGTACTCGTCGAAAGGGCGGGCTGCACTGTTCCAGGTAAAATCGTTTCTATGGAAACTTGGCTGTGTTTGTGATGGGGTTGCGTGTCATAGAGAGGGATTCTTCACACGATCACGGTTATGCTTCTCGAGTGATCGATATGATTCACCCGGATATGATCGATATCGCCTTGTACAATACGTAGATACTTCATCTGATTGACCTTCAGAACACTTAAGCCGTCTCGCCGTCTTGTATCTTGTACTTCACATTGTTGCTGCGTCGGATCACAGTTGGGGTGTTGTATTGAGCGTCCTTGATCACTGGCTAAACAGGGATATCACCAGGTTGAATGATGCGAATTTTTTTGACGTCGGGTGGCCAGTAATTAATCCCAGAAGAGAAGTCGACACGTGTACTTAGAAGCGCATTGAGCTCTGTTTTATGTTTAAGTGATCAACCACGGAATGCAACCGCACTTACCGGAGACTATGGATCCTACGCAGTGTGTAGTCTGTACCTGTCGATTGTCTCCTTGTACGACTCGGCAGACTTCATGTACTCTTCTGATCGCAGATCGCGGATTGCGTGGTGTGGCACAAATCTTTTTAATCGATCACGATCTCATACTTGATAGCAATCTCCACCCCGTTCGCCGTCGCGTATTAATCGCAGTGTTTACCCTGATCGTGATCTCCTTCTTGATAGTAATCTCCTTGATCTCGATCTCTTCTCTGATCGCGATCGCGATCGCGATCGCGTACGGCGTAAAACACTACTTGTTTATATCCATCGCCCCTCAACCTGAGAATGAAAATCCAGTATTTAGTGACTGAAGCGCGATCGGTCGATCTTTTGCAAAATTGATCGATCGATTTATCAAAGATGCTCGACGGTCGATCCGATACCCGGTATTCGTCGGGTGATATATCTCCATCATATTAATACTGCGTCTTTATAAATACAAAAAACAACAACATCATCGCATGTCTGTTTTAGGTAATCAACTATTTGCTCGGAATATCGTTTACATCGCTGTTGCGCATGTTTTTATACATTGATTTGTTCTTATCTTATCCTTCTTGGGGTGCACTGTTACATTCTTGTCGGCTTCATTTGCACTTTTATATTTTCGATAATTTGATACGTCGTAGTTTTGTTATTGATCGTTCTATACTTATTTCCTAATTATCTGCTGCACATTTTATATTATTACTTTTTGCTGCTACCTAATGTGATAAGTGCATAATGTCTACTTCATATAGGATGTGAGTCCTCGAAGAACGTGACGGAGGTGTATTTTAACAGCCCATAACATCTGTGGAATCGATGGTCAGGACGCGATCGACAACCACCGATTAAAAAAAGTCGGCAATGCTCAAGGCGGCGCGAAACAAGATGCTCGCCATACTTAGTTACTTCTCAGTTGGATATGGGTGATGGGTCTTCGCAGGCCAAGCAAGTCGACAGACAATTGCCTCCAGTCTTTGTAGCGCACTCATTCGCCTAGAACTTTGCCGAATGTCTTTCCGACC